CGGTTAACACCCGGGTAGGAATTTTTCGGATTTACTTGATTTCTCGAATATATTAAAGCAACAACAACTGTGAATAGTCATTTTATACAAACACAACATAGTCGTTACAGTATATTCGATAAGTAAAGTTTTCTATTCTTAATTTTTTTTACTCCCGTTCCCTTTCTTTAGTGTTTTGTACACTCGACATTAGGAGCCAAATACAGCAGAACTAAGGTTATTGTATATTCCAAGAGTAAAAAAAAATATTCTACCAAAAAATCAAATTTCACATAAGGTATAGTTGATGTGTACCTTTTAATGGACTTTTAAGTAATGGTAAAAATACCGCGTAATTAAGAATTATGTGACTTCAACTCAATATTAATTTAGACACAACACTACTTGTTAATCACCATACCTAATACATGCATTGTTAATATAAAATTTATTATGTTAGTCTAGGTCCGCCAATAGATGCGTATAAATTTTCAATAAATAAATTATCACCGTTACGTTACGTTACGTTCGACGCCAGTAACAGCCAAGGCTACATACATAATCTATCAACACTATCTATACATACATCATTTAATTGACGTTCATAGATTTAAAAAACCTGTCTAATTTAACTTTAATATTCAAGTAAGCGTTGCATATTTTGCCACTAATTTAGGAAAAAAGTTATAATAATTAATGTGAACACGGAAACATGATAAAAGATGAAATCAAGTTTGACCGCTAACGAATTATTGAGAACATTACTTTTCTGAAGTCGGTTTAATATTTATACCTATACTAATAAAGTCGGCAACATTCCATTTTTTAGTTTGTTTGTTTGTAATGAATAGGTAAGCTGCGAAATTAATGGACTGATTTTAAAAATTCTGTCAACTCTCAGAAGCTATATTATCAGCGAGTAACAATGGCTATATTTAATTTGCAAACATTTTCCTCCTAAAATAACGATAGTGTAAAGACAGGTATAAAAAATTGCCCAAAATACATTTTGCGCTGCAAAAACTATTGATGATGACTTAAAAAAATGCGATATATTTTGAACGTACTCATCAATGCACACAAAAAAGTCCTTGACTGCACGGATGGCGTAGTGGTTTAAGCGGTCGCCACGGCGCTTAAAACTTTCATTTAGTTTTCATCCATAGAAAAAGTAATTCAAGAGGAAAGCTTATATGTACTCAATACTTTATTGCTTCCATAATGTAAATACATGGGTGAAAACAATTCAAGCGACAACAATTATGGACCCTGTTGGGCGCAGCACAGTTTGTTTGGGAGAAAGGGAGATATATAGTTTTTATAGTATAGAAAAGCCGATCATTTCCAAGATTTGTAATAAGATAGCTTAAAATATATTATTTTGTGCGCTTAAATTGCAAGCACTGACAAAATCTTAAGAGATGGATTAAAATAATGAACTACGGAACCATATACGAGTATTTTAAAAGGATATACAGAAAAGTCCGCCATATTATGTCTTCCAACTAAAGGTAAACAACAGTTAATATTTTTATCTCTTACATTTTACAAAAAATAATGGGTTATTTACGAAGTTACGAGTTACGAGAACCAGGGGGGGGACCACGACGGGGCCCATGGAACCAGAGGGCCTCCGTCTTCTCCAGGACCATCCGTAAGCACAGCGCCTCAATGCGTCCAACCACCAGAGAGAGTCCCGTGGTGTAAAAGTTCGCCCCCGGGCTGTGACCAAAGTATTATCGACGCGACGCTACAGCGTAATCTCTAAATATTATTTGTATTGTCTCATAAAAAATAGCTGTGAATAAAGATATTCTTGTGGTATACTTCCATACTCATAACATTAGAAATGTGAAAATGAGTTTGTTTGTTTATTTGCTTGTGTATTTGTTACGCTTTTACGCCTAAACCACTCAACCGATTTTAAAAACTCTTTCCTCACTAGAAAGCTCTGTCGGTGGAGTCGCGGTCACAAAGTAGTGTATATATAAACTGGGTGTGCATTTTTTCACATAACTTTTTAAGCCATATATCTGAAGACGGAAAATATTTTACATACCATTTTACATCATAACGATCTTCATAAAAATATTTAATAAATTATAAGTTTCAATCGTTAGGATCGAAACTAACTATTTCTCTAGCTTTATAGGTATTTGCGTTTAGTATTCATTATGTCATGTAGCTGAGCTGATGATGGAATAGGAATTAGAGGATTACTCTTTCAAAAACCTAACCATGTGTTGACCTTGTTTTTTTCTTTCATGATATTTGTTAGGTGTTTGGGTTGGGTTACAGTGATATGTGCACGAATGAGTAACATATCAGATTATAAAACATTTAGAAAAAAAAAGCCGTGTGGTGTCGTGGGACACCCGATAGGAACGAAGTTGTGACGATCGAGTAAAACTGATTCGACACGATTTTAATTACAACGCCATCTATGAAAGCGGCTATTACCTACATATTTTTCAGTTGGTTTCTAATTAAAACAATTTATACATTGGTAAAATCTCCTTGACAAATGATTTCCTATCTATTCGATAGATGGCGCTGAATGACTGACATAAAAAGTGTCGTTACAATTTTTCGTGAGATTTTTTTCCGTCTAGCCCCCTTTCACAACGCGCGATAAGGAACTTTGTTCCAAAAATTGTAACACATTTATTTTCATGTTTGTTAGCTCTCTTTTTTTTCTCTTTTTTATTTAATAAGACATTGGGAATACATCATGTGTCGCGAGGGACTTTACAAACATACATGAAACGGACACAAAGCACACCCAGACTCAGAACAACAATTTGGATCACACAAAGTGCCGTCCCATGTGGGGTGGGAAAATTAATTAATGTGAAAAACAATTTATTTCGGGTTCAAATGTAACACCTTACTACCTTAGCTAAATAAAGTAACGGATTTATGAAACAATATTTAATATAATCTAACATACTACCGCTTGGTACTTTACATTACGGTACGTAGTGTTTTAAATATCGTACTTATATACTCATTACAAACATATCTAACACTAAAAATGGTAAAATAAATGCTTTAAAAAAGTTGAACCGACTTCAAACAATACTGACAAAGAGATAAATTAAATAAGACTAACAAATCTAATTTAAAAAAACTATAGTAAGTACCCTCAATATAACAGGTAACATTATAATAACAATAGTCCCTTCTAGTCTGTTTGAAGTCGGATCAACTTTTTTTACTGGATTTAGGTTTATAGTGATAAGTACTTGTAATGGAAAAAAATAAATAGCAAGTTAAACCCCGTATTTCGTAACTTTGAATCCCCTCAATCTCTGTTTTATTCATGTCAATAATAACGAGGAATGATGTATTCAAGGAAGGCCCTCGTTAAGTACGACGACTTTTAGGAGGAGTTTTAGGTTCATCACAGATCCAATCACCTGTGTCTGATCCGCAAGAAGCCAACGCCAGAGTGCCACCACTGCGATGGCCGGACCGTTAGACATGGCGCTCCGCACACTTGCAGAATGCCCGGCGTGGATGGAGCAGAGGCGTGGCCTCGTGGCGGCCATCGGAGTAGGTATTCTCTCGCTCGGTAACATGATTGTAGCCATGATACGGAGCGAGAACGGAACTTCGCCGTAGTCTTCTGCGAGCATGCTTGCGGAGGAAATGGAGGAGCGGGACCGGGAGAGATTTAGAAATCTCCAGGCCGCCAGGCCGTTGAATAGGCCAGAGGCGCCTCAGGCTCATGACTCAGGCGCCGGAAGTCGCAGAACGACCTCCGTTCATTCATCATAATCATTACACCCGTGGTTGGTATCCAAGGGGATTGCCGCACAGAGAAAAAAAAGGAGTGTCAGATTAGGTTAAGCTAGAACTGCGACCGTGAAAGTGATTATTATTAACGGTTTTAAAACAAAAAATAGGCAAAAAAAGATCTTTATGTGAGCCAGTATAAACTAGCTGTCCGCCTTGTCTTCATCGGGTTGTAATGAATAAAGTTAGACTTTATCTTTCTTTTACAGTTTTGAGGATTTACAAATATTTTTATTTTGAGATATTATGTTACTGAGATGTAAGAAATCAATTAACATTATGATTTGAAAAATCTTTCTACCATACTTTATGACTGGCTTACTACTGAAGTTTTTCTTTTCACAATTTTTTTCCTGCAATTCAAACAATGGTTCTTTAAATTCTCAGGAACACGTTTTTATACGATTCCTGACAAACACAAAAATAGTTAACGAAATAGATGCATCTATTTCGTTAACTGAAAGCGCATTGAAAATATTTTTTTAATATAGAAAAAAAGCTTGATTGATATTTTACTTTAAATTACTGCTCAAAAAATACGGAGGAAATTTACCTGGGCAGCGATGCACAGATAGGTGATGCGTATGCTCAAATCTGCTAAGTTGGCGATCCAAAGATTTTGAAAACCTGTTATTAGAGCTTCGGGTATGTCACAGCAGTTGAAGATAAAAGTGGACTGTATTTAAATTAATTTACAACAAAGATGTACATAATATATCTAATGAGATTATTCAAAGGTATGGTTAGAACGCTTGTATCGTGCGCGCCACTCGGTCGTTGAGTGGAGGGACACCCTCAAGTGCCACAACCGTCGCTCGTGTACCGCCGCTGTAACACGAAGACTGCTGACAAACCAAGACGATAGTAGAGACGTATTATTAGTACAATTGTTAACGGTACCCAGAGGATTCCATCGAATTCTGAAAGTCTTGTTTTAAATTTCATTGCTACTACAAAATTTTTGTTTGTCTAATGTTGTTGCGCAACTAGAAAATGTAGTAAAAGTGTCGTCACACGTGGAAATTAAATAATAGAGACGAAAAAAACGGAGATCATGGTGACAAATCTTGTTGATTCCGATACGGAGTACTAATTATGTATTCTTATAAAGTTCCATCGTGAATATTATCGATGGACATCCAACATTTTCTTATTATTATCCTTTCAAGCTTTCATGCGTAAACACGTGCTTTGTGTTATTATTTTAAGTGTCTGTGTTCGAAATGGGAAACGAAAATATAGACTTGGAAAATCTAAACGTTAGTATTTTCAATGTATTGATGTTATTTACATTCAGTGACATTACAGTAGTTATTTCATCGCAAATATATTTTGCTGTTTTTCATTTCCTTCTAAAAAATATTAATTGTCTAAGTGTCTTTTCCCAGAGTGCTTCAGAAAAACTAAATACGGACTCAGCTAACGATGTCGATGTTTTGGAAAAAATATTATCACATGTTGGCAGCATGGGACGGTATCAACGATTGCTCCTTATTATTATGATGCCTTTTGGATACACCTATGCTTTCCTTTACTTTGTGCAAATATTTATAACTGTAACACCGCAGAACTATTGGTGTAAAATTCCTGAGCTGGCTAATTTAAGTATGGACTTAAGGTAAGTGTGGATTATACTAAATTTATAATTACTTTTTTATTACTGGTACTTGTCTCAAACAATTAACTTTTATTCAATAATCCACGAGGTTGTTTGCTATCCCGACACTTTTTGATGTGGAACATGTAATGCTATGGGTCGGACCAGCTGGTCCGACCCATAGCATACACCATAGCATACACACAAAGCGTGGTAACGCATGCCCAACAGCTGTTGGCGTGGCATGCGTTACCACGCTTTGTGACAGTATAACGTAACATGTAATGCGGTATGGCGACGCATCGCTTTATCTATTATTTCCTTTCATAAGCTATCCTTTTACCCATTAATTCTACTAAATAATTTGGATGTGTCTCATCTGCACATGTTCCGCGGTGTCTCTTCTTGTTCTGATGCATTTTAAAAGCTCCATACGATTCTATCTCAAATATTTACTGGTTTATTTCGAAATTTGAAATTAAATTAACCGTTATAAGTGATTACTTTTCCCCTGTTTTCTTGTGATAGTTAGTTGTGAGACTTGTAATGTCATTTAAAAATATATTTTACACACTTTATAATAACTCGACCTAAAGCTAGCGTTATATGTGAGAAAATATTTCAACTTCGTTGAAGCGCGAGGTACTTGACACCAAATGTTATAAATAGCTCATTGGTAGGCTTTTTATAAAAGTATACTCACTTTATTTATTTATTTTGTAGTGAACTAGTCACTTCAGTTAATTTTATATCGCTGTTTAATACATTAGTCATATTATTAATAGTTTTTGCTTCTTAGTTTTTATATTAAAGCCTTTTTTTTTATAAACGAGGTATACGGAGAAAGGAAAAAACGGGTGCTTGGATCTTCGTCATTTTCAAAGTAAGAAACACGTAATTAGAAATAATCAGAGAGCGAAAAGACCAAGCCCAAAATCGATCTTAGTGGCATGCAATGGAATAGGCCTATGTCTGCGATGTGTGGACTGCGATAGGCTGATGATGATGATGCGGGTAGCGAAGCTGTCTGTTTTAGGAAAAAGCAGTTGCAAGTTTTACACAAATTCACATTTTTTTCGAAAAAACTTAGCTTGCGTAATTATCTGTATTTTAAATTGGTATCTGAATAAGATTTTTTACATTAACGACCTATTTTTTTCAAAAAATACTTAGTTTGCGTAATTATATATATTTTAAATTGAAATCTAATAAGTTTTGTTTTACATAAACAGCCTTTAATAGTCCACTGCTGGACATAGACCTCTTATTAGAAAGGAGGTTTTGACCTCCTTTATTACGGTATCAGTTGTTTTATCCTGCGTAGCTTGCTCCCTTAGTCAGCTCTCTCCCTTGTTAAGCTGACGTTCGTGAGTTCGATTCCCACGCAGAACGAATATTGTGTGATGAGCACGATCGTTTGTTTTGTGTCTGGGTTTTATTTATCTAGAAATACAAAAGTATGTTTATCAGCAGTCTGATTACTATATATACGATACACAGGCTCTGCCTGACTAGAAATCAGGCAGCCGTGTGTAAGATATCCCATGTTATTATTACTATTACAGGCGAAATTTATCAGCACCTGGAACCGCTTGGGGCAGCTATGAGCGATGTGTGACATTTGATACAAATTGGACAGAAGTGCTGGATACTTTGACTGTTCCGCCGGCTGACACGGCACTGATACCATGCCCACATGGCTGGGAGTTCGAATTCAGCGATATACCTTATGAAACTGTTTCTACAGAGGTAAGTTCGCTATGTTTTGAATAGTCTTACTACAAAATAATCATCAAATCATAGGGTGAAGTAAATACCACCGCCCATGAATACCTGCAAATTAAGAGTCACAAGTCTTTTGTCGCTTTTCGAGTCAAGTCCCCCCCCCCCTCCCGAGGCAGGGATGGTTTTGGCCTCACAAAACCTCGCTCACTCTGTGAAAATCAACAAAAGAATTACTTGAAATTCCTTATCTGTGCGGCCGATTCTTCGATATCTTTTCGGTTAAGCTTGCCCATGTGTGCCGAGGCATGGCCCTCATGGCCACATGGCCACATGGCCAGGGTGCATTGCAGGATAAATAATAGCATTCTTAGGTACAGGTTTATTAAAGCTATGGATAAATAAAGATCAATCTTGATTGCAAACATAATTTACATTAATTTCTTAAAGTAGTTAAAATATCAATGTAATTAATAATAATTAAATTATTTTGACGGGCCTGTTGGTCTGGTGGTTAGTGACCCTGACTGCTAAACCGGAGGTCGTGGGTTCGATTACCACCCAGGACAAATATTGTGTGATGAGCACGGTCATTTGTTCTGTGTCTGGGTGTAATTTATCTATAATATGTATGTATTTAGAAATATATAAGTATGTTTATCAGCGGTCTGGTTACCATAGTACAAGCTCTGCCTAGTTTGGGATCATACGGCCGTGTGTGAATGTGTGAGATATATTATATTATTATTACATTATTATTTTTGAAGAGAAACTTCTATAGCACCGTTGTGATTTGAAATTTCGATGAAACGAAAAAGCGACAGTAAAAAGAGACAAACATATTCATAGAATTTAGCCTGCGAGAAAATGAGATAGATTACAAGTACGAGTATACAGTGTTTTCTGTTATCTTCGTCTCCTCTATGCTGTCACGTGTCTTTGCGAATGCGTACAAGAAATTCAGTTCAGAAATTGTGTCAATTTTTGATATAATATTTTGATAGTGTCAATATTTTTATCTTTTTATTCAATACTAGCTGACCCGCGCAACTTCGTCTGCGTTTCTCAAAAGTAATACATTTTCTCCGTTTTTGAAACATTCTTCATTGGTGCTCCGCTCCTATTGCTCTTAGCGTGATGATATATAGCCTATAGCCTTCCTCGATAAATGGGCTATCTAACACTGAAAGAATTTTTCAAATCGGACCAGTAGTTCCTGAGATTAGCGCGTTCAAACAAACAAACAAACAAACAAACAAACAAACTCTTCAGCTTTATAATATTAGTATAGATTGTATAGAAACGGGTGTCATGTTCCTCCAACACAAAAGGAGCATCCTCTGACCAGGCGAGGTGATCATGCCTGGCGGGCTGCAGCCCAACTGTTAGATGGCGCTGTAGTATGTTTGTGTTTCTTCGTATGTGGGAGTCGCCACATCACTCCCCTCCAAGACCAGAGGTGGATATCTTGATGAGTCAGCTGTCTATGCCCTGTTGTGGACCGTGCCAGTGCCAGTAGTGAGTAGTTCCAGTGAGTCGGAACTGAGTGTTGCTAGTTCCAGTGAGTCGGAACTGAGTCCGCTGATCCCAGTGAGTCGGGGTGGTTGCTGCGTACTGGCTGGCTGCTGCGTAGACGGGAGAGATATTCTCTTCTTACGTGGACCGTAGGTGCAGGGTGCTGTGCTTAGACGATGATGAGGCCGGTAACCAGGCTGGAGCGGTCGGTACCTGCAGGTGGTATTCCTGTTGTGGCCGAGGTTGCTGGCTGGCTGAGACTTGATTACCGCTCATCGTTGTGGGAGTCCTCCGACCAGGCGAGGTGATCATGCCTGGCGGGCCGCAGGAAAACGGTTGATGTTGGGCAGTTGTATGTATGCTAATCAGCGAGAGAATTCTTCATATCGCGATACAGGATTAGCAATTCTCATTCAGGAGTTACTCCGTAGTTCGGTGTGTCTGTAGTATGTTTCTGTTTCTTCGTATGTGGGAGTCACCACAAATATTTTATTCCGAAGTTTCACTTCTGCCGTGTGTGAATTGTACAAACACACGTTTTTTAGGGTTCCGTACCTCAAAAGGTAAAAAAGGAACCCTTATAAGATCACTTTCTTGTCCATCTGTCCGTCTGTCTCCACCGATTTTCTCAGGTACCGGTAGACTTAGCAAATTGAAATTTATACCAGATGATGAGGCCTATTAGGTGTATAAAAATCAAGGTCCTGAAGTACCCTATAGGTTTTGGGTCGAAAACCTATTTGGTAGTTCCCGTTGACCTAGAATCACGAAATTTGGCAAAAAGAAACGTCTTACAGCACAAATAAAGGAATAATTCCAAAAAATAAACAAGCTTGAAAATTAAGATAAATTTTGGGACTTACAATTTTTCTCGAAAATCTACGTAAAATCTGGGTAGGTACGGAACCCTCGGCGCACGAGTTCGACTCGTACCTGACCGGTTTTTTTGTTTCACATGTGATAAAAACAAACAAACGATACCTCTACAACACTCTTGACCATTGCTAGTTTTAAAAAGTCTTACCTTGCACAATTCGCTGAGAAGTTCTTTTTAATCCTAAACACAAGCAGATACACAAACATTGCGTTGATAATGAAAATATTTGCGTGTGTTTTATTTAGATCAGCCTGCTCGCTCGTAACAACACGTATTTTGTGACATTTAATAATCAACAATTTCTCAATGTTTTCCGTATTTACATTACACTTTTGCTGACCTATAGTTTTTTATGTTTTAGGTTACCAAGTCATTTGGAATCACAACCTAGTTACGTGACGTTTTTCATAAATTACTTTCTCAATGCAATCAACATATCCGATTATGTTGCTTATATTTAACCGACTTCAAAAAAAAGGGAGGTTCTCAATTCGTCGGAATCTTTTTTTTCATGTTTTATGTATGGATAAATGCTAAAGTGTGTCTATCTGTGTGTCTGTTACCTCTTCATGCTTAAACCGCTGAACCGATTCAGATCAAATTTGGTATAGATCTAGTTTGATTCTTACGATAAAATTATATTTATTTTTGAACTTATGGAACATTATTTCCTCCTTTTTAGTTAGCTAGCTACAAAAGCGTGTTTTTTTAGTTTTTAAACTATAATTTATTATTATTATTATATTCCGTGTAGTGACGGATTAAGAATACGGAATGTCACTACCCCAACTCATCCCGTGGGTGTCGTAAGAGCTGACTAAGGGCGCAAAACAACGCAGGGCACCAGCACTGCAAAAAGAAGGAAAACTTGACACAAACCCTGTACCAACCCGTCTGGCCAGAGTGGTATAGTAGGCCTAAACCTCCTTTGTAAGGAGAGGCCTATGTCCAGCAGTGGACTATTAAAGGCTGTTGATGTGATGTGTGATGTGATATTCCTAGTAGAAAACACGTTAACTGCATCTACAGTATGATGTTATGTTTGCTATCAAGCTAAATAGGTTTTATGATGTTAGTTGATTATGAAGTACTGTTAGATGTTATCAAACCTTTACGTTAAGGGGTTGTAGTTGCCATCATTTCTAATAGATTTCACTTTGAAATATCCCATTTCCCAAACCTAACCATTTTCAAGATATTGGACTTGCCGAAATTTTGCCTAATACATTTTTTTCAGAACTTATATCCTTTATTTTATCTTTTTTATTAATTTTTGTATAATTGATACACTGTTTTGTAATTTCCATTACTAAAATTGTAGTTAAGAAACTGGGCCGAAGTAGATAGTTAATAATAAAAATTGTAAACATTTGTTTTTCTTTGACGAATATTATTAAAAAATCTATGACAATTTACAGTTTGGTAAACATGTATGTATTGTCAGCTATCTAGCAAGGTATAATAGTCTAAGATAGTATCATAATGCTTGTTTTACCGCGGTCGCATCCTTTTGCGAAGACGTCATCTCGCTCGAGGGCTCGGGAGAATGACCTCGGCGGAATGGGGCGGCGGAGGCGCGCATTCCAGCGCCTCATGCCGCTCTGAGTGTGGCCGCGGGTGGACGGGACGGGTTTTCCACTCCATCGAGGCGGAGGCGACGTCCGCGTGTGCCGAACGTCGTCTAAATAGAGAGTTTTTTATCGAAAGTGCCAGCGCTTTTGCGGGCAGGCGCTAGGTGTCCGGATGTCGTAATAATAGCTGTTCCCGGATCCCTCCTATTTCAGGCGCAGAGTGGAACACCGAGTGGTTTTAGTCGGTCCATTCCAACACACCGCCGCCGCAAACCTCGGTTGGGTGACGGCCCGAGGGGATATTCACGCGTAAAAAAAAGGATAGTATCATAATTCAAAGAAAAAAAACTTAAATGAAAGACTGAGAGTATTAAGAAGGCTTGTATTTTTGGACTGTTTCGTTTTCTATTCGTTTATCTATTGCTATCTAGACTTTGATTTGTGCTTCTGATAATAATATTACAATATTCTACGACATTCATACAACGCCATCTAGTCCCAAAATAAGCAGATCTTGTACTATGGGTACTAGACAACTGACAAATACATATATACTTTCTTTTTGTAAATACATACATATTGTACATAGAAACATCCAAACCAAATGAAACATTAAATGTTAATCCACACAAATGTTTGACTTAAGCGGGAATCGAACCCGCGACCCTTGGAATTGCAGTTCGTTACACAAACCACTACGCCATCCGGCCGTCGATGTTGGAGATGATGACCTATACGAACGACCTCTTTCATGATATTGTATTTCCAAGGGAAATCTGTCAGAAATGATGGCTACTACAACCCCTTAAAGTATCTAGGTCGACTTACCTAGTAACTTTGTTTATATTTGTATGTTAGTCTGTAGACTATGTGTGTGTTTTTGAGAGAATGACTGTGTTAAAATAAAAACAAATTGTTGTAAGTAGACTACGTAAATCTTTAATATTTTGCAGTTAAGTTCATGGTAGTTTTTTTTTTTTTAACAATTAGGAACAACTTCTTTAGGCAGCCCCAATTGTAGTGCATAGATGGAATCTAGGTGCGATTTTTGAGTTCTTCCGTACCCAATCACTGATTCGGCTAAGGCAATGTATATTTGAGACCGGATTTGGAAGGGTATTTTCTCCTTCATTAAAGTAAACTTAACCAATACACCCCTCAGTTTTTCACAGACCCGGTCCATTTGATTTCTCCAGGAAAATGTACTATCTATAACGAGTCCAAGATATATTTGATCATCCACCACATCCATTGTTTTGCAAATACATTAGTCAGATGTAACTTTGTAATTATTCTTATGAAGGGATTCGTGATTGTGTGCGATGAGAGCGGGCTCAAATGTGCATCTGCTTCGACTAGAAACTTATGTAAATTATTTTAGTTTAACTTTAATTCAGCACAAGCCTAGGTCATGAGGCCATTCGGTCAAAAGATTGAAGTGATATTGGAGTTTGACCAATGCATCCTCGGCCAAGTTCTAAGCTACAAATGTCGTCAGCAAACCGAAAGGTCTCTCATTTTGAAATCAAGTTTTGCAAGGTTACAACGCATGCAAGAAAACCAGTTCGAAAAACAGCTCATCCCTCTAGTGCATCTTGATCCGCCACCGATAAATATGTGTGCGTCATTTGTTTTAATCGACAAAGTAACAGAATTTCAACTTAAAATTTTGAAGTTCATATAAAATTAGCGAACATACAAGTACTAATATTACGTAACTAATATATGACAATGATTACTATGATGACAGTTAAAGAAAAAGGGCTTGAGATGAAACTTCTCGAAAATACACTAAAAAGCTGTGAGCAAAAGGAGTGAAAAAACTAGGAACCTTCGTGGAACCGAGGGGCACTCAGATGTAGACTGATTGGCTTCATGTGACTTAAAGTCATCAGTATTGCATATGTTGAATACTGAGGCATAAAGGCATATCCTGAGTTTAAGTGTTCTTTATGTTTGTAAAGTCCCCCGTCACGGAATATAACCCTAGTGCGGAAGTTGATTTTAAAGTAAAACAAAATATTCAAAAGGCAGCAACGCAATTAGTTAAAAGTGTCCTTGGGCCAGTGATAGTCACTTACCATCAAATGAACCATCTACTCGTTTGACCCCTTACACCGTAAAAAAAGTACAAATAAAGAAAAAGTTAATTCGATTAGGCTTAAATAAAATGTAAAATAAATAAAATCTATGCAACCGATTCATAGGCCGATAGGCAATCGATTGGACCAGAAGGATTTTACGATAAGACGCACCTGTAGGCCTAATAGACCTGACATTATCTACAATGATGAGGAATGCAGCGAGTATCGTATCTAGGTGCATTCTAAGACGTCGAAGTCTTCCATTTTTTCTTTAAGTGTGCAGCTTTGCTCGAAGAATAATGAAGCTTATAAATAGTTTGTAAGCGCAATAGGTGTGTCACATCACACATCAACAGCCTATGATAGTCCACTGCTGGACATAGGCCTTTGAAAGGAGATTTTGGCATACTATACCACGCTGGCCAGACGGGTTGGTATAGGGTTTGTTTCAAGTTTTCCTTCTTTTCGCAGTGCTGTTGTCCTGCGTAGTTTTCTCCCTTAGTCGACTTTTGCGACACCCACGGGATGAATAGGGGTGGTGTCATTACGTATTCTTAATCCGTCACCACACGGTGGAATATATAGGTGTGTGATTACTGAGATATATGGCACTTCAATTTATACTATTTTTAAATAAGTAACTGGATTTACCTGTGATCATAGAGTTAAATTCCACGGCATAAAACGCAATGAAATAACCATTTTTAGTTATTTCGTTGTTTAGGTCAAAGTACTTGTTTCTTTTTAAAGTGTGGTATTTAGGGATGTTCGTTTCCCACGGCACCGTGAATTCATAATATTCAAAACCAGAACTACATTTTTATTATGTTTTTCTTTTAACAGAGAGAATGGGTGTGCGATCGAGCTAACTATGCCCCCACCGCTCAATCTGCGTTCTTTTGTGGATCTATAGTGGGCACTATATTGTCTGGATGGCTGGCTGACCGCTTTGGCCGAGTACCTGCCCTTATAGGTATAAATGTATCTATTCTTATATTTGTCTATTTAATTTTATGTATCATTTAGGTACGATTTAACAACTTTTTGCTCAGATAAGAGCTGTAACTGAAGCAGCATGTTCACCTTTATCTGGATAATTCAAATTATCAAATTATAATTCAAAAATCATCATAGCATGATGAATCTATTCTGTTGATTGGTAATTGGTGAAACTTCATAAGGGAGGGCTTGGCAAACTCTTCAAGTGGTGGATTCTGGACATGGACATCGTGAGCGATGAGGATGTTTTTTTTCTCTCCTCATTCAAAGAGAACATTATGGACTTTTAATATTCCATTCAAAAGTGCTTACTGGCAGAAACTAAGCTCGACTACAAACCAACTGGCCGGTTTCAACTCTTTGGGCCCATATGGATAATATGTCTATAAGAGCTTATTAAGGCACGCTTACTCTGCTACCAACAAGAAATTTGAGGGTTTGCCCCCTTGTCACTTTCGACAAGAATTATTGGTGTTTCCAGAGTCAATGCAACTTCCAGGAGTTGCGTTGCGTTGACTTTATTAGACAGTTTTCAGGAACTGTCCACTATGAGAAATTATTAGCTTCAGGTCTCTGATTAGATCTTCAATAGTTAGATTTTATTAGTTGTTCTATTTAAATTCTTTATCATTTCAGGAACTAATTTGGTGGGAGGTATTGGTGGTATAGCGACCACGTTCACTACAGGTACATGGGACTTTATTTTGTGCAGATTCATTGTCGGTTTAGCGTTCGATAATTGCTTTATGCTGGTATATATTTTAGGTAAGTTAAATCCTTTTAACATCTTAATTTTTAAATCATCACTTTTGAGTCTTAATTAAGCAAGTACCCAAACAATGGTTTCTTTAGAGGAAATTTTAAACAATTTAATGATCAACTTTCCTCACATAATTTTAAATTTTTAATATAACCAATTAACCATGGAAGAGTTACAGCACGACCTCCCCTCTTCGACTCTGGAGTGAGTTGCAGGTATCTGACGTCCAAAAGGATAATACATACAAGGATGTTTCATTTTTTCAGTTCTTGAATTTGTGGAGCCAAAATGGCGCACAGTGATAGCGAATATATTTGTGGCATCGACATCTGCTGTTGGTTCCATGCTGCTTCCCTGGCTAGCACTATATATTGCAAATTGGCGCCGATTACTGCTAGTGACGGCGGTGCCCACGTTCATAGTTTTGTACGCAAAATGGTTAATTCCTGAGAGTGTCAGGTACTTACATATATTAGACATATTATTAGACATACAGTAAATTTAACTATATCTTTATACTTACATGTTTATGTTTACTTCAAGAAGCCTTCACAAAGTTATTGCTACACTTTTTCCACTTAAATAAAGGTTAATCAGAGGATATAAAGATCCTCAGTACTAGATTTTTTACGCCACACCCACACATCTGATTTGCTCGTAAAAGCTATTCAAACTCTAATAAAAACCTTTAAAGCACGATGTGACTTGTTGACTGTTGACTGAGTTATTAAATTTATGATTTAGGTGGTTATTGAGCCAAGGCCGCATTAAGGAAGCTACGTCAATTCTAAGAAGGGTGGAGTCCATTAATAAAGCGAAGATTCCTGATGATATGATGGATGAATTTTTGGTGAGTGCAATACAAGCTGTTCTTTTTTAGTTCGATGGATGACTAAAACTAAATGCGTTTAAAAGATCGAATGTTCTAGTAATGTGGACAAGACCCTAGGAACTTTGTCTGTCTGCCTTATCCGAATACATTCAATTGCTAATTACATGTCTAAGTACTTAACTTAAAGTTCTCTCTCGTTGCTTTCACACATATAATGCTACTCAGTCGGAGCCTCGGACGTCATGGGTTCGACTCCCCCTCAGGACAAATAATTGTGTGTTAAGCACGATCGTTTGTTCTGTGTCTGGGTGTAATTAATTAATAATATGTAATATATAAGTATGTTTATTAGCAGTCTGGTTATCATAGTACAGGTAGTATCTGCCTAGTTTAGGAACAAATCCGTCCGTGTGTAAGATGCGTGAGGTTATTATTATTAATACATAATTCTCATCCTTCCTGGACATTCTGAAAAGGATTTTTTTTTACTTTAAAAATAATACATTGTATTCTCAAATTATTCTCTGCAGTAAATTAAAAATATTCCCAATCTAAAACAACTGGAATCTTGATTTACAAACCACTTGTATTTGTAACAGATATCTTCGATAAAAATGAAGTCACCGAAGGAGCAGTCAATTCGCGATATATTCAAGAGTCCACCACTCTGTAAAGCTATGCTCAAGTTGATAATTGTATACATGGGAATTGCAATAGTTTTCGATGGTCTCATACGTCTCTCTGATACGTTCGGCATGAGTTTATTCACCGTCTTCACTTTGAATGAGGTCTCTGAGTTCGCAGCCATTTTACTAGTTGCCTTTATTCTTGATAGGTACGTATTAAAAAACGTTTTTAAAAGGATGTAACTCAATGATATAAAATGTTTATTGTTATATAAACTACTCTAAATGTTTACAAAACACGATGATATCAAACTATGTTAAATATATAAAATGTTACTAAAGTTAATGGGAAATGTTAATATGTAATGTTTATATGTTTATAATAGAGTTAAAATGTTAATATGTTATTGCTATGAATGCACCCGGTCGCAACGGTTCCGAAAGGTACACTGTTTTATTTTACATAATTTTGTCATTAAGTATAATGCGTCGCGGCCCGACAGGATTCAATTCACGTGTTCGATGTCAGCAATAATAATAATTAATGAATATATCGAACAGGGGTATTGCACAATTTGAAAGCTATTTGTGATAAATAGTTGAATAAAAAGAAATTAGCTCATTATCTATAAGATCAAATGTATATACGTGACTGTGAGATTGATTCTTATTTCATTATAACATAACAATCTTCTCAAAGATTTTAGCTTCATCAATAAATTATACTTTCCGTGTGGATTAAGAATACGTAGTGTCACCACCTTTATTCATGCATCCCGTGGGTGACATAGAAGTTGACTAAGGGAGCAAACTACGCAGGACAACGGCACTGCAAATAGAAGCGAAGGTTGACACAAATCCTTTTTTTTTTTTTTTTTTTTTTTTTTTTTTTTTTTTTTTTTTTTTTTTTTTTTTTAACGTGTGGAAATCCCCTCGGACCGTCACCCCTCCGGGGTTTGCGGTGGGGTGGTGTGTCGGACTCGGACCGACTAAAACCACACGGTGTGCCACTCTGCGCCTGTAACAGGAGGGATCCGGGAACAGCTGTTGTTAAGACATCCGGACCCCTCCTAGCGCCAGCCCGCTCCTGGTGCGGGCTCCATCTCAATATATTTTCCTCTCTTTAGGCGACGTCCGGCACACGCGGACGCCGCCCCCTCGCGGCTGGCCAAACTAATGCGGGTGGAGGGGAAACCCACCCCGTCCACCCGCGGCTACACTCAGGGCGGCATGACGCTGTGATAGGCGGGCCTCCGCCGCCCGGTTCGCCGGCGGCGGATCGGGTCCGAGTAGAGGTCGTCCTCCCGGGCCCTCTCCGCCGCCTCCTTCCGCGAGATTACTACCTCGCAGAAGGTTGCGACCGCGGTAAAACAACTGTCGCTACCGGCCATGGAGCGTACTACGGCCGGTAGCGAGAGATCCACTCCGATGACTGCAGTGAGGGCCCGGCGCTGCGCCGCCCATGCAGGGCAGACCGCCAGCGTGTGCTGGGCCGAGTCCTCACTGCAGTCGCAGTGGTGGCAGGCGGGACTCAGTTCCCTCCTAGCGACCGAGTGCAGGTACTTTCCGAAGCAACCGTGCCCGGAAAGCACCTGCGTCAGCCGGAAGGAAAGGGTCCCGTGCTGCCGCCCTGCCCACTCGGCGATGACCGGCTGGAGAGCCTCCACGGCGGCGAAGCCAGCGCGTGGAGTCTCCAGCCGGAACGACCAACGAGCCATCGTGGCTCGGCGAGCGGCTTCGCGCCACTCGCGCACATCCTCGGGCGGAGGGCGAAATCCGCTCTCCGCCCGGGAGTCAGCCACTCGCCGATAAACTTCGGCGAGCACTTCCGCCTCCAAATCCCACGGGGGAGTTCCGGCCAACGCGCATGCCACCTCCGTCGAGACGGTGCGGTAACCGCGTATGGCTCTGACCGCCATTACCCTCTGAGGGCGCCAGAGGCGTACCCTATTCTGGGCGGTCAGAGTGGTTGACACAAATCCTAAACCAACCCGTCTAGCCAGCGTGATATAGTTTTGCCAAAACCTCATTTCTAAGGAGAGGCTTACGCTGTAAGTAATGATGATGATGATACTTGGTTTCGAGACCTTTTGTATTCACAATCACTAATATTCTTTTTAAATTTTTAGTTCTGATTACCTTGTAGTAAGGAAATTTTATTTCATAATGGAATCAGTTCAAATGAGAGTTTGTTAAATGGTATCTATTTATACTATACATAAACGGCCTTCGTGTGGTATCTGTTTCTTCGTAACGTTTGTCTTTATATTTCAGGGTAGGTAGAAGGAATTTAAGTTGGATCCCAACTTCTTTGTGTGGTGTCATTTTGTTCATAAGTTTATTTGTGGGCAAAGGTACGTTATTTCTTTTATCATAATAATAAAATTGTTTCGTTTTAAGTAAAATGCCTCATAAATATCTTGAATATTATAATTTTTTTTCTGACATTGTGCAGACCAATAAATATTAACTTATATTTTTATTATTTGTGTGTTTATAGGTTTTGTTCTGGCGTCTTTAGTGAATTTAGCAAGATTTTTTTGTTCAACTTCTCTTTTATCTATCATGCAATGGAGCACAGAAATACTACCAACTCCTTTCCGAGCAACAGGAGCATCAGTTCTACACATGTGCGCACTCGTCGCTGGCATTTTATCTACCTTTATTGCGTACTCAGTAAGTTTCCTTACCCCAGTGTTTAATACATTTATTGGTATTTTATTTGAGCCGAATCCAAAAAGTGTGGAAGGTTATTAAGTTGTTATGAATTCTAATCTATTACACAAAGATGGCAGGCCAAGATGGCAGTTCGAGGGAACTCTTCAAATGTTATGAATAGTTATTATTATGTTTATTCATTAAACCTTATATCTACACCGTGTCATATTTTGTTCCATCTTTAATATATTTTAAGAGTAGGTATAGTTTAAAGAAATCAAGTAATGTTTAAAACATCATTAAAATTACTTGTATTTTTATAAATCTACCTGTACATTCGGGGCAAGCCCATTTCTACAGGCTTCATTTGATTAAATTGCATTGAGACTGCTAAATAAATATCTTTTGAGAGAAAACTTACAGTACCTACTTTAAACTTAAGGATTCTGAGCAGCTAAATGAAAGCTATTGATTTATCGTGTCTCCTATCTATGGCTACCAAAATAGTCACCACAGAAACCCACTACATGGATTTTAAAACTAGTAAATTAATATTTAAAATATTTTAATCAATAATTTCATTAAAAAATGACGTAAATAACTCTGGAATACAATCAAATAACTAGCAGTAATAGTCCGTGCGTATTATGTATTCTTTGTCCCTCTTATTGTCTTTTGTTATTTCGTCTTCATCTCTTGATTATTAAATGTTATGTTTTGCTTGCTTTCCAGGCGCGTGTGTGGACTCTACTTCCGTTATTAATATTCATTCTAGCGGCTTTTCTCACATCATGTATTACTCTAACACTACCTGAAACGAAAGGGCAGCCGTTGCCGCAATCTGTGGCCGACACCGAAAACCTCATAAGGGAACATTCTTTATGCGGGTAAACTGATTTTTTCCCCTTTTTTTTTGTAAAGGGAAACATGCAGATGGGTCACATGATGGTAAGTGACTACCAACGCCCATGGAGCCTCAAGAGTCACAAGTGCGTTGCAGCTCTTTTAATCCCCTCCCCCAGAATGAGAGGGAAGTTTGGTTTTCGATAACCAAGTTGAAATGCATTGAAAGACTGATTCGCATCGGTTTTCTCTGATGCCGTGGGATCCCTTTTCTTCTAACAGCGAATTTTATAAAAGTTTTGCCAACGCATAGGAAAATGGGCTTCCATATCCTATGCATTATAAATATTGTTAATTTGTATTATACTACATCCATTAATTCAAAGAACTTGGTCACTAAGTTATTGCGATAATCAGCTTTAATGACCAAAAATGAATTAACCAATTCATACCGTTTTATTTTATTTCAGACGACCCGAAGATTCTGAAGATGGTCCATATAAAAAGTCATAAGCAAAGATAATTGTATGAAATAAGACATATCAAAAGAACATCTTTATTAAAGTTAATGCCATTAATGGTAAAAAACTGGCGGTGAAGGAGTCCCGTGTATATAAATTAGATAAAAATCAAAAAGGACTGCCTGTACCACCGTTTTGAGAAACACAGAAGTGTTGATAAATCTGTTGCCGGGAAATAAACGGGAAGATTTTTCAACCAAACACTAATATTTTAGTCACTTAAAATAGATGTCTATACGTTATAATAAATGTAACACACATAACCAAATTAGATTTTACTAATTGTATGATTTTTTTATGTTTGTTGTAATTAATAAATAAGTATGTATTATAAATACACCTTCGAAAGGAACACTGACTTTTTATGTGATATCCATTGGTAATTAGATTGAATCCGGCTCGAAGGACTACTCGTGTATGAGTTCCGTGCACTACTTGTAATTAATAATAATTGTTAATGCTGGATGATTCTTTGCAACCGCAAAGAGTTTTATTTAAAATAAATTTATAAAATATATGTAATACAGCTATTGCTAAACGTACACATGATCTAAAGTAGTTTACACTGTAAGGCAATTTGCTGACTGACCAATAATAATAATAATATATTTATTTGTCAGAATATACAGAGTTGTTAGTAGGTACATTTTAGATGCTAGCCACATTCTACCATTATCTGGTGAACAAAATGTTAGTAGAGTGAATTTACTATGCTTTTTTTTACGACATTATTATGCATTATTGATTAAAATAGTAATAATTATGTCACAATTTCTTATCGTCAAAAAAATTCTTTGATACTGTAAAAACATTTATCTAAGAGCAACGTAAATAGTTTTCTATTAAAAACGAATAGTATCTTCCTTAAATCTATTAGGTAACTTATTATAAATGTGTATAGCCATATATGCAGAGAGAAGGAAAACTTGACACAAACTCTATACCAACCCGTCTGGCCAGCGTGATATAGTAGGCCAAAACCTCCTTTCTAAGGAGAGGCTTATGTCCAGCAGTGGACTATTAAAGGCTGTTGATGATAATAGCCATACAGTATACATTCTTACTACACATATTTATTCTTTGTCTGGGAACTAAGAGTTTATGTGTATTTCTGCTTGACCTGGCGACGGCGTCGTTATGTTTACGAAATAGCCGTTGATGTTTGTGCACAAAAACACAGATCTCGTAAATATATAAACTAGGTAGTGGTAGTATGTTGTATTTCTTAAAATGCTCTTTGCAACTATCTGTTTACTGTAAGTTGGATAGTGCTCGCATACTTTTTTGTTTGCACAAGAAATGTCCTATTTGCCTCAACTGAATTGCCAAATATTATAATCGCATATCGTAGTTTTGACGACACATAGCCGTAGCATACAAATGTATGGTCGCCAATCCTTACATTGCTGAAAGTTGTAAGGCACATATTGATGGTTTATACCTATGTGAAATTGTTTGAATTTTGAGAATCAAACCTTGAAAATGGTGATAACACATCATAAATCTAAACTTAAATTTCTGAATATGATGAATTTTAGAATTTCAACTCCAAAAAATCCTTCATTTATTCAGTTTTTGATATTCTATTCTTATTTCGGATCGGATAGCGGATCCAGCGGCTGGGTCTCAAGGTGGCTCTGCACAATTCCGAGGCATTGTTCTTTCACTGGCGTCGTAGGAATCCACCTGAGGGATCCAGCCTTAAGAAGCACTAGCATCGGCATCGAGCCTTCGATGAGGTATCTGGGGCTCGCACTTGATGGCACATGGGACTTTGGACATCATTTCCGAGGTCTGGTCCCTAAGTTGGTTGGAGCAGGACCGAGGGGACTCGATGACTCCTTCAGGAAACTCTAGGGTCTCGGGTCATAGGGAACTCTCTTGCCCGGAACTCCGACTTGGAGGCGATAGCTCTTGCGGCTCGGTATCAGATACACAAGGAGGCCCGTCTGTTGGGTCGGAGTCCTGTGTCTTGAGAAATTGAGGATCAGAAATCCCAACTCTGCCAGGTCTTCGTGGAGGAGTGGAAGGAACAACTTGGGCAACTGAGCACTTAGGCACGCCGTTATCGCGGCGGGAAGGCCCATTATGGAGGATTGGCTCAAGAGGCATCACGGAACCCTCTCATACCGGTTAACGCAGGTGATCACTTAGTTGTGTCAGTCAGCATGTTTCGGAGATCACCTGTGTCTGATCCGCAAGGAGCCAACGCCTGAGTGCCACCACTGCGATGGCTGAACTGTGGACACGGCGCTCCACACGCTGGCAAAATGCCCGCCGTCCGTGGAGCAGAGACGTTGCCTCGTAGCGGCCATTGGAGTGAGAATTCTCTCGCTCAGTAACATGATTGCCGCCATGGTATGGAGCGAGAGTCCGCGGAACTCCGCCGTCTCCTTCTGCGAGCAAGGTATGCTTGCAAAGAAGATGGCGGAGCGCTATCGGGAGATGTTTAGAATCTTCTGTCTCATATGATGTGTCATGATCTCAAATCATGCTCTGCATCTGCTCCGCATCATGAAGTATGATATAAGTGTACCAAAACCAACCGTGTACCACAATTTGACAACCACCACAACCAGAAATGTTAACAAAGTAAATTACGAAAACATGAGGAATGTATTTGTTACTTGGTGTGACGGCAGCAACCCTTAACCACCTGCTTTTAAATTTCAGTTTCATTAAAAATTAATAATAATAAGCCTATTGACTTGCACTTTTGCCTTAGACTTTAATTCACAGAACACATTACGTACTCTCTATATCTGTAGTCTATGCCTATTTACTGAGCTATTATCGTCATTCTTTTTCCAAGTCTATATTACAGCTAGTTAATGTCATTAGTGTCATCGTATAATCAACAAATTATCTGTGTAGAGATTCCTTTATCTTAGGTGTACGAGTAGAGCGTCATGATTTCTTAGTATGACAATTTACAAAAGGCACTACCATCTTCTTAGTTGAAGATCTACGTAGGCCCAAAGTTACACTCACTATAGAAAAATGCGCCATTAAAACTATGAGAATTTACGAAATCAAAAATAGCATCAAAAACATATTTCATTCGATGCTAAATGGAAAATAAAGATGAAAATTCCACGAAACCTGATGCGCCATTCCAAGAACAAAGTGAAACACAAAGTGAAACAGAAAGGACCACACTCAGTTCAGTGCCATCGCAGGAAGCAACATCCAGCGCGCCCAAACCCAAAGAAGATTCTGATCGTTCCCTCTCAGAGGTATGACCGTAAAATTACAGACAATATTGTTACCGAAAAACAAGTCAAGTGGAATCTAAGGCTATCTGGTTATTCAATATGTGTTCCCAATGAAATATTGTTGTTGTTTACGTTTGCATTGCATTCACGATCTCACATCTAATTCCAGGAAAATTTAGAATTAGATGCCGACGTGTTGGAAGATATATTATTCTTTATTGGCGAAATGGGACTCTACCAAAAGCTGATGTTTCTAGGAATGTTGCCTTTTACAACGTTCTATGTGTGGGTTTACCTGGTGCAAATATTTATAACTGTTGCGCCCGAGAGATATTGGTGTAAAATCTCTATATTGGAGGCATTGCCTATGGAACTGAGGTGAGTCCAAAGAATATTACCATATTACCAAATTTTTAGGAAACCCGAAGGTTAACCCTTCTATAACATTAACTTCGGAAAAAAAATGAAATAAAATAATAAACAATGACTGGCCGGTGGCGGTGGTGACGGGTTAAGAACACGGAGTGTCACCACCAGTATTCCGTGAGTATCGTAAAAGTTGATTAAAGGATCAAACTACGCAGGACAACAGTACTGCAAAGACAAGGAGTACTTATTACGAACACTATACCAATCTGTCTGGCCAGCGTGGCATAGTAGGCCAAAACCTTTTTAAGGAAAGGCGTGTCCAGCAGTAGTCTATTAAAGGCTGTTGATCATGGCTAACTTTATCACAATCATATTGACCTTTATAACATTCCAGGCGTAATTTGTCTGCACCGGGAGCTGCAACAGGTACGTGGGACCAATGTAACACTTTCGACGCAGACTGGGATCAAGTCTTAAACAGTTTGTCTCCACCACCAGCTGGAACACGTCAGATCCCATGCCCAAATGGATGGGAGTTTGAATTTACAGATATACCGTATGCAAGCGTAGTTGTTGAGGTAACTAAATCATTTTTGATACATATTTAAAGATCATATTAAAATCTTCGAGATTTCTGTCACAAGACTGTGCTGATGCCCATATCTCAGGCATCACTTAAAAGACATGTGCTTAAAAACTCAATGTCAGCTTATATTTTTGCAAAGATTGTTTTCGAATTCGTTATTAATGTAAAATTGATACGTGCACATTGATTTGAAAATGAGTATAATATATAAAAACAATAAGCTAAGTACTGAATGCTTTTTTACTATTAAAAATATAACAATGCTACAAAAACACCACCAACCTCCTTAGTAATATAGTTACATGTATAAGATTATTCAGTAAGTGCTGAGACTAACTTAGACTAACTTGACGCATTGGTTAAAAAATCTTTTAATCTTTAAGTACTGGCTATTCATGAGATCATCATCATCATCTTCCAAATTATTCTTATCTATTCGTTCTTTTTCCAAATTTAATTCAAGGCGATGTAATGTGGCGTGGTGACGGATTAAGAATACAGAGTGTCACCACCCTTATTCATCCCGTGAGTGTCGTAAGAGGCGACTAAGGGAGCGAAATACGGAGGACAACAGCACTGCAGAGAGAAGGAAACTTGACACAAACCCTATACCAACCCGTCTGGCCAGCGTGGTATAGTAGGCCAAAACCTCCTTTCTAAGGAGAGGCCTATGTCCAGCAGTGGACTGTTAAAGGCTGTTGATGTGATGTGTTGCAATGACTTTTCTGCTTTAATTCACCTTTATCATTCGACATTATCTTTCACGCACTCCTTCATTTCACTCCAAATGGGTTTTTTTATTAATGGTCGGCCGCTTGCCTTACGCAAACTCTTCTTGAGAATTTAATAATTGAACGTGTAACAAAGTTAGACTGTATCGCAGTTGAAAGAGCAGTCTCCTAATTGATGAATAAAAAATAGTTTAAAAAATTAACACTTTATTTTAGTATTATTTAGTCTGGGGATTTAGTTAAAGAAGTGTTACGTTAAGAGTCCTATCATGCAAATAAAAAACCACTCCTTTCGATATGACAGAGAGGCTGGGTGTGTAGTCAAGCAGCTTATGCGCCGACCGCTCAATCTTTATTCTTCGTTGGAGCATTGATGGGCGGTCTACTCTTTGGGTGGATCGCTGATAACTTTGGCCGAGTTCCTGCATTGGTTGGTAAGTTTTAATTAGTATCTGTAGTCTTTAGGCCGTTGTAAGTGCTGTAGAGTATAAAGAGGATGTCAGATTACGTAGTGAATGAAACAAGACATGACTTACCCACTTATCATTAGACAAACTCACATGCACCTTGCTTAGTATTTAACAACCAGTCACGGTAAGATTACAAAATATATTTCTTGATGAAAAAAAATGAGTCATTAATAATATAACACCAAATAACTATACTGGCTACAAGAATATTTATTAAAAGAACAAATCGTCTTTTTGTTAATATGTATTTAAAATTATTCATCGAATTAACAGTATGACTGTTTATAATATAAGGAGCAAACTTGATCGGCGGTATCGGCGGAATATCAACGACCTTCACAAGTGGCTTGTGGGATTTCATCTTCTGTCGATTTCTTGTCGGCCTATCATTTGACAACTGCTTCATGCTTCCGTATATTTTAAGTAAGTAACACAATAATTACAGTATTTAATTTCATTTAAATATTTAAAATATTGAATCAGATTGTTAGAAATCGTTCGTCGATCGTTTAAAGCCGTGTAAGTTGGACATGATACCTGGTAGTTTCAACATTTTGTTTCCTTCTTAAACAATATTTCATAATCAACTAACTTTAGAAGAGCTATCTTTAATCAAATAGGTAACGGCTTGACGGCAGTGATACATGGTTTCATAGAACACCAGTTTTTAAAAAGTCTTTTGTTACATTTCACCGACTAAGAGAGTTTAACGGATCTCTGAACCCCCAACTTTAATTACCCATTTTAAAACTCCTTAGACAAACATTCTCCTCATTACCCTGACACTGAGACTCAATTTTTTGTGTAAACGTGTTTTACGACGAAATACGTGGTTTTTACCTAGTTTGGCAATGGAGGTTTCTTCTTCTTCTCATGTACATTACATGTTATTTATACCAGTTTCATATTGAAAAAAATGTATACATACGTTTTGAGTAATAAATAGTTATGACTTTTTGTTAAATACCTGTCATTCTCTTACCCAGATTTTTGAGTGAGGCTAAGTAACTCAAGGGAATTCTCTCGCTAACGTTGTTTACCTATGACACAAGTATACTACGCCATAATTCTAACTGGTTTATTTGAAAATTTATGGCCTGGTTTTCCAAATACTGCAATGTTCCTGGACAATGTATTGTACTTTCAGTTCTAGAATACGTCGGGCCAGGTCATCGCACCTGGGTAGCGAATATGCCAGTCGCTATATTCGGAGGTGCCGCTGGCGTGTCTCTTCCATGGATAGCCTATTTTATCTCTGACTGGCGTCTTACACTATGGGTCACTTCTCTACCTATGTTTGGGGCCATTATTTCGCCATGGGTCATGCCAGAGAGCGTTAGGTAAGTTGAGATGTTTTAAGTACTGCATTATTTAAGACCCTGGCATCTTAGTATGTTTATCATATATCTAATATACATTTAAAACATATAACTGTGTAAGCCAAACTTAACAACAATGATGATAGTACGCCAAATTTGAGAAGCTGTAGGAGAGCCATGCTTCGTCAGATATGGGCCGGGTTGACCGGACTGATTCCACGCCCTCACAGAAAACTGGTATTTAATCAATTCTTTCGCTGCTATTTACTGAATGGGTGAGGTTACCAAAGGCCAAAACCCTATCCCCGTCTCGTTGATTCTGGGAGGAAGGCACTCAGAAGACGGCGACGCATTTGTCACCTCCCATCAATAGTCACTTACCATCAGATGACCCGTCTGCTCGTTTGCATATCATAAAAAACTTACATTTATAAGTAATTAGCATTTTTCTAAAGGCTCTTCTAAAGCTTTATGTCACAGGAATCCAAGTCTGCTTCAAGTAAAAATGAAAATTTAAAGCTATCGCTTTATTTAATGTTAGCTTAAATGAAGCGCATCTTCCTTAAATGCGCTTATAATACAGATAGTACGGTTCATTTCTGAGACTCGTGATATCTCAACACATTTATGCCATATCATCATGTCATCTCATATTCATTGGCCATTAATATTCTTTTTACCAGCTTCATATTGGGATGATGTATGATGTGAGGTATTATAAAAACAAGATTTTATTTACACTTAGATCTTTCAATAAAATTGTATATCTACAAAACCAAGAGAAATAAATCACTGTAGGAAATGAATTAATCATAAATGGTAATTCAGGTGGTTGGTAAGCCGCGGCCGCATCGATGACGCTGTAAAAGTTATACGAAAGTTCGAGAGGGTTAATAAAACCACAGTACCAGATGAAGTTATGGATAAATTTATTGTAAGTAAGATTTAGAAGAAGTAGTATTTAGAATACGGAGTATCACAACTTCTATTCATCCTGTGGGTGTCGACAACAGCATTGCAAAGAGACAGACAACTTGTTACAAGCTCTATACCAACCCGTCTGGCCCGCATGGTATGGTATGTCGCAGTTTTCTAAAGAGAGACTTATGTCCAGCAGTGGGACTACTAAAGGCTGTTGATGAATATAACAAATGACTGAATTTATAATCTGACATTTTGATAATAGCTAAATAATCTCTAGTCTGAAATAGCAATTTATTTTATCAGATCGAAGTAATCTTTCTGCAAAATAAACATTTTCCAATTTTATTTACTTCTCTCTTCTTGGTAATAGAAAGCAATGCTTTTATTATTTTTTTATTTAGAGGTTCAACAGGTATACGATTTTTTGGGTATTCGCACCTCCGGACATTTGGATATCCGCACTCCATAACATTACAAACATTTGTTTAATATCCACAGCTAGCTACAAATAATAAATTTCTTCCATGTTAGACAACATCGCGGTCGACCAACTAGCAGATAAATACACTCATGTATTAATCTGCTTAAATTATATTAACTAGTTTTAGTTACTATTTATTTATATATTAACTAGCAGATAAATACACTCATGTATTTATGCTAGTTGGTCGACCGCGATGTATACGTATTACGACAGCCATCTAATATCACTACAAAACATGTTTAGAAAATAAATGGACAGTTATTTTAAAGTTTGTTAGAAAGATAGAATCGTTACACTTTCCTAATTTTATTTCATAATTTTAATTAAATTGATTTCGTGGAAAAGGACGGAAGTGAACACGCGATGTACTAGATGTCAGACGTTACACATAATATGTGGTCAACGGAGAGCTCTTTTTGTTATTCATTTCCATTTTATTTTAACAGGCCACATCCAAGAAGATAGGGTCGAAGAAAATGGAGTCATTTTTTAATATTTTCCAAAGTAGGCTGTTGTGCAGAACAATGATTTACATGATAGTGGTATATGGCTCTGATGCCGCTATTTACGACACTTTGGTGCGAGTCACTCAAATGTTTGGGCTCGATTTCTTCATCACGTTTACCATCAATGTGGGTATTGAGATTCCGTCTGTTCTACTACTCACTGCGCTACTGGACAGGTGCGAATCTATATTAGTATTTTATTCTATCACAATTTTACGAAAAATTACTGTAGTAAAGTTGTAGTAACTAGTACTACAACTTTTATTTGACACACCATTACTTGATGTTCAACATGTAATCAGACATACGGATAGCGCTAGTAACTACATAAACATAAAAAAACATAACTCCACATGACGTGATGAGTAGCACAAGTAAATTAATAAATAGTCGTTCAATGGTCCTGAGCTTCCCCGAGCTCCGTCTATTAATTGTACTCCGTTTGTCATTTTACACATTTAAATTGCTGAAGTGTTATATTTTCATAGCTATTTCATAGCAGTTTCTTTACTTTCTTAGACTTTCATTAAAACTCAATCTAATCACCAAATAACTAATTAACAATTTGAAACGGTACCAATAGTACTTTTGACTGCAAATTCCCTTTATTGTTGGTGAATCACTGGGGCGAGGTTAGAACAGTATGATGTTGAGGTCAAAAATACTTTGGATCGATTTTGCCGGTTATACCCTCCTCTTTTTTGAAGTCGGTTAAAATACTTTTGACCTGTTAAGAGTTCAGACTGCAATATATATAATCTTAAATTTGAAAAGGCTAGGCATTAACATTACCCTACTACATAGCCACTATCACTTTTTACCCGAATTATAATATCAGTGTAAAAATGGGGTACAATAAATTTTGGATATTATCAATCACTCAATTTTCATTGATACAATCATTACTTCTGTTTCACAGAGTAGGCCGAAGACTCCTTACTGGTGGCACTCTATTTATGGGTGGAATAACGTTATTTTTGGCAATGCTGGTGTCCAAAGGTAAGTGACATACCCATACTGCGTCACCCATTCAGCTATTCAAAATACCACGCTTGGTTACAGGAACGTTGGAAAGTCTTAGATTTTCGTCACATAGTCAATATCATGTATGGCAAAATCTGTATTAATGTAGTTGTTTTTTTTTTTTTATTTTAGATATAAAACGTATGTACAATATCTAATATTTTTTTGCTTCTTAGTGATTTAAATATAAAATGCCAAGACTTTAGGAAGAACCTTTATCTAATTTAGAATCCTTTGAACTGTTAACTAAACCACACCAAGAATAAGCAGAAGAAAATGCAACGGTTCAGCAATATTATTTCTGACGAAAGGTAGACCAATACCAGTCTATTTATCTAATTATTATAATTTAAATGTACTGTACCGTGACAGTATGTCAAAAACCGGTCTGCCAGTTTGAGTTTAAATTCCCTGATAGCCATTAAAGTAAATGTATTACAACTACGTAGGCCATCAATGGTTGTCATCATCAGTACGACTTCACCAATTTGTGCTACCTGAAAACAAATGCATGAGTCACCACAAAAACATTCCGAAATTGTTTCAAGTGTGTCTATAAAATTTGATGAATCCCTCTGAGGGTCCACCTGGGAAATATACGCTTTCAAATAAAAAAATCAATTCCCAAGTCGGGCCTGGACCGATTTAGATAATTCTTAAGGACTTAAGCGGAGAATAAACGTTAAAAACAAAAGATTACCAAGAATTGAGAACCTAAGTACTTCTTTTTTGAAGTCGATTAAATGGTGATTTAAAACCATATTTATTCATTCCTGCTACAGGTTTTTCTCTCCGTAAGAACCTTGTACCTTAACGAAAACATGAAAACAAATATTTGCCGAATTGGAATTTGAATTGAATTGTTTTTATTTGTTTAGATAACAAGTAGTGATTGTTTTACAGGATTGCCGCGAGTATCTCTAGGAGTATTAGCAAGATTTTTAATAAACATAGCCTTTACAGTATTGTGTCAGTGGGGTACAGAGATATTGCCTACGCCTTTCCGAGCTTCTGGATCAGCCTTCCTTCACATGACTGGTTTCGCCACTAGTCTGTTGTCACCGTTTATTGTTTTCTCGGTGAGATGATGATGTCTTTATAACATTATAGCTATAGTTAGTAAAGTTTAAGTTTCTTGAATGTGTCTCAATCATGGCCAACTGTTGCAAAGTATGTTTAACTTAATAAAGTTCACTTTTGTTGAGGGATAAACTTTTTAACACTGCTTTTGCAAATGATTGTAGACTTTTATACTAAGTGGACTGTATAACCAGGTGGGTACGTAAGTTAAACATGTTTTCTTCATTCTTTATGACAAACGGCATAAAAGAGTGGACAAGTCAGACAAGACAAGTGGTGGTTGTCACTTACCATCAACTGATGGTAAGTGACAACCACCGCTCATGGACAAGTAACCCAAGAGACACAAGTGCGTTGCCACCTTTTGAGCCCACCACCCCTCTCCCTAGGGAGAGGGGAGTTGGGCCTTTTTTCTAAAGTGCGGTAACTCCCTTGGGCTGTCAAACCGACTAAAACCACACGGTGTGCCACTCTGAGCCTTAAATAGGAGGGATCCGGGAAGATGTTATTAAGGCATCCGGACTCCTCCTATCGCCTGCCCGCAATAGCGCGCGCACCAACTTCGGGTACATTCTCTACTTAGGCGACGTCCGGTACTAGCAGAAGCAGCCTCCTCGGGGCTGGCCATTATGTCGGGTGGAGGAGAAAAGCCGTCCCCCCACCCGCGGCCACACTCAGGTTGGCATATTGGGTTCGTCAGCGGCGAATTGTTCGGTTGGTATGGTTCGGCCTGATACTAATAAGGTATTGGAATCGTTCTAGAAATGACGAAGATTTCACCTAATTACTTCACAAAACATTCGCGTTTACTACATTTACACTTTAAAGTTGCTGAAAGAAATCGACTTCTACAACTATTTTTGGTCTGTAGGAAACATTGTGGCAGCCGCTACCTCTACTTATTGCGAGTCTATGGGCGTTAATTACCGGGGTACTTACTTTCCTGCTGCCAGAGACCAAAGGCCAAGAAATGCCTCAAACTGTGACCGACGCGGAAAAAATTATCATAGACCAATCACTATGCACGTAAGATTTTGTTCAATATGTAGTTATATCCTAATTTAACTTGGATGTCTGATCCACAGCGCAAAAGAAAGATCACCTTTATAATATATTTTTTTTTTTACAATTATGAATAGGTACCAACGATTAAAAAGTCTTAATCTGCAGGGCTTTACTTGCTATTCGTCATTTGACTTAGTTTGTGCCATGTATTACTGAAAGGGGTTTCAAATGGATGAGTGCCGAATGTAACTGCAATTTTAATTGAACCCAAAATCGTATTTGCATACTCAAATATAATAAACATAACTGTAAAGTTCAACACAACAACATTCTTCTTTTGTTTTGTTTTTTCTATTAAAGTGTATACAACAAAAATATAAATAAATAAATAAAGTGAAATAAAATGAACTCGGACGTCGCAAATGTTACTCGTACCTTGCGCACTGGATCGAGATATTCTCCATCTCGTAACATACCTGATTTTTCACTAAAGTTAGATCTTCGCGAGCCCGATGCAAAATTCTAGAAGATGTAATCTCTTCTACAATCATTACTTTAATAAAGCAGTTAGTGCCCAGTAAACTCAAGTCCATTAATAACAAAATTATATATTGTCAAGAATCTGTGACATTCTTAAGTAATCAGTATAAGGATATGAAGGTGCGACTCGCTGATATTATTGTCTCTATGAATGAGCTGAGGAAGGAGAACGAAAAGCTGAGGGCAATTGTTATTGAATTAACAGAGCAACTTAGTTCTGAGCTGCATATGAGGGAATATAAAATCGAGATAGATGATGTCCCTGAAAACTTAAATACCACCGTAGTTCAACTAACAAAAACGGTAGACAATCCATTAATATGAGACAACATTAATCTTGATACCAGAGTTGCTAAATCAACAAGAGAAAACAATAAACCACGTGCGATAGCCATCAAGTTGCAAAACCCTCGTACCCGTGATGTAATACTCACTGCAGTAACTAAGCTTAATTAGTAAAACCCTCAAGATAAGTATAGCACATGTCGCCTTGGCATTGAAGACAATCGGTCCCCAATTTCTGTCACTGAATATCTGACAGCGATCAATAAATTCCTGCATGCCCACTGCACGTAAGAGGCAAGAACATTATCGTATTAGTTTGTGTGAGTAGGTAAAAGACTAATTTACGTGCGTAGGCATGAAACCTAATGAATTAATTGATATATTAACATTGTGGAAGTGTTACTGGTGTTACGGTATTACAATGGTTGATATTTATTATCAGAACGTGAAAGGTTTAAGGAATAAAACTAATGATTTATATAAGAAAGTTATTAACTATAAGATTATTGTATCCAGTATGTAAATCCAGTGTTGAGTTGTTTAACATTCGGTATGACATGTTATTTAATGCAATGTCCGATTATGTTCATAAAGTAAGAATAATTCGCAGTCCCCGACGAACAAAATCGTAATAGGAAAATAACAATTTTACAGGAGCAAATAAAAACTGAATATCTTGAATACTATCAAGACTAAAAAGAAGATTCTTTTATCAAAAATAGGGAATATTTTTTTGCACTAGATTTTTACTAAATTTTTATCATAAATTTTCTTTATCAGTTAGAAAATTGTGAAAATGTCCATTACTGAAATAAGCTATGGAAAAAATTAACGCAAACTAACTTTACGATAGTGTTCGACTGTAATCACAAATTGGTGTTGCTGTAGTAATCGTTCATTATGATATTGTTCCATGGTAAATATGAATATACTTTCTATTCGTAAAATGACATTGCAATCGTATTCGATGATATAACTGACTTTAATAATTCGGTAAACATAAATTACATGCTTATTCGATGATCATTTTTAGGTGTTATGAAAGGTAAGCAGCAAAATTAACCATTTCGGTACCTATGCATAAATAAAGTTTTTATGTGAATTACTTTAAATTTGACATTATTTATCTATTTATGTTTTGATGCATATTGTATTGATTTTACAGGGTTATTTGTAGCACTGTAAATTGAACCTAAATATTGTCAGCTTATAATCTAGCGAGTTTTCAATTGGTCAAGACATACAATCCTTACTAATATTATAAATGCGAAAGTAACTCTGTCTGTCTGTGTAGCTTTCACGTTGAACCGATTTACATTAAATTAGTACACAGATACCCTTGAGCCTGAGGAAGGACATATACTACTTTTAAATGCAAAAAAGGGTTGTATTGGGTCGAAATAGGGGTTGAAATGTTGTATGAAAGTATCGTCATTGCTTGGGATTCACTAAAATGGTACCCAAAGTCACTATTCCATGCGGATGAAGTCGCGGGCACACGCTAGTTGATTATAAATTTACTATTTAATGGTGACAAATTAAACGCAATTTTTTTAAAATTTTTATTATTATAATATGAAACAAAAATTAACTCAAAAAAAATTACTGAATTTAATTTTTATCTATATCTTCTTGTTGTTCTTCAGGTATAATATTGATATCTGCATAATTTAAATTACTATAAAAACTGTGATAACATTTAGGGATGGCCTCACTTTCACACAAAGACTTCAGGTCAGCAAACAGAGCCTTGATGATAGGTAAAGGGTGGCTGTAAACATTTTTGAGTGTTTGTACATCAACCTGGCCAGGGACGGGTTTCCGTCCTCGTTTGGGCTTGTTTAGTTGAAGTTTTGTATCCAACTAGAATGAATCATTGTCGAAGTCATACTTATACTGTAAAATTGTTGGTTTCAATTGAGAAACTCTCACCTCCATCAATTTCGACTACTGAATTTTTCGGCCTTGGGTGTCGTTTAACCAACTCTTTCCACTAATAAGATTCTGTCATTTTTCCCTCGAACAATATGGTAATAGCCGCTTATTCTAAAATGTTGACATTTGAGATTTGGTAATAGGTTTTTGCGTTATTGATCGTGTAAATTTTTCACTTATGTTATACGTTGAACAAAAACATAAAGATCATTATTGAAGCGATAAATCCAAAAGTATTCATCGCGCGATCATAAAAAAATCTCAATGATTGTAATAGGGTGTGTAGATAACGAATACTTAATAAACCCGATTCTATCGTAATATCGATTACCATAGTGTTCGTCGGGGACTGCGTAATTGATGATTGGGGTTATGATTGCCGTGTCCCGAATTTTTTTTCAATTACTCGTAGAGTAGAAAATTAAGAATCTTACGATTTTGAGGATTATTATTATTATATCTACTGTTAAAAAACAAGTGCAAAATCTAATGAATTAAATTAAATGAAAAATAGTACACACAGGGGTCATTTTATGTCCATTTGAAAATGAATGTGTAATGCAATCATATTTGTTATCAATAGATTAATTTATTTATTTAGTTAATTTATTTAATTAACTTATTAATTTATTAAAAAAAAATAAGTAGAACTGATGATGATGATGTTAAACTTAGATTACTAGCATTCCTCTCAGTTGAAAAATGTCTTACAGGGGGACAGTTAAACGAAATATATCATAATGCCAGCACCAACAACGATACGATACGATAAATATATGTAATGTTTAAAATCCCAGTCTATCTAACATAACAATTTTTTAATTTTTTTATTTATAAAATAAACATCACATATATACTAACTTTTAAACTTTCGCGTTCCATGATAATTAATATTATTTAACGGGAATTAACGAACGAAAATTAAGAGTCAGCCTGTGACCACGGCTGGTGCAACCTGGTCGAAACGTCAGGCAAACCAGAGGTATGTAATACCCTAAATAAGAGATCGCGTTAATTCCCGTTAAATAATAATAATTATCACATATATACATATATATTTTGCTATTTCCAGGCAACCTGAAGTGAAGGAATTTAAACAATCACTAAGCAAGGTACTGATCACAACAGTAGGTGAAACTATACAACGTGATCCATCCGGACGGGTGAGTCGACTGAGGCTACATTGAACATGTTCAGTGGATCAGGACGGGTCTTAATTTGATGGCCAAAACATTAAAGTGATCTCTTTAAACAATACTTAGAGTGGAAGAGAAAAGAAAGCGATGATTTATTCGTTTTGATTTATCGCCATACATTATGTCTCGGCACGCGCACGCCAGTTGAAGACACCTTTGTAAGTGAAGTGATATTTGATGTGAAAATGAATTATTTATAATTATGTATGTTTTACTCGTATATAGCGATGCAAGTTGAAAGTTACAACTTCTGAAATCGTGGTGTAGTTAAACAATATCAATGTATAAGATTGCAAATCATGGTGTAAAATACTTATAAATGTGGAGTTCTAGTCGGTGTTTTTTTATCATTAATATAAATTAAGCAGTATTTCGGCAACATTTCTTTTTATACTTATACGATATAATTTATATAAATGTCATCTTCACTATCAAGAAAATAAAGCTACAATTTATTGACCTTTAGAGTATCTGATGAGAGGTTTTCACATAAAGTAGCCAGGAATAAACGCAGTCATTTCTAGTGACATTCTCCTGAGGATAATGTTAGCAAATTATGCCGAAACAATCGTAAGAAGCAGTTTTACGTTGTGACCAAAGCTTACCTACTTATATTCTAGTATACTTCAAAATAATTATTAATTTATTTCTTATGTCCACTGTGTTATGTCATATGGCTTATGAACGCTGAATCATATAAATAAATAATAATTATTCTATAATAATATTCTACCACATACACACAACGCCATCTAGTCCCAAACTAAGCAGAGCTTGTACTATGGGTACTAGACAACTAATATAAATACATAAATACTTTTTTTTTTTGTAAATACATACATATTATACATAGAAACACCCAGACCAAATCAAACATCAAATGTTAATGCACACAAATGTTTGACTTGAGCGGGAATTGAACCCGCGACCTTTGGAATAGCAGTCCGTTATACAAACAATTACGCCATCCGGTCGTCAGATGGATCTCTTTATTTGTACACCGTTTTACAAAAAGTATGGTACATAAAAGTGTCAGAAATATAATGTACAAAGGGCGGCCTTATTGCTGAGAGCAATCACTTCCAGGCAACCTTAGGATGGATCAAACTGTTCTGATAAAAGTAACAACGTAAGATTTAGTTAAGTATGACGTGTTACCTTAACAAGGGACAAGTGAAGAATAACCGCAGAATCATCAAAGCTCGCTCATACTTTATCTACATAACTTGACATTGTCAGAATTAGGGTATTTTTTCCTAATCTCTGTCACACGAACTCTTCTGACAAGAGGTAGTTTCTTTTTTCTTTCGATTCTGTAGTTTAGACCGGCAACAGATTGCTTTTTAGGGTTCCGTACCTCAAAAGGTAAAGAAGGAACCCTTATAGGATCACTTCCTTGTCCGTCTTTTTTTTTTTGAAAAACTGATGCCCTATTAATTGCATCCGTTGACCCAGAAGCATTTGGATACTAACCCAAGTATCCAAATACTTCTGGTAACAAAGTCCCAGACAAAAAGAGGAACTAGCCCAAGTTTTAGTTTATTCAGCATTATAACAACTTCCTAATGTAATGGTAATTCTACCGTTTAATACAATATTATAAATTGTTTTGCCACTGTAGTAAATTACTCTACTACTTATGTTTTTTTTCAATTGTTCATGATAGTTTGTTTTTCAAATTTGATTTCTTTCTTTCTTTAAAAAAAAAACAACTCCCGCATTAGGAACATATCCTGTGTCGCGGGGACTTTAAAACACACATGAAACGGACACAAAGAACATCCAGACTCAGAACAACAATTTGTGGATCACACAAAGTGTCGTCCCATGTGGGGTTTGAACCCACAACACTCGGCGCAGTAGGAAGCGGCGTGGTGACCGCTTAAACCACTACGCCATCCGTGCAGTCAAATTGATTTTTTTATTCATCGCTCTGTGGAATAACTAGCAAATTATGCATCCGGAGGACAAGCTATCAAAGGATTTTCTCCATAAAATGTTGTGGTAAAGCCAATGAGAATTTGAATCGTAAAAAAATCACACATTTTCAACGTAACGTATATTCATCTTTACTTTTGCTATGTGATACACTTCAAGCTTAATTCTACTACCTACTGCAACAAAATAATTGATGTGCAGCCCCTAAAGTGAGCGGTCACGTCGAGCCGCAACCCTGTCCATCAACAGCCACGACTACTTTGGCAGTGTGACTTCTTAGTTACACCTTCTTGCTTTACTTCTTCTTCATAGAAGGGCAAATGAGTATTCGGGTCCAATGACGGTAAGTGACTACCGCCGTCCACGGACGTCTGCATCTCAAGAGGAACCCCAGTCAGTCAGAAGCGGGGGGTCGTTGGGTCCCTTAACCTCACTCACCCGGTGAAAATCAACGAAAAAATTACTCAACAGCTTAGCTTAGGTTTCTGCAGTCCTAACAAGTCAAGTCCTAACGATGACCAAGTGGTAAAAAATCTCCGACACGTAAATACATCCAGTTCTTATAAGCTATGTATTCTTCATCCCCTAATTTTCTACCCTTAGAGGTAGAGTATTTTTTTCAATTTATTTTATGATATGGGAGGTAACTGAGCAGACGAGTCTCCTGATAGAAAGTGACAACCGCCACCCATTGACACCTGCTATTCAAAACATACAAATGCATTACTTTGAATAATTATTCTCAGTAATTTGGTCTAATCTATAGAAAGTCGAAGCCACATGCTTGAACATTGACATAGACTTGACTGCACTCATATCTAAACCAACACTAACTTACTAAGAATTGTTTGTAAAATATGTACTTAAATATTAATTAAATATGTACTTAAATATTAATTAAATATATATCTTCCATATCTATACTTATAATAAAAGAATAATGAATATGATTACGGAATCACGCAAAAACAACAGAACTGATCTTGATTAAAGTCGGCATGGTGGCTTAGCATATTTGCAATAATCACACATCTGCAATATTTTTTATTTCCGATAGCTGACCTGCCATGGGATTTCGAAGAGTCTGAGTGTTTTTTGAGTTTAAAGTAGTTGAAAATGAGTTTAAGGTTACAAAATCACAAATATGTGTAATCATAGAATTGTGATATTCTATTTAAAAAAAAATCGGACTAGTGCGAGTCGGACTCGCCCACCGAGGGTTCCGTACAAATTTTGTAACCGAAAAATATACAACATAAAAACATTAAAATCTGTTTAAGCTGGAGCCAATGAAGCCCTTTCATGCGTGACACGGTTAACTCAATTAAAAATTTGGACAGCCGTTCCTTGCATAAAGACCCTGTTTTTTTTATTAATTTATTTACAATAGTATAGTTGTCAGATTTTTCCCTACACTTATACGGTACGGTATGGTGTACGGTATTTCTGGCCAAATTTTTATTTGCCAACGAATATGCATCATCAACGAGTCATCACCCCTGTAGGACTAACAGAATAGAAGTAACTAACACACCTGAAAACCCCGGTAATAAATTTGCTGGCTAAACTAGAGGGCATTATCCAACATTAAAATAATATTGTAAAGTAACAACACTGGTGATTCTACAGACTTATTTCTCAAGATGTCGTAAAAATGCACGGTCTGGAAGGTGTCCGTTAATACGAATCGCCTCTATACGCATGCGTGATCTCTAATATGTCTTCGGGTCCGGCTAGTTCCACTTAGTTGTGGTAACGTCTACAGCACAGCACTGCGAGGGCAGGCTCGCTCGATGCTCGGAGGTGAGATGCAGGTGAGCTCGGAGTGTTCGCGTCCATGTACTAGATACTAACGCGCAACGGCCATACGATGTTATTTGTTTACGTTACGTCTCCCCCTCCGGCAATGACGCACCGACGAAGAGATGATCTTGTGCAGCAAGGTCAACCTAGGAAAAGCCCACAAGAGATTTTCCTAGGTTGACCTCTCTCTCTGATTGACTGTGTGAACTTGGGTTAATCAGCTACATTACCTTGGTACGGCAAAAGTGCAGATGAACGATAGACTCCAATGATTAATTGAGTAGTTTCGGGATATGAGAATCAACCATGTTGTTTGGTACTGACATATGATCCGTCTCTGCGGGGAGCAAACTTATCGCTCATTCCCTGAGTCACTGCTAATTGCATGAACTTGGACGAGAACTAAAACTCCAGGCGAGTACTTTGTAAGGTACAAAGTCTTCTAGTCTTGTCTACCCAGATTTTGCACTTTCTAAGACCTCAGCAAGCTGCAATAACTTAGGAGTAATCTCTGCGATAAAGTTCTCAATGACTGATGGCTCTTAAATCGTGTAACGCGTCGTCAGAAGTCTTCAACTCCCTTCCAAAATCAGGTTAGCAGATGTGTAACTAGTCGACGAGCATGCCGCAGTATCGCCAGAATCTTAGTTGACCAGTGGGTGTGTTCTCCTTCTACCTGAATGGCAAGTTTAAGTCTCTAAGTTAAGTCTCAATTCCTTCTTCGATTGGATTGGTTTCAGGATGGTAAACTGGGGTGAATGCATATTTTATATAGACAATAGATAGATACTAAGGCGGACTTTTTGTGGATATTTTGAAATTTTTCACTCTCACATCAATGTTCATTATTTCGATCTCATAAGCGCTCGCAATGAAGCGCATAAAAATATATTATTTACTCTCTATATCTGTAGTCTATGCTTATTTACTGAGCTCATATCGTCATTCTTTTTCCAAGTCTATTACAGCTAGTTAATGTCATTAGTGTCATGCCATCAGCAACAAATTATCTGTGTATAGCGTCATGTTTTCTTAGTTTCTAAATTTTATTAAACAAATAATAAATGATAGTTTACGAAACAAGCTACTATTCTCTTAGTTGAAGATTTAACAAGTTTAAAAAATACACTTACTATTTGCAAATGCGCCATTACCCCTATGAGCATTAACCAAATTAAAACTAGCATCGAAAACTTATGTTATTCGTTGCTAAATGGATAATTCAGGAGAAAATCCCACGAAGTCTGATTTGTCAGCCCAAGAACAATCCACCCGTGAAGCACAGACTACAACGATCAGTCCGGAGATTTCTGATCACTCTCTCTCAAAGGTATGACCCGAGTTATTACCGAAACACGATTAATTCAAGTGGGATCTAAGACTATCTGGTTAATCCTATGTGCATTTCCCGTATGAGTTCCGAATGAAGTAGTGACCTTGTTATTTGCGTTTGCATTGCATTCATAATCTCAAGTCTGATTCCAGGAGGATTTGGAATTAGATGCCGATGTGTTGGAAGATGTATTATTCTGTGTTGGCGAAATGGGACTCTACCAGAAGCTAATGTTTCTTGGAATGTTGCCCTTTACAACATTCTATATTTGGGTCTACTTGGTGCAAATATTTATAACTGTTACGCCCGAGAAATATTGGTGTAAAATCTCTGCATTGGATGCATTGCCAATGGAACTGAGGTGAGCAAAAGAATGATGATCAAGTGGATAAAGGTCAAAGTCCATGTCAAATTTTTAGGCAACCAGAAGGGCCCAATGTATTCATCATCAACAGCCTTTAATAGTCCACTGCTGGACATAAGCCTAACCTTAGAAAGGAGGTTTTGGCCTACTATACCACGCTGGCCAGACGGGTTGGTATAGGGTTTGTGTCAAGTTTTCCTTCTCTCTGCAGTGCTGTTGTCCTGCGTAGTTTTTTCCCTTAGTCGGCTCTTACAACACCCACGGGATGAATAGGGGTGGTGACACTCTGTATTCTTAATCCGTCACCACCAATGTATTAGTAACAGTTAAATGAATACTAATATTAGTAACATAACATTTATTTACTATCCTGACTTCATTAGGGTTCTTATTGCATGATGTAACCAGGGTGCATCATGTTTATTGCGTAGCCTGGTTAGGAGACCATTGGAACTAGACCTTGTAGACTCATTCTTGTAAGCAGCGAGTTGGTTTTTGTACAAATGATTGCGTGGAGGTCTTTTGTTCGCTCTGTGGCGAAGTCCCAGCAGCATCCTAAAGCAATTTTTGTACTGTAATGTAAGTGTCTCCAGCGATCGCTTGGCATATCCAGCCCACAGATTGCTCGTATAAAATGTCTTTAAAGAGCGTGATTTTAACCTCTCGCCTACAATGAGCAAACCTGTGTACCAACATGTTACCTCTGACCGCCAGAGACCTTCGCTCAAGATCAATATCTGCATCGTCTTTAAGGTCTCCGGTAACAATGTGTCCAAGGTATTAAATTTGAGAGACTTTCGATTCGCACCCCGTTCAGTCTAATAAGTGGATCATGGGATACACTCCCGCCGGAGGCCTCAAGAACACACAGACACTCTTCTTTACATTGTAAACTAGCCCATATTTCTGCGCATATTGTTCACAAATAACGAGCAACTCTCTGATCAAGCCCGCCGTTGGGCCCAGTAGCACCATATCATCATCGATCAGCTCGTTTATATACAAGTTAAATAACTTAGGGGAGGTCAATCCCCCCTGCCTTAGACCACATTCTAATCTATAGGCATCAGACAGGCTATCTTTCCTTAGCACATTGTTAACCTGATTATAATATCAATATTGGAATAACATCGTGAGTTCGATGGGTATGCCCACTTCCCACATCTTCCTCCAAAGGACATCATAGGACCCAAGGTCGAATGCCCACAGAGTATTGAGCAGTCTACTTGAGAACTAACATTGCGCTCTCAGTAGATAGATTGGGCCTAAACCCAAACTGATCATCATTCCGATCTTTAGATGATCCTAGCGAAGATGACAGTCTAAATTTATTGCAGAAAAGGTCCTCGATGTTGTTAGTGTCGTGCACTCACCCACGCTTACAGACAGGCTCGGTTTGGTATTAAGTCTTTTTGTTGTCTGCCAAAACTTACCAAAATTCTTAGATGAGCTTTGTGACGCAAGAGTATCCATCTTTAACTGCTCTTAGTACTTTGACACTACTTAAATTTAGTTTTAAACGCTCTCTGACTCGCACGCATCTCTTCCCAAGTACGACCCGTAGATGGCTTGCCGTTTAGTCTCCCCGTCTAAAACTTAATCCGAGCGTCCAAAAAATGAAGTCCCTTCTTATGTGCCGTAATGTATAATTCCTTTGCCACGAATATAGGATTTTTGTCAGGATTCGCTGCATCCGTTATTTTAAAAACTCAATAATGTCTTCTATATCCCTATTGGTTTTACCTTCGCTTTGGCGCGTCTTAATTTTTTACTTGATAACGCTTCAAATAGTAACTTCTTCGCCTTTAAAGTCCTCACGAAAAAAAAAAGGAAAAAAGAAACTACATAAACAGAGGCAATAGGAGTAAGAGAGACGCCAACATCTTAATATTTATTCCTTGTATATTTAACTTGAGATCATTCAATGATTTCTTGTTAATTTCAAATATATGAATTCGAATAAATATATGCTACTCATTTCGAAATAAAATGAGTAGCATACACTTAAGATGAGCAACTGACTGGCCTTGTCGTGGTAACGGATTAAGAATATAGAGTGTCACTATCCCTGTTCATCACGTGGATATCTTAAATGTCGATTAAGGGAGCAAACTACACAGGAAAACATCATTGCAAAGAGAATGAAAACTTGACCTATAAGGCTAGCGTGATATAGTAGGCCATAACCTTCTTTTTATGGAAAGGTCTATGTCCAGCAGTGGACTATTAAAGGATGTTGATTATCAACAGCCTTTTATAGTCCATAATAGTCTGGCCACCGTGGTATAGTAGGCCAGAGCCTTTTTAAGGAAAGGTATGTCCAGCAGTGGTCTATTAAAGGCTGTTGATGATGGCTGACTTTATCATATCATATTGCCCTTTCTTACATTACAGGCGTAATTTGTCTGCACCTGGAGCTGCAACAGGCAAGTGGGACAAATGTCACACCTTCGACGCAGATTGGAATCAAGTATTAAACACTTTGTCCCCACCACCACCTGGAACACGTCAGATCCCGTGCCCAAATGGGTGGGAATTTGAATTTTCAGATATACCATATGCGAGTGTGGTTGTTGAGGTAGCTAAATCATTTTTACTAATCAATGTACTGTTTGATACATATTTATAGATCACAAGCTGTACCCTGCCACGCTTCGCTGTGACACATTGTAATTGTATTGTTGGGAAATGAGGAATAAAACTGACGTATAAAATAGATAAAAACTATATTTTAAGATATTTGTAAATCATTTTAAAGTTTGAGCTCAATCGGTGCAAAACTTTTTGAGTGTTTAAACGGTTCACAAACCAACTTAACATTTTTATATATATTATACTAGCTGAACCGGCGAACTTCGTGTTTTAATGAATATTTTCAAAATTCCCGAAAGACTTGTTTAACTATTTATACCGCCTAAGCATCACACGGGCGGTGTACAGTGGCGGACTAAGAAAATGTTACACTGCCGTTAATTGAAATAAGTTGGATTCTCAATAATTCCATATATGGACATTATATTTTTGAATGTGATTAACCCGTCAAATTAAAAAGTACCGGAAATATTAAAATGAGACTAAATCTTCCGTAATGTAATCAAATAAAATTAAAAAAAAAATCGACCTTAACCTATTGCAATGCCTTGTAATGTACGATTTTTTTTGGTTTCCTTCTGGATATAAAACAAATAGCGCCAATGGTTTGCAGACTCTCAAACACGCAACGCACAACTGCCCCAGTCCCGCACTATCTGCTACCGCGAGAACATCATTTTTAAATCGCTCCGCGTTTAAAAATTTGTCCAAGTGGTAAAAGTTTGTAAAAGTGACAAGTGCTATACGTCAAAAGTGCGCCAATAACGAACACACAAAAAAGAATTATCGAATTTAGTGCAGTCATTCGGTAGTTATGGACTTACATGCATTTCGGCGATTCATTTTTATTTATATACCTAGATAGATCAGATATAAAAAGACTATGTTGATTACTATATATTGGGGTGATGTCAAACTAACATATGTTTATAAACTCGAAGTCAGCTTATATATAATGTGAAATTATATATGAGTGTATTGATTTGAAAATGAGTATAATATCTAAAGAAATACGCTATATACTGAATGCTTTTTTACTATTAAAAAGCTAAAAATGCTGCAAAAACACCACCACGCTTTTTACCAAACAATATATCGTTCAAAAAGTTCCGATTTAAATGTGGGATTGACACGTATTTGAAAAACCCTTTTAATTTTGAAGTGTGTACTGGCTATTAAGAGATCTTGATCATCTCCATACAATTTTTCCAAATTTATTTCGGGTCAATGCAATGATTTTTCTGCTTCCATTCTCCTTTATCACTCGACATTCTCTTTCACGCACTCCTTTAATGTGTGTATACTCCATTAGTGTGATGAATATATGTATGGTCCCTAAGAATATTACTTTTGCTAATGTAATATAACAATTTACCTTATAACGCGCGTTATAATTGATGAATAAGAAAGAATAAAAAATCACTTCGTTTTAGTATTATTTAGTCTGCAGATTTATTGAAACAAGGCGACTTACACAAAGTTTGACTTAAGTAGCTACCAAACAAAATTATTTAAAGGAAACACAAAAACACGTTAAACTTAAACAAATTTAGCGCCCTCTTGCACAAAGACGAGAGCAGGCTCATTTAGTTAAATACTCGTATGTTTACGGGGCGATAATGCACTTTCTACGTTCCGTGCCACGTCACGTCACGTTGTTTTGTTATTATTTTAACGATGACATACGCATGTTTTTACATAAAACAAAACCAGCTATATAACTCACTGACTTTTTACATTAATAATTGTGTTTGTAAGATCCAGACCACCCAACCTTAACCAGGAAGAGCAATTGTTTTTATTTTCTGTAATGAAGCCCTATATAAATATTATTGAGTGTGAGAAGACCGACTCATCTTCAGAAAGCGAGTTTAATAAGTCGGTCCGGGGGAAAACTTGCAGCACTATGAGTCTATTACAGTTTTCTACAATGTCTTCATCATCGTCAGAACACAAATAAATGAAATCCAAATGCATATTTACAACAATAAACTAACCTCAAATTTAAAACTGACCGTTCTACTGTTCTTAAACGCTTTTGGCGCCTCTAAGTAGCACATTTTCGGTAATCAACTTTGTCAGTTTCTTACACGTGTTTAGCGACAAAATTATCCTTGTGCAAGATGCTAATTGTATTATACGGTTTTACAAATATTAAATTTTACAAATAAATAACCCACTTCTTTCGATATGACAGAGAGGATGGGTGTGCAGTCAAGCAGCTTATGCGCCGGCCGCTCAGTCTTTATTCTTCGTTGGATCATTGATGGGCGGCCTACTGTTTGGATGGATCGCTGATAACTTCGGCCGAATTCCCGCATTGGTTGGTAAGTTTAATTAGCATCTGTAGTATTTCGGCCATTGTATTTACTGTAGAGTATAAAGAGGATGTCACGTTTCGTTGGGAATGTAAGAAATTAAACATGACTCACCGCTTATCATAAGACATGCACTTCGCTTGGGTGATTACTCAACCTGTCATGGTAAGATTAGAAATTTCTTGAAGCTTACAACAAGGGTCATTCATAATATAACACCAAATAACTATACTGGCTACAAGGATATTTATTAAAAGGACAAATGGCCTTTTAGTTAATATGTATTTTAATTTATTCATTGATTTAATAATATCACTGTTTATAATATAAGGAGCAAACTTGATCGGCGCTATTGGCGGAATATCAACGATCTTCACAAGAGGCTTGTGGGATTTCATCTTTTGTCGATTTCTTGTCGGCCTATCGTTTGACAACTGCTTCATGATTCCGTACATTTTAAGTAAGTAGAGCACAATAATTACAACACTTATTGATTTATTTGAAATCAAATTGATTCAGATTGTTAGAAATCGTTCGTCGATTGTATGAAACTGTGTAAATTGGGCATGATACCTGGTAGTCTCGTAATACAATATTTAACGAACTTATTTTCTGTTTATACTAGTAAAGAAAGCCGTAAGCCGAAATAGAGATTTTTACCTATAGTCTGATTTTTAATTAGGTAGACTAAGATGACATTTGGTGGGTTGCCTTATCATAACATAAAAATAGTGTTGTCTCCTGAATTATCAAGCGTATTTTTTTTAGTTTACTATTATTTTTTAAAGGAAGATATTATAAATAATTTGATTTAGGATAAAATCGATAATATATAATATAATATATATACACCTCTCAAATCAAAACAAAATAAATCGATAAAGTCAATAAATCGACAACAGGGTTCAACTCAGTCGATTATTTTTGGAAAATTATATGGTCGATTGGAACTCTCACTTTGGAAATCAGACTATAGTTTGGCAATGGAGGCTTATTCTTCTTCTCACGTATATGACATGTAGTTTATACCAGTTTAATGTAGGCTTGCAACGAATATTCGGTTACTATTCGGTATTCGGCCTATTCGGCTGCTTTTATTATATTCGGCCGAATACCGAATACTTAAATAATATATTTTGTCATTGAGAAATAATTGGTAAAATGAAAAATTAAAATCGATTGATTACGTATATATTAATATTTTAATTTCTGTTATAATCATTTAAGTAGTCATTGGTGCATAACACAGGTACATAATCATCTTCTGAATTGGAAAAATGGAGGATTCTATGTATTTGAATTATTGTGGTAATCAAAATTTAGAAGGGTAAGGTTCTCATTTCTTTTATAATCATTTATTAAGTAGTCATTGGTACATAAAACAGGTACATAATTTAATTCACGTCTGTACAAGTTTTTGGCGCTAAAATCCAGCCGAATACTTTTGCCTAATATTCGGCTATTCGGTCAGGGGCCTCGCCGAATATTCGTTATTCGGTATACTGCCGAATATACTATTCGTTGCAAGTCTAGTTTAATGTTAAATAGTATACCTTTTACTGTGAGTAATTAATTAAGCGAGAAGCCGAACATCGAGCGGAGTGACGTGCAATAGGAGAGGCCTATGTCCAGCAGTGGACTGCGATAGGCTGATGATGAATTAATTATTATTACTTTTTGTTTATCCTCTAGATGAGATACCTATATGAGTATCTCACTCACTCACATGGTTATCTATGAGACTAGTACACTACGCCAAAACTTTAACTAATTTATTTGAAAATTTATGCCCAGACTTCTGCTAATAGTGCAACAATATTATTTTTATAAGAAAAATATTTTCGGACATCTAACAAACAACGCCATCTAGTTTCAAACTAAGAAGAGCTTGTACTATAAAAGCTAGATTGACTAATAGGATACTTAAACACTTTTTTTTGTAAATACATACATATTTTACATAGAAAACAATATTTGAAGAAAGATAGAAAATATTTGAAGATCATACAAACATTTGGTACGACTTCACCACCGAGGCAGTCGCAACGTTCCTGAATAATGTATTTACTTTCAGTTCTAGAATATGTTGGACCTGGCCACCGCACCTGGGTGGCGAATTTACCACTCGCTATATTCGGAGGTACCGCTGGCGTCTGTCTTCCATGGATAGCCTATTTTGCCTCTGACTGGCGTCTTACACTATGGCTCACTTCTCTACCTATGTTTGGCGCCATTATTTCGCCATGGGTCATGCCAGAGAGCGTAAGGTAAGTTGAGATGTTTTAAATACTTCATCATTTAAGACCTTTTAAAACATACATCTATTTAAACCAAACTCAACAACAATGATGATAGAACGCCATTTGTATATCAATGTTGATAATATAATCAGATTAAATATGGAAGGCAGCGGTTTGCCTGTGTTCTGGGATTGCCGAGGCACATGAACGACGGTTACCACTTACCATCGGGTGGACCGCTGGTTCGTCTGTCAACATAAGCAATAAAAAAAATGTCGAATATAAGTACATAATTATGTGCATGCCTGTACTTTTATTATTTTTTTCAGGTTAAAATACAAAATGTGCGAATCGCCACTACATTTTTTAAAGGTGTCGATTTACACACTAATAAATTTAGTTTTTACGAATCGACCACTAAGCCCAAGCCCAATCCCCTTCTCCTTGACTCTGGAAAGGTGACACTCGGAGAGCGGCAAAGCATTTGTCACCTTCCATCAGTAGTCACTTACTCTCAAATGATCCGTCCGCTCGTTTCCCTCATAAAAACTTAGATTTATGAGTAATACCATCTTTCTAAAGACTCTCCTAAACATATTGCTTTATTTAGCTTAAATAATATTGAGTGGCATAGGAATTAGGAGCCTCGTGATATCTCAACAACTACCATGCCCTGAATTCGTTCATCTGCCCTTAGTATCCTTCTTAGCAGCGACAGATTGGGATGATGTAAGTTGTGAGGTAATATAAAACAATATAAGATTTTTATTAAAATTTAGAGCTTTAAGTTAAATAATATATCTACAAAACTATAATAATAATATAATATATCTCAAACATCTCATATACGGCCGTCTGATCCCAAACTAGGCAGAGCCTATATTACTATGGTAACCAGACTGCTGATAAACATACTTATATATTTTAAATAGATACATATTATGGATAAATTACACCTAGACACAGAACAAATTACCGTTCTCAACACACAATATTTGTCCTGGGTGGGAGTCGAACCCAACAACCAACCCTGTTTAGCAGTCAGGGTCACTACCCACTAGACCAACAGTCAAGTCAGTCTGTCAAACTAAGAGAAATAAGTCACTGTAGATAATTAATTAACCATGAATGATCATCCAGGTGGCTAGTAAGCAGAGGCCGCATCGAGGAGGCTGTGAAAGTTGTACGTAAGTTCGAGAGGGTCAATAAAACTACAGTACCAGGAGATGTTATGGATAAATTTATTGTAAGTAAGATCTGAACTCTAGTTTCCGTCTGTCCATCTGGTGATGGATTTAGTATACGGAGTATCACAACTTCTATTCATCCCGTGGGTGTCGACAACAGCATTATAACTCTTTGCAATGCTGTTGTCACACATAAAACTTGTCATAAGCTGTATACCAACCCGTCTGGTTCATTTCAGACATACTGAACTTTTACCGTGTGAAAGCCATGCTTCGGCACAGATGGGCCGGCTCGACCGGAGTGATACCACGGCCTCACAGAAAACCGGTGTTAAGCAATTCTTTCGTTGCCTTTCATTTAGTGAGTGAGGTTACCGAAGCCCAAATCTTGCCCTTGGAGTACCTCTCGCTGACTCGAGCGGGAGATACTCCAAGGGCAGCAACGCACTTATGACTTTTGAGGTCCATGGGCGGCGGTAGTTGCTTACCATCGTCTGCTCGTTTACCCCCTTATACCATAAAAAAAAAACTCTAGTTCTGTCGGTACGTGTGGTGACGGATTTAGAATACGGAATGTCTCCACCCCTATTCATCCCATGGGTGTCGTAAGAACCGACTATGGGAACAAACTGCACAGGACAACAGCCCTGCAAAAAGAAGAAAAAACTTGAAACAAACCCTATACCAACCCGTCTGGCCAGCGTGGTATAGTAGGCCACAACCTCCTTTCTAAGGAGAGGCCTATGTCCAGCAGTGGACTATTATATGCTGTTGATGATGATGATTGATGTACTAGATGTCAGACGTTATGCATAATATGTGACTACTGGGGAGCTCTTTTTGTTATTCATTTCTATTTTTTTAACAGACCAATTCCAAGAAAATGGGTTCGAAGAAAATGGAGTCATTTATTAATATATTCCGCAATAAGTTATTGCGCAGAACAATGATTTATATGATAATTGTATATGGCTCTGACGACGTTATTTACGATGCTTTGGTGCGACTTACTCAAGTATTTGGCTTCGATTTCTTCATCACGTTTACAATCAATATGGGTATTGAGATTCCGGCTGTTCTACTACTCACTGCGCTACTGGACAGGTGCGAATCTATATCAGTATTTTAAACCACCATAATTTTCACCGTAGTTTAGTGAGTACAACATTTATTTATTAATTTATGACTTCATTTATAAATACATATACTTATCTAATATCTAAGGCATTCTCTGCTATTCGACCGATTGGGCGGTACAGAGAAAGAATTAGGTAGGTATATTTGTGGGGAAGTATTAATGATAGAATTATTATAAAGTATTAACAAATTTTATCATTCAAATACACAAATCTACACAGAAATATATACCAAAAAATACATATTTATGAGGATATACATACACAGACACACACACAAATAGGAAGATTTATGGATACATAAATTATAATAAAATATGTAGTACTAGGTGATGAACTAAGAGCTTGTTGATTCTGCCAATTTACTCGGCAAAAGATCCTTTACTTTCATCTTTAAAAAATGTGTTGTAACTATAAATGGGCAGAGGGTGCCCATGGGATTAAAATGGATTTGAACCGGGTCTTTGGGCAGAAACGGGTTTAAACCCAAATGGCGGGTTTTTAAGTCTTAACACCCTAAAAATTACTAATAAAAACAAAACCTTTTTTGGTTTTATCGAGCACGCTATTACTTTGGCACATCAATTCACACACACACACACACACAAACAAATGAAGCCAACTTAATGAGCCAAGTTTATCAACTACACTTCAGCCAGCCTTCAGCAAAATTGAGTTTGGAATCATTTTAAACGGACAATATGTGATCATATTTAGGGTTCTTAATCATCATCATAATCTCAGCCGAAAGATATTTCGAGGCTTTATTTACGGCTTACGGATTATAATAACAGTGTAAAAATGGGGGTACAATAAATGATGGAAATTTTTAATAATCAATAACTCAATTTTGATTGATATAATCATTGTTTTTGTTTCACAGAGTAGGCCGAAGACTCCTTACTGGTGGTACTCTTTTTATGGGAGGATTAGCGTTATTTTTCGCAATGCTGGTGTCCAAAGGTAAGGGAACATATTAATACTAAGTCACCCATTCAGGTCTTCAAAATACCACGGTTGGCCACATGAGTGGGAGGAAGTCTTAGATTTTCGTAGTGATTATAGTAAAGTTTTTATAGTGATTTTTATACTAAAATTATGAAATAAAATTAATTTACAGGTTTAGGTAGAAAACGTATGTAAATATAACCAATTATTTTAGTTCCCGGGTGTTTTTAAGGGTTTTTTATTCAGAAAATAATATAAAATGTCACAATTTCCTCGGTTTCTCCAAGATCCAATAATCAGATCCTGACTTGATGACCATGAGACCAACCGGGAAGTATACCCTTTCAAATAAAAAAAGACGCCTGGACCGATTTGGAAAATTCTTTGACTATTAGGAGCATTCATATTAGCAGAGTTTCACTAGTCAGCTAAATCTCTTTTTCAATGTGTTTATAGATGTTAGTTTACACACTCACACAATCAATATAAGACTACAAATCTTAGCACAATTTACTAACAAGAGGAGTAATAAGTATCTGAACTAGTTCTGTCTGCAGTAGTTTCGCTACATACATTAAAAAAAAGATTCCGACGAATTGAGAACCTTAAAAGGGTTTTTGAAGTCGGTTAAAGAGTAATTTAAAACCGCTAATTACTGCGTGAAAACTAGAGGGGTGAGGGGGGTTAAGCAGTATGGGTACGTCGTTAAACGTTTCTTTGAAAAAATAATTATAGGAATACTTTTACATTCGTTCACTCACTTAGTCATTCACTCAGTTATTTACACAATCAATCGAGTACGCACGCCTTTACTAAGGTTTGCACGCAACGCAAGACACGTATATGTGCATACATTTACATATTATAATTAGCGCTACTTACTAAAACTAGTCTGACCATATTTACTTCGGTTTCAAATTCAGACGTCAAATGCTTAACAGCCAGGGACAGATGCTTTAAATTACTCTGTTGTTTGTATGGGTAAAGAAAAGTGTTGTTTTTACGTATTTTAACGTCTTTTCTCCATATGAACTTGTGTCTTAAGGAAAATATGAAAAAAATAGAGTAATTGGTCGAGCCGTTCTTGAGTTTTGCGCTTAGCAACACATTTGGCGATTCATTATCATTTACAGGATTTTGATTGTTTTACAGGATTGTCGCGAGTAGCTCTAGGAGTATTGGCAAGATTTTTAATAAAAATAGCCTTCACAGTGTTGTGTCAGTGGGGCACGGAGATATTGCCTACGCCTTTCCGAGCCTCTGGATCAGCGTTCCTTCATATGACTGGTTTCGCCGCAAGTCTGTTGTCACCATTTATTGTTTTCTCGGTGAGAAAATGAGGTTTTATATTATAACCATATCGCTAGTTAAAAAAATACGAAAGAATTACTTTACACTGGTTTTCTAAGAGGCCGTGGTATTAGTCCGATCGAGCCGGCCCATCCGAAACATGATTCTGCAACGGCAAATGAGATCAATCTTGTGGACAACCAATTCAATTTACAAAAAAAATATTGAAATCGTTTTAGCAATGACAAGAATGTCACCTTACTAGTTCACCTTTAAAGTTTTCACTTTTTTTTTTACTTTAAACTATTTTTTTCTGTAGGAAACATTTTGGGAGCCCCTACCTCTACTTATTGTGAGTACATGGGCGATAATTACAGCAGGAATTACTTTCCTGCTGCCTGAGACCAAAGGCCAAGAAATGCCGCAAAGTGTGCGCGACTCGGAGAAGATTATCGTAACCCAATCACTAATGAAGTAAGATATTGTTCAACATTTAGTTATATCTTAAACTAACTTAGAACTTTGCCACACTGTGCACAGCATATCCGTGTGGTGACGAATTTAGAATACGTAGTATCACCACCCCTATTCATCCCGTGGGTGTCGTAAAAGTCGATTAAGGGAGAAAACTACGCAAGACAACAGCACTGCAAAGAGAAGAGAGAGAGAGAGGCCTATGTCCAGCAGTGGACTATTAAAGGCTGTTGCTGATGATCTAACATAACTTTTTTTTAGTAAAACAGTATAAACATATTTCTTTTGCTATTTACAGGCAACCTGAAATGAAGGACTTTAAACATTCACTAAGCAGGATACTGAGCTCCACAATAAGTGATACTATTCATCGTGATCCATCCGGTCGGGTGAGCCGACTAAGACTACATTGAACGTGTTCGGTGGATCAGGATGATTCTTAAATGTGATGGCCAAAATATTAACCCTTTCAGACCTGTCCACCTGATGTCCACAATTGAGGACACAACAATCAGAAATAAATTGCAGTTTAAATTTGTAATTTAAAACGATTACACTCAATTGTCAAAAAAGAATTCAGGTCTGAAAGGGTTATAGCAACCATTTTAAACAATCCTTGCTGGCTTGATGGCTGGAATTAAAGAGAAAGCGATGATTTGCTAGTTTCGATTTATCGCTGTACATCACGTCTCGGCACGCGCACGCCAGTTGCAGACACGTTTTAAGTGAAGTGATATGTGATGTGAAAATTTATTTATTTATAATTGTGTAATTTATATATAATAGTGCAAGTTGAAAAACTTTGAAAATCGTGGTGTAGTTAAACAATATCAATGTATAAGATTGCAAATCATGGTGTAAAATACTTATAAATGTGGAGTTCTAGTCTGTGTTCTTTTATGATTATTATAAATTAAGCAGTATATTGGCATCATTTTTTTTACCTATCCGAATATTTTATATAAAAATTAGTTTTTTTTATATTATGAAGAAAATAGAGTTACAATTTGTTAAACCTTTAGTGTATCTGACGAGCGGTTGCCAGGAGTAAATGCAGTTATTTCTAATAATATTATCCTGGAGATAATGCTAACAAATTATGGCGAAACTTTGACGATCGTAGGTAAAAGTTTAATGTATCTTGCTGCCTATATCATTTCATTTGGCTTACGAATACAGAAGTATATAGGTATATGGTTCTGTATTCATAAGCCATATGATATGACAAAATATAGTGGACATAACAAAGAAATCATAATAATAATAATAATCATTTATTTCAGACACTAATACTCTAACACTATGTATACTATAGTATTATAAGTATAGCTTTGGTATTTGGTACGGACTGAAAAAACTGAAAAAAAAAAAACAACAACAGCCCCTTAAAACAAGTCATAATTTTCTACAACTATAGCTCTAATAATAACTACTTGACATTATAGAGGAATTTTTGTAGTTATGGACCACTGTATGCATGTATTTATAAATTGTGTATGTATGTAGGTATATTAGTTGTACTTTAAACGCATGTAGTAACTTTATATTTATTTTTATTTTATTTTCCATCATTGCTAATCTTTCCGGATAGGAAATGGTTAGTTCCCCGATTCGCCAACATCTAAAGGTTTTTGTTGGGCTGTCAATTCGGCTTACTAATAGTCTAGTTTTTTTATATTTTCAGTAACTAGATATTTATATAATTACCTAAAGCTTAAAAAAATGTTTGTGAAATTGTTAAAATAATCAATTATAAATTGATAGTATAATTGTATAAACCTAAATACTAATAAGTTTTTTAAGTTGGCGCATGTAGGTTCCTTTCTAGAAATAGCTATGAAGTGTCGATAAACTAGCAATAAAGTATGTAAAACAGAAAATAAATTTGAATATTCAGAATATTATTAATATTCAAATTAATGATAAATATGTTAATATAAATAGAAAAATAATTTTAAAGTAAAATTGAAAGGAAGTAAAATTAGTTACACCACCACCAGTCCACACCACTTACACTGGGATGTCGTTTACATATTTTTTTTTTGGAAAATACCACTGTCGACTATAAGAAAATTCGTTTTGTTTGAATTTTTTATGTAAATGCTGAAATTGGCTGAGTTCACAAGGGATTCGATTGTTTTGTTTTCATTAAAATAATATTTTTTTCCCGAATTCACCTGTTTTCCTTGCTTGTAAATTGGGTATTTATCTCACTTTTATAATTTTGAGATATACAGTTTTTGAAAAAATTGTGTGGTGAGTAATTTTTTTATGTCATGAAGCGACGCCATTTGACTGCTGATGAACTGCAAAAAGCGGTAGGAATGGTACAAGCGGGAAGATATCAGTCCAAGGTATCTCAGCATTTTGGAGTCAATAGGAGCGTAATTTGTCGTCTAATGCAGCGTTATGTTAATGCAGGAGATCCTGTTGAGCAGCACCCAGGACGTTCAAAGAGTTTAACTGCTCGACAGGACTAATACATACAACTGACTGCTAGATGACACCATATGTTACCATCCAGGAGATAGGTTTAAAGCTATATTCTCAAGCGGTTTTGTCAAGTGTGAATACGGCCTACGAGCACGACGCCCAAATAGCTGTGTATGGCGCCAATGAATGGTGTAGGGAACACTTGACATGGACCCAGGAGCAATGGGATAAAAAAATATTTTGCAATGAGTCCCGGTTTGGATTTAAGCCTTATACTCCAGAATCATCAGTCTCAGTGTCCTTTTTAGATATATGCAGTCCTAACAAAACAGTGGTAAAAAAAATCTCCTGCATGTAAACACATGCAGTTGTTATAAGCTATGTATTCTCCATCCAATAATTTCCTACTCTAGAGGTAGGTAGGTATATATAGGTATATAGGTATATATATAGGTAGGTATATAGGTATATAAAGATTCTCCATCCAATAATTTCCTACTCTTAGAGAAGAGTAGGAAATTATTGGATGGAGAATCTTTATATAATATTTATTATCTTCAATTTTTTTATGTTAGAAGAAGCAAATGAGAAGACAAGTCTCCGATAGTTAGTGATAACAAGAATAGATCTTTTTTTCAAAAAGGTGAACCGACTTCTAACAATACTAACAAAGAGTGCTAAAAGCCTAGCAGCAATTGCGGTTGATTTGCTGTCATTTTTTTTAAGAGTTCCGTTGTCTGTCTTCGAAACTCATCATCAGATCCATATAGAATTTAGATAGGACCATTTCGGAATAAACCGCTTTCTAAGAAAAAAAATTTTGAAAACCTGTCCATATATGACAGAGTTATGCCCGAACATGCGTAAAAAAATTATAATGATCCGAATTGATAACCTCCTCCTTTTTGAAGTCGATTAAAAAGCAACGAAATTTAAGACCTTTGAGACTGTGGTACTACTCCAGTCGAGCTGACCTATTTGTGCCGAAGCATTGCTCTCCCGAGGTTAACGTGGCTTTCTCATAGTTATTGCTGACAGCAGAGAAAAACTCGTCAACACCCACGGTGATGTAAAGCCGTTGCTATAAAAGATCAACACCCACACATAAAGCCGTAGCTACCAAAGATCAACACCCACACATGAAGCCGTAGCTACCAAAGATCAACACCCACACATAAAGCCGTAGCTACCAAAGATCAACACCCACACATAAAGCCGTAGCTACCAAAGATCAACACCAACACATAAAACCGTAGCTACCAAAGATCAACACCCACACATGAAGCCGTAACTACAAAAGAACAAAACTCACACATAAAGCCGTAGCTACCAAAGATCTACACCCACACATAAAGCCGTAACTACAAAAGATCAACACCAACACATAAAACCGTAGCTACAAAAGATCAAAGCTCACACATAAAGCCGTAGCTACAAAAGATCAACACCCACACATAAAGCCGTAGCTACCAAAGATCAACACCCACACATAAAGCCGTAGCTACAAAAGATCAACACCAACACATAAAACCGTAGCTACCAAAGATCAACACCCACACATGAAGCCGTAACTACAAAAGAACAACACTCACACATAAAGCCGTAGCTACCAAAGATCTACACCCACACATAAAGCCGTAACTACAAAAGATCAACACCAACACATAAAACCGTAGCTACAAAAGATCAAAGCTCACACATAAAGCCGTAGCTACAAAAGATCAACACCCACACATAAAGCCGTAGCTACCAAAGATCAACATCCACACATAAAGCCGTAGCTACCAAAGATCTACACCCACACATAAAGCCGTAACTACAAAAGATCAACACCAACACATAAAACCGTAGCTACAAAAGATCAAAGCTCACACATAAAGCCGTAGCTACAAAAGATCAACACCCACACATAAAGCCGTAGCTACCAAAGATCAACATCCACACATAAAGCCGTAGCTACCAAAGATGAACACCCACACATGAAGCCGTAGCTACAAAAGATTAACACGAACACATAAAGCCGTAGCTACAGCTGACCTATTTGTGCCGAAGCATGGCTCTCCCGAGGTTAACGTGGCTTTCTCATAGTTATTGCTGACAGCAGAGAAAAACTCGTCAACACCCATGGTGATGTAAAGCCGTAGCTACAAAAGGTGCTGTATATCAAAAGACATTAAGCAAGAATTTAAAAAATAAGCTTTTTCATATTGTAACTATTAATATAATGCGGTACAGTCACGACAAGTCAGAAATTTGGATGAACAATGAAATTTTCTCACGAAGATTAGTCAAACCACGTCGCCAGTTCTATAATCTATACACATTAACGGAATGTCATTCTCTTTTTGCCTATAGTGCTCATTTCTTTCTCATTCTGTCTTTTATCAGCAGGTGGTACAATCTTAGTCGACAATCCTTGGAATGTTACGAAAATAATGAAACCAAATACAATGGTTTTTTATTTGTTCTAAAGTTTTAACAACATTACGTACACTTCATTTAGGCGTATAATACGTGTAAATACGTGTCATGTAATTTCGCCGGTCGATACTTATAGATGTCGTTACTTTCGGTATAATCCGCATAAAACATAAAGTGAGTTGTTTTAGTTTTTATTATCCCGGAACGTATATCACTATTTTCTGAAATAATTATAAAATGACTTTTGGAAATAAAATGTTGCCATTATTTTTTTTATACATTGAGTTGGTAGTTATTTTGTATGATAAAATTGATAAATGTAGACTTATATTAAAAATTTTGAAAACTAAAAAAAATTTAGCACTTTCAAACACACGATTCTAAGAAATCCTTATATCATTTCATTATTGCCATTGCTTTGGTACTTTTCATAAGCGTTAATGCAGCAACATTTGCAACACCTGTTGTTATGAATGTTGTCCGTCAACATGACATTCATACCGGCATTTTTTTGGTGGTTGAATGTTTACTTGCTTGGAACTAATAACAATTATTCTCTGATATCTTCATTAATGCGTGAGTTGAGCCTAGGTTCTTCTGATCTTCGTTGAGGTTATCCTTGTGTGTTGTTTTCGAGTAGTATTGAGATAGAGACACTTATTTTTAACGCTTTATTTTTGTGTTGCAACTTCTGTTAAACGTTGTTGTCTTAAAAAGAAGAAAATAAAGGTTTTTTTATACATTGTTTTATTTTACAAAGTTCTAATTGCATAGGTATATTTGTACAGAATATAAACAATACTGTATACAAAAAGTATTACCTATATTATAGATATGTAGGTATAAATATATCCTTTAAAATGTTGAGTAAGAAAAAGTTGTTGCTCGCTCCTAACAGATGGCGTTGTTTTGTAATTTCCTCCAAAAGCGATTGAGATATACCTCTTTTCAGTATATTACAATGTACTCTGTGTTTATCAGTCAATTATCACAATAGCCGAGCAATGTCATTAGTGTCATATCGTAATCAGTTGATTACGATATTTATTTAAATTTTATTGATGATTTCCTAATTATTTGAACTTTATATTTAAAATTAATTTGTGTTGAAGTTTGGCTCATAAATGATTTCTTGTATTTTACAATTTGACAGCTATGTATAAAATCATATCCAGATAGATCTATATTGGAATTTATGTGCATTACAACTATGAACATAAACCAATACAATAAGATACTTATCTGCCGGCCTGAGTTATTTAATTATAAAATTATAAATGGATAATAAGGCCGAAAATGTAGATAAATCTGATACATCTACTCAAGCAACACCAACAACAGCTGATCAACAAACTCAGACTCCGTCTAACTCGCCAATTCCCACTCAGGAGACGTCCACGCTACACGTCGACACTGTATCACCTAACGATCAATTAACCAGCAGCTCAAACAAAAGTAAGCAAGTGTTAATGTTTAAGGATTTGCCAGGTCCGTCAAAAGAAACATCGAGATCTTCAAAGGTATGACCGTTAAACAGTATTAATAGCTAACTCAAAATTTTCACGTTCAGTAGCTTTAAACGATTATCCTACACATTTACGACGGGCCTGTTGGTCGAGTGGTTAGTGCCCCTGACTGCTAAGCCGGAGGTCGTGGGTTCGATTCCCACCCAGGACAAATATTGTGTGATGAACATGATCATTTGTTCTGTGTCTGGGTGTAATTTATCTATAATATGTATGTATTTAAAAATATATAAGTATGTTTATCAGCAGTCTGGTCACCATAGCACAGGCTCTGCCTAGTTTGGGATCAGACAGCCGTGTGTGAAATGTGTGAGGTATATTATTATTATTTAAAACATTCATAACGAACTCCTGCAGTCTCAATTTCGTGAGCTATTTTTGATGTTGATTTATGATATTGCAGCAATTATTCAGTGTCTCGTATACTAAAGAATAGTTTTCAATGTGTGGTTTTTAAATAACTGCTTTAAAAATATTATTACATTTACTAAGATAATTTTTATCATCATCAACATCCTTCAATAGTTCACTGTTGGACATAGGTATCTCCTTAGAAAAAAGGTTCCGGCTTGCTACACCACGTAGGCCAGACGGCCAGTTTTTATAATCTACTATATATTTGGCATATAGGACAGGTTACCCATTCAATTAAAATAGCTAACCCGATAGCACTAACTTACAAAGTTCAAAACTTTCAAATTCAAAGAACTACTGTTATGTAGAATAAAATTAAGAAACAAATAAGAATAAGCAAGGGAAGTGATAAAATATTCTGCTTAAATATTTTTTGCAAAAATTTAAATAGCCTCTTAAATGGAGAATCGGTTCAATTAGATTTATATCAGCTCACCATCACATCACTAAAGTTATGTTAAATTCATTAATATTTTGATTTCAAATTTTTGCTATTTTTAAAAATTGTTTGTGATGTCATAGTGAAACGACCGACCAGCACCGTCTCGCCTCGAGCGGTTAGTATTCTTTGTATTGAGTACTATGGATAATCACTTTCTACATCTGTCTGGCTGTCCGCGCGCCTGAACGTAACGTAACCTGCAATGTATCGGCGGCACATCGCTCCCCCTCGAACGTGTTCGTTTTCTGATTAACAATACGGCGTCCACCCGTGGGCCACCCGTCGACAACGAGTGGACACTGAGCCGAGGTGGTGCTTGTACCCGACTAGCCAGCAGTCGGGCAGGTGTAATGAGCTATGACCTTTACGCTTATTTTCAGTATTCAGAAGATCTGGAGTTAGACGCCGATGTATTAGAAGATGTGCTATTTTACGTCGGTGAGATGGGGCTTTACCAAAAACTGATGTTCCTTTCGATGATGCTTTTTACTACATTCGCTTCATGGGTCTATTTAGTACAAATATTTATAACTGTTACACCATCGAAATACTGGTGCAAAGTCTCTAAATTAGCCAGCTTAAGTATGGAATTGAGGTGAGTCTAGTAAGTAATACATTTTTGATTTCTGAACTTAATTCACTTTCTAATTTAAGACTATCTCAAGGATAAAAATACAGATAATTGAAAACAAACGAGAAGCTGGACATGACCTTTGAAGAACAATTATATTTATACCTCTGAAGATGATAAGCTTCAAAAAATAATCTTCACAGGAGCTTGAAATGTCGCAAAAAAATAATGCCATCAAAAATCTGCACCTGTTCTTTCGACGAATTTCTTTAACGAATGTTACCAAAATTAATCTTAAACTATTTTAAAGATTTCTTTATTATTTTAATAGTCTAAAACTTCGTTCAAATACATAAATTTTAAGTGTATTGCGTACCTACAGGCGGAACTTGTCTGCACCTGGCGCTGCTACAGGCGATTGGGACAAGTGCCATACCTTTGACATCGACTGGGATCAAGTACTACAGACTTTAACACCGCCGCCACCACAAACACCTAAGATTCCATGCCCAGATGGGTGGGAGTTTGAATTCACCGATATACCCTATGAAACTGTAGTGTCTGAGGTACTTCATTTAGTATTATGGTTCATATTTCTAAGATTTGAATTCAATTTTGGAGGCCATTGCTTTGAGGACGTCTTTCGCGATTTTTTTCTAAGACTGGGCAAACAAGTGTTGACGTACCAATCTGTGGTTACTGTTCTTTGATCTTCAAGCGATACTGAAGTGTAATGTCCTGATTTGCCACAAAAAGAAGCAACCATCTTTCACCAATGCTCAGACTTTTCTTAACTTTCGTCGCCAAATCTTCAAAATGAAAGACCAACTCTGCTGACAGGCTTTTTCTTTCGGTTTCAAAGTAGTACACACAGGTTTCATCACCTGTCATCATATTACAGACAGCATATGACTGTCCTCCGTTAAACTTTTTATCATTTTACGGCACCACTGGACACGCATTCGTTTCTGGTCCTCCGTGAAATCATGCAGTATCTATCGAGTGCAAAGCTTCCGAACCTTCAGAGCACATGTAAAATATTTAGCACTTGGCTCATTCCAATGCCTAACAAAGCACGAATTTGCTGGCAAGTCATTTTTTGTCAGTTTCAATAAGTTGTCCTACGGTGTCAATATTCATTTCTGTAACCGCAGTCGCCGGCCGACCTTCACGGACGTCAAGGAGATGATCACGTCCACGTCTAAATTCTCTAAATCATGAGTACGCTCCTCGCTCTCTAACCATGACATGGTGCTTCATCATCAAATGTCAATTGAAGTCACTGGCAACTCTCTTGTTGATTTAAGAAACAACGAAACTTGTACAAAATCATTAAACGAAAATGTTCACGAGTTCATTTCATTTTGATAGCGACACACAATTTTCGAAAGGACGTCACACTAAAGAGAAACAAATGACAGTCTCGCAAATTAAAAAGTAACTCCCAAGAGTAAAAGTTCCCAAAGAGTTCCATTTTAGAATTTCATAATGTTTTTTTCATTCTTTTATTGTAAGTGGCCAGATCCAGAGACTTTCAGTATACCCCAGGTATTTGGGATCCAACCCACGACCTCTGGCTCAGCAGTCAGGATCGCTGACCATTAGACCAATAGTCTGTCAAATTGCAAGTACACGTGTAAGAAATAAAAAAAAATTAGTTATAAAATAAATTCTTAGAATTGAACATTTGAATTATTGCTATTTTTAAATCCTATCCAAACGGATATGATTTAAAAATAGCAGCATCAAATGATGAAATGATTGGTTTGGGTCACTGTGATTTCACATGTGATAAATCACTACTTAAATTTGGTAATTGTCAAAGATAAATGCCATTAAAATCACATCCGATAATAATAATAAGTCGCAGTGATTTTGTAAATGTGTCGCCGGTGCTACGGAATGATTATTAAATCATATGATTAATCACAACTGATTGCGATTTTATCCCATGCCTCACTTAACTTACGATGTCTGTAATTATTTGATTCATTAATTTCGCATTAAAAAATAACCATCAAGTCTTACAATAGCAGCATTCGTAACTGCATTCTGACGGCCACCACCACGGGCGCTTAGTCTCCTGTTACACACTTCCCTTTTCATGAAAAAGTTTTCCTATTTAACAGAGAGGATGGGTGTGCAACCGTGCAACTTATGCACCTACTGCGCAGTCAATTTTCTTCATCGGATCATTAACAGGTGGTGTAGTCTTTGGATGGATTGCTGACAATTTAGGTCGTATACCAGCCCTGATAGGTAAGATTTACAGAAGATACATACACAATAGGTCGTAACTGGAAATAGTGACGTAGACGTTGCAATAAGACAAATCAGCCTAACGCTGATCATAAATTCCCCGTATTCCACTAGAATCCCCTCACACATAGAACACCTCAATTACACTCTACGATCCACCAGGGGATTCTTAAGTAACAGTATTGGCTGTGATAAAACTTAACGCATTGAACGATGCGATACCCGTAATTGCGGTTAAAATACGGGATCCTAATGGAACACGTATTAAATTCCTTGACGGTCTTGTTCAGGATAATTTCATTGTATTGCAAATAGTTATGTGAAGCTTAAAAATAAAAGGAATAAACATAAGACCATTTTTGGTCCCTCTAGGAGAACATTTTACAGTCAATAGGTAATCAAAGCGTTTGACTTTCATAGAAAAGAAAATAATAAACATATCTCAAATCCTACATTAAGCAACTATCTTAACTATCGTATACTTTATCGTATACTTATTTTAATAACCCGTTTACGTCATAGTCAAAACCAAATTTGGGTTCACCAAACATATTCGCGCTCATAACAAAACTCCATAGGAAAGTTCTCCATCGATGGATACGTCACGGACGACATCATTTAGCATATAATAATTATTTTTTTCAACATCAGGATCTAACTTGATCGGCGCCATCGGTGGAATAACAACGATCTATACAAGTGGATTGTGGGACTTCATCTTTTGCCGATTTCTGGTCGGTATGTCGTACGACAACTGCTTCATGATCGCATATATTTTAAGTAAGTTGAGTTCACCGAGCTGTATTCTTTTCAAAAATTAGATGATGAAGATGCGATTGTTGGGCTACGTGTTGGCGAAAACACAAGCGATATCATCACTCTTCTTACCTAGGGCTACCTAGGGGGCTATATAACTATTTTTTTATGACATAGTGGGCAAAAGAGCAGACAAATCACCTGATCTTAAGTGACTACCGCCGCCTATTGCAACTCAAGAGTTGCAAGTGCCTTTATTTATTGATTATAGACACGCCAACAGTATACATACACGAGTACAACATTGTTCAAAATGCAGTTCAATATAAAGGATAGTTCTTATATATAGACCAATTACAGGCATGCACAGTATACATCATTAGATAGACACACATTCAAGTAGTAGCAAGATTAAGATAAAAGCGAACGAAAAGTGACAAAAATGTGGTACTTACGAATTACACACAGATAATTTTAAATAATGAAAGTGGCATTCATGCAAATGTGCATGCAAAGTCATGCATGCGTTGCAAGCCTTTTGATCCCCCTCCTTCAAGAATCAGGGAGAGCAACGGTAAGCAACAAAAGAATTGCTAAACACCGATTATACGTGAGGCCTTGGTATCACTCCGGTCGAGCCTGGCCCATATGTGTCGAAGTATAGCTTCCATACGATACTTTAATCATAATTGCAAAATACTTAATTCACATCACATCAACAGCCTTTAATAGTCCACTACTGGACATAGGCCTCTCCTTAGAAAGAAGGTTTTGGCCTACTGAACCACGCTGGCCAGGCGGGTTGGTATAGGATTTGTGTCAAGTTTTCCGTCTTTTTGCAGTGCTGGTGTCCTGCGTTGTTTTGCGCCCTTAGTCGGTTCTTACGACACCCACGGGATGAATTGGGATAGTGACATTCCGTATTCTTAATCCGTCACTACACGGACAATACTTAATTAACACGCATTTACAATCTCTGTTACTTATAACTTTTTATATAAAGAAATCGAAAGTTAATTTTAACTAACTTCTAATCATTTTAGTATTGAAATGAAATTGAAATGGAGTTGATTTGTTTGCTATCAATCAGAAATTATATTCAGAACACTTCAGTGGCTACTAGCAAAACTATAGTTTGGGCTCATAATATTCTTTTTGGCCTAGATTGAGTCCTGGGGCCCTGGATTGAGATGTAGTACTTGGTATCAAAGGTCTGAAGAAAGGAAGTGGACAGTGGATTATTTTCACTATATAAATCGGATCGCAATTAAAACGTCTTATGCTATTCATTAAGTATATTGTCGGTTAAACTGCAATGAATTTAGGTAAATCTTATCAATTTTAAAAGAACACATTTACAAACTATTTTACTTTTTAAAGAGACACATAATTATCAACGAAGTCAATGCATGTTATATGTATCAGTTCTAGAATACGTCGGACCCGGACATCGAACTTGGGTAGCGAATATGCCTGTTGCAATATTCGGTGGTGCGGCCAGTGTGTGTCTTCCGTGGTTAGCGTATTTTGTCGCTGATTGGCGTGTTGTCCTGTGGATTACGTCCCTACCCATGCTAACCGTCATTGCTTCTCCATGGTTTTTGCCAGAGAGTGTGAGGTAAGTTACTACAATCTGATATTTCTGAAACACTTGGCAAGTAATTTATTTTCTACTAGATAAATTTCGGTGAAGCCGACGAGTCTTAGAATGGAGACCGCGCGCAATGAGCCGATAACTTAAACCGGATTAATGCGGACTACCCAAGACCGAGTCAGTTATTTCTATCCTTCGGATAGGTTCAGCAATGGACGGCGATAGGCTGATGATGATGGTAATAAAAGGAAAAGTGTTATACTGTGTTCAAGCTACAATTACAATGAAAAATAAGTCTTTATTTCGTTTACTGAAGTACTGTGTACTCCACTAGCCCAGTTTATCATCCTAGTTTAATACGAATGCAGACCTATTTTAAAAAGCACCGACGCTGACACCCATTATTTTCACCTTTATTATGTACTTATAACGTTGCAAGGGGCTTCGGTTGGTTTCTTTTATTGCCGGGTCATCTGGCAAACGTAAACACCTCCGATCGTTTTTCCAAACTGGGTTGGGTCGCTTTTCACTCTACTACGACACGGCTGTACCTAGATTTTTTTGTGGAGCAACTGCCATCAGACCTGCACAACTAGTACCAGACAATATAGAAGTTCTGTAAATAGACCATTGTCGCACTTTTTAGCGCTTGAACTACCCCTTTTTTTCCGTGCGGAAATCCCCTTGGATACCACCTATCGGTGGCATGTCGGACTCGAACCGACTAAAACCGCACGCCGTCTCGGGTACTAATAGCCGGGGAACCAGGTATACCCTAGAAAGGAAGTCCCTGGTGCCCCGACATGCTCGAACTACCCCTAACGATTGCCACAGATGTCCATGTGGCAACCAGGACCGACGGCTTTACATGCTCTCCGAGACACGGAGGGGTCTCAATGTCTCAAGATGGTCATCTATCCATAGACTGACCTGGCTATGATTGCTTGACTTTGAAATATGCACTCGGTTACCATTTAGCCACGAGCCGGTCTTTTATCCCTATCTAATTTATGTAATATATGCTTTTTTAATTTTATAATGTCGGGCAATTGTTACAGGTATTGTATTTAGAAATTCTTTCTTCTGTTTAAAATTGACATGTTTTTTTATATACTAAATTGCATAACCATTTCATTTTAAAATAGTTTTTTTTTTTTTGAAATGTCGTGGTAGTGTTGCGACGATGTATGATTCTATATATCATCTTTCTATGATACAGGTGGTTAGTAAGCCGCGGTCGCATCGACGATGCTGTAAAAGTGGTACGAAGGTTCGAGAGGGTCAATAGAAGTCATGTACCAGATCACGTAATGGATACCTTTATTGTATGTGACTTTTGTATTTTAATATTTTTAAGTAAGGTCAAAAAGTATATAATATTTTGGAAAGTCATCAACAGCCTTTGAAAGTCTACTGCTGGACATAGGCCTTTCCTTTCCTTAGTCGGCTCTTACGAAACCCACGGGATGAAAAGGGCGTTGACACTCTGTATTCCTTATCCGTCACCACACGGATCAATTTGGCAAGTCAACTTTATAGAAAATATGTCTGCTAGTACGTTAAAAATTACTTTTTTTAAATTGAATAAATTGTAACAACATGGAAACCTTCTTTTGTCTTTTCCTGCATCACCCAAAGGTTGATTAAGTAACGAGATAAGCCTTATTTTTTTTGACAGGCTACTTCAAAGAAACTATCCACGCGAAAGATGGAGTCATTGTACAGTCTATTCCAGAGCATGCTGCTGCGCACAACAATGATCTACATGGTGGTGGTGTACAGTTCGAACGCTGTTATATACGATACCTTAGTGCGGATCATTGAAGTCTTAGGGCTAGACTTCTTTGTCACGTTCACCCTTAACGAGGCTATTGAAATTCCCTCTGTACTAGTCCTTACTCTTTTACTTGACAGGTAAAGACAAAGCCGATTTGATTGATGGAAAATTTTCACAATTGTAGTTGTTTTCTTAATTGATTCTACTTAAAACTGACTTTACACAATGATAATGTTTTAGGTTCTGTATTGATAAAATAGTTTTGAAATCGAACAATGGTAGGTATAATCCTCCTAAGAGTTTTAATAAACTTTTAAAATAAAAAAAAAACAATTCTCTTGACTCCACCAAGGACCTAAGGTTATATAAGGACTATTGACTCAGATCCCCAAACATTTATGCTAGTGATCTAAATAATCTTCTTTTACTGAATTATTTTGCACATTGATGCACTCTTAAACTGTACTGATTCTAATCATTTATTTTATTATATTGAAACAGGTAGGTATAGGCAGGTATAGTAAGAATATATTGTATTTTAAAAGCAAAATACGACAATATACGTTTCGTATTGCACTCTGGTTTTAACATAAATTTTTCATTTGCTAATTTCACAGACTGGGCCGAAGAATTCTCACTGGAGGTTCGCTCTTGGTGGGTAGTGTTGTTCTGTTCATCGCAACAGCAGTTCCTAAAGGTAAATCATTCCTTGAAAAATTAAATGCCAACTGAAAATAACTATTCCCTTAATGGATATTCAAGGGGGTCCACGAATTCATACAGCGATCCATGTCCTTAATATCAGCGTGCGGTGCAGCACCGCACTACAACGTGTGATATGGACATTTGTAGGTGTTACGCCGCAGCGGGACCGGTGAGCAGTGTTGCCAATTGAAGAAAAAATAAAGGAACTCGATGCCCTATCAATCGATTTCACAAAACTATTGATCACTTGATTTTCATAAATAATATGAGATTTGACGGATTTCGTCATAATCGATTATTCGTTATCATATCGCCTAAGAATTCAATCATCTATTTAATCGATTATTTAGTCTCACAACTTAATTTAACTTTTCTCGCTTCCTACATAGAAACATGCACTGTATTTTGTGATTTCCTTTAGAAAAATTTGCCGGTGTTTTTTATTCACATTTCAATAACTTAACTGGTGGGCCCAGGATTTCCCTTCTCCTTTCCATGTAATAGTAAAGTTTTGTCTGAAAAAGGTGCTATTGGTCCTTATTTTATTAGATTAAATCAACAAATATTGTATTACAGGTCCGTACCGGGTCGCACTGGGGGTCTTGGCAAGATTTCTAATAAATCTGGCCTTCACAGTATTGTGTCAGTGGGGAACAGAGATATTGCCCACACCCTTTCGAGGTTCTGGGTCTTCCATGTTGCATATGAGTGGATTCGCCTTTAGTTTAATATCACCTTTTATTGTACTGTCGGTGAGAATACATCAATTATTTAACTAACACAAAAAGTATGAAATTTGATTATTACGGTTTTTGGCTAGTTGGTCAAGTTGTTAGTGAACCTGACTGCCGAGTCACATGTGGAGGGTTCGAATCCCATCCAGTACGAAAAATTGAGACCTGTACACAGTAAAAATCACCGTGCTCATAGGTCTAATTTATCTATAAAGATGTATGTTTTTGAAATATATTTTATGTTAACCATGCAATTGCAAAAACAGTAGGTTTAGGGAGTACTCCTTTCGACGCGTCCGCGCTCACCTCCATCGTCACACAAGGAGCACAAAGGGAACAGGGGGTTCCCACACGGGAGTTGGTCATCTACATGCCGCGAATGGCCTGAGGTACTTCGGGGTACCAGGGATGTGCTTTCTAGGGTACACCTGGTTTCCCGGCTACTGGTTCGAGACGGTTTGCGGTTTTTGGTCGGTTCGAGTCCGACATAAACACCCCACCGGTGGGTGATATCCGAGGGGATTTCCGCACAGGAAAAAAAAGGGATGTTTATTTCCCACGGTACAGTGAGCTCTACTAGTACTACTCGCTTAGTTGATTTCGCATATAGAAATATGTCTGGTCTGGACGCCCCGGCACAGATATCCTCCGATATTCTGAAATGTTTATCATACGTGTCATCTAATACCATACCTGGCGGTATTTATGATTGCGTACGGCTTTTGTGAAGTCTTTTTTATTAAGCCCTCCTTTACAAACTCGGTTTTTCTTTTATTTTGTTTGCTGTTACTTCTTTTTTCTAGCTGGCTAGAACAAATAATTTTAGCAGGAACAGTACGGCTAAGTCGAGGATTCACACTGTGTTTCTTATAGGCACTGGATTGGCCCCCACTACCCCTACTTATCGTGAGCGTGTGGTCAATAATCACAGCATCACTCAGCGTATTACTACCAGAGACAAAAGGTCAAGAAATGCCTCAAACAATTACCGACGCTGAGAAGATCATCATGAACGAGTCACTATGCAAGTAAGTTTTTAAACACCTAACTTTTAAATGGTTCTAGCGCCCCCACTATATAAGCCCAACAGGAATCTTTGTAAAACGACGTAAAATAAAGTAAATATACAGAATAGCAATTGATAGTCATGGGTGTACCTAGGGGGAAACCGACAAGGAGGTGCCTCCTCCAGAATTTGTAAAACAAGCGCTGTTAATCCGGTTTAAGAAAGGTTATGCTCCCTTGGGCCAAAAGCTGCGCTCACATTGACTAAATAGAAGAAATCGCTCAAAATATAAATGAAGTAGTCTAGAGGTTCTATTCCTTTTATCCAGACAAATATGTACTTAGCCCAAAATGTCAAACCATTTAATTGGAAACACCGATTGATGAGCAGAGTATACACTGAGACGCTTCCAGCTGTTATTTTTAACGACCTTGACCTTGCACCTACCGACTATTACTTTTTCCAAAATTTAGACAATTTTTAGTGGGTAAACAATTCAATTCCCGAGAGGCAGTACAAAATGCCTTTGAAGAGTTTGTTGCCTCCCGTCCAGCTGATTTTTACAAGAAGGGCATCAATAAACTGCCAATGCGTTGGCGAAGATGCGTCGATTGCATGGGTGATTACTTCGAATAACAGAAATAAAATAGTTTGAAAAAATAAGTACTTTCACTTATTGCATACAAAACGGCAATTTCATATGTAAAGACCTATTATTATACGGACGCAGAATACTGTCCTGTTGTTACTATATTTCAAAACGAATTTTAACCAAAATGCACTTCTTGTTTTCTCATGTTCCAATGGTTTACAGGTAGAAAATGCTTTATGCGTTAACTCGGCCAATAAAACAAATGTGCATGATGTATAAATATAATAATTTATGCGATAAACAAAGAAAAAATTACATTTTAGTTAAAAATATATCAGCGTAGTTGAAATAATAATGTTTTTATTTGTAGGCAACCCGAAGTACAGCAGTTTAAGAGAGCGCTAAGCAAAGTAGTGAGCACCACAGTTAATGATACTGTAAGCCGAGATCCTGAAGGCCGCATCAGCCGTCTAAGACTATCTGTTTCTGGCATTGGACGCTAGCTGGATATATTCTCAAATATAATCTTAAAATAATCCATAGTAGTGTTAAGCATAACATCGACTGATTAACTTGAAGCATTTAAGAGAAATAAACATTAATATTATTATTTTTGCTTGAATTCTTGCTAAAGCGACTCTGGTATCATCATCATCAACAGCCTTTAATAGTCCACTGTTGGACATAGGCCTCTCCTTGGAAATGAGGTTTTGGCCTACTACGACTACGACTAGACTACGGTATGGTGGAGGTTAAATCTAAAATGTATTATGTTAAAATCTTTGTAATTCTGCTGGGTGAGGATGACTTTAGGATGACTAATATTTATTTTGACATAATATTGCATATCAGAAAGGTACTGCTTGAAATTACTCACACCAATACAATTATATGTACGCCAACTTATAAATTTACAAATTATTCTAATCTATACAATTCAATAGTTGAAACTTTTAACAATCTACTATACCTAGACATACTGACTCATGAACATGCGTATTTTTTTGGCTCAAACCAAAACCTAAGCTATGACGACACAATGTTTGATTATCGTACAGGCGTAATTAATAATTTTGGAATACTGACAATGTTTAGAGACATTTTTGATATGATTAATAATATTAATACCTATCTTCAATATTCTTACATACCTTTGACTGACAAACAATCTCCTGACGGAAAATCTAATGACACTAGTGATGCAAATATGCTTTACAATCAGAAAACAGCTTCGAATAACTGTCTTTTTCGTAACTAGACACATATACGTAATGCATCAAAATATAGCTGGTTTAATAAACAAGTCCGACAACTTGACAGTATGTATAAATGAATTAACAGACAAAGGAATTGATGTTGATATAATATGCATCACTAAACACTTTATGTCAGAAGGCTGCGAATCCCTGTTAAATATACCTAACTATGTCTTAGCTTCACATTACAGCAGAAAAAATACTGAAAGAGGTGGATCATGCATTCTTGTCAGAAAAGGATATGAATGGAAGGAACTAGAGAGGATATCAAGAATGTCAATACCGGAAACTTTTGAGTGCAGTGCCGTAGAAATTGTTAAATCAAATGTTGCTATTATTTGTATCTATAGAGTAACAAATATGAGAAATTTGAACAATTTTTTCAGTAGGTTACATAATGTTTTACAAGTAGCCACAAAAAGACGATATAAAAATATTGTTTTGGCTGGCGATTTCAATATTAATGTTTTAAAATCGAATTACCAGTCACTTGAATTTGAACGTATTTTGCTCAACTTTAACCTTAAACTTGCGATATACCAACCGACTCGTATTAGGAGCCATACATGTATTGACAACTTTGCGCATAATTTTAATAAGCCTTGCAAAACGGAGATTATAGAGTTTGCTCTTTCTGACCATACAGCGCAGCTAATAAAATGCCCGACTGATAAAGCATGCAAAATTGATAAATATTATAGGTTTAGACGCAATTATTGTCAACAAAACTTATTAAAATTTAAAAGCTGTCTAAATGCTATAAAATTTTCTGAAATTTATAATACCCTCAATCCAAATATGGCTTACAACAGTTTCATAGAGGACTTTCAACTGTTTTATAATTTATGTTTCCCAAAAGTTAGAGTTAATGTAAATATAATTAAAAAGACAAAATGGGTATCAAGTGGTATAAAAAAATGTAACAAAAATAAAAGGCAGTTACTATGGCTACAAAGATTAAAGCCAAACCCAGAAAATAAATCCCGCTTCAAATCATATTCAAAATTATTAAAAAGAATTATGTTTCTAACTCAACGAGCACAAAATGATTACAAAATTAATAATTCTAGGAATAAAAATAAAACGACATGGCAAATTATTAATCAGGCGAAATTAAATTTACATAAATCTTTGATAAATAGATTAAAAATAAATGACACTATTATTACGAATCCAATACAAATATCGAATGAATTTAATAACTATTTTATCGATAAAATACAGCCTAAAACAACGTCTCTAAAAACCACCCCACCCATTTTAAGTACAAGCAAATCTATGTTCATGTCCCCATGTGTACCGCAAGACATATTAGGTATAATTCATAAGCTTAAAAACACGAACAGCGTTGGATATGATGGAATAACTACTAAGGTCATTAAAGTTGTAGCACATAAAATAAGCGGTCATCTGTGTCACATTATGAACCTATGTATAACCTCGGGTATTTTTCCTGATGCCGTTAAACAGTCAATTGTAAAACCAGTGTTTAAGAAACAGGATAGGGAGCTTATGGAGTATTATAGGCCTATTTCTTTAATTCCCATATTCTCCAAAATATTTGAGAAATTCATACATACGCAACTGTACCTGTATCTGGAAAAAAATAATCTATTGTGCAATGAACAAAATGGATTTCGTAAAAACAAAACCTTGAATTTGGCAATTTTCAACTTTCTTCATGAAGTTATGATGAAAGTAGACAAACGAACGCCTGTATGCTCAATATTTTGTGATATGACACAGGCATTTTATTATGTAAAACATGATATATTAATTAGAAAACTAGATGCCTATGGAGTGAGAGGTAATGTCCTAAAGTTATTCGAATCGTATTTGGAGAACAGAAAACAACGTACAGAAATAGCAATAATAAACCCCACTACTAAACGAGAGGAGCTATATCTTTCAGATGAGCGGAAAGTTTTCTACGGTGTCCCTCAGGGGAGCGTAATGGGACCTTTGCTTTTTATATTATATATTAATGACCTTCCAAAATGTACAAAAAATACTGTAACGCTTTTCGCAGATGATAGCACAATTACTATATCTTGTAATAATGATATAACTCAATATAAATATGACATTACGAATTCCTTGACATCCATAATAAACTGGCTTGACATTAACAATTTAAAAATCAATTTAAATAAAACTAAGATTATACATTTCAGTCAACGGATCGCTCCAATCAGTTATATATACCAAAATATAAACATTGACAATCATAGTATAGAAAATGTTACGACTTCGAAGTTCCTCGGGTTAACGATAGATAAAAAACTAGATTGGAAATCACATATAGAGACGCTTTGCAAAAAATTATGTAGTTCTGCATACGCTTTGCATACGTTAACGTCAATCGTCAATACAGAAACAGTGATGACCGCATACTACGGCTTAGTTGCCTCAAATTTACGCTACGGCATCATTTTCTGGGGTAACTCTACAAATACATTAATTGCTTTTAAGTGTCAAAAGAGATGCATACGGTCAATGTTTAAACTAAAAACAAGTGATAGCTGTAAAACTTACTTTCAGAGGTATAAAGTATTGACGTTGCCAAGCATTTATATTTTGGAAATGTCAATGTTTGTTAAAACAAATCCAGGCTTATTTCCGCGGCTTGAGGATACGGGTACACGGAACAGGCGTGATAATAGTAGACTGCGCCTATTCCAAGCAAAAACTGTGCTTATGCGTAGAAGTGTTTTTTGTATGGCTCCAGTAATTTATAACCATTTACCGCAACAATGGAAAAACTTGAGCATAAGTGCATTCAAGAGCAAGTTAAAAGAATTTTTAGAAATGAAAGCATACTATTCTGTAACTGAGTTTTTAACGGAGAAAATATAATAGAATGCATGTTTTTAATAACTACACCATACCCTCTATTAATACAGTTTTTTAATAAATGTGATACATTATTTATTATGATTATGACATTTTTCCTTTTTTTAATAATATAATTGTAATTGTTATTTTAATTGATATTGACATAAAATAGAATTCTGACCTCGTATGATGTATTAAATAAGCCCAACTCGTTATTAATGTTATCTTATTGCATGCCTAAAGGTAGGATGTGGCAGAAAAAAATATTATAACTGTAACACCTAATTGTAAACCCATGTTCGCAATGAAAATAAACTGATTGATTGACTGTAACTAGGTTTACAAATCACGTCACGTACATATAACGGGTTTGCCTGATAGCTCTGTGATTTCTATTTATTAGGCTCTACTATACGAGTAGCCACTAGTACTGAAATAATACCACATTTTTATAGAAAACCTCATATAACTCAGTAGTATACCAACTAAATTCGATTACCACGGTAGCCTAATAACCCTAGTTCACGAAAACATAACCCTTGCGGTTTAAAAAGGTAAATAGAAAGTAAACAGATTCTTCACGATAAAAATCAAAGCGCATAACATAAGAAATTGAAAAGATACATCTGTGTGATATCTCTTTTTCCTGTTGATGAGGTATAGAAATGTAAAGGGAATGAAAAGAAAAATAAAACATACCGAATGTATAAATTTCTCGTGCCAAATAATCTTTACATAGTATAGAATGAAGCCGCTTTTTTTCTGGTACGCTAAGCGCTAAGCTTTTTAAATACGCAACGGATTTTAATGCGGTTTTTACCAATAATTCAAGACGCGGGTTTATATGTCTAATGCATATTACAGCAGAAGAAATACCAGAATTTCAAATATTTGAGTCGTAAAAACATTATTTTATGCGCTTACATAGCAAACGCTGGCTAAATATTACAAGATAAATGTACTACGGATTATTGTATATCCTAAAAAGATCTCCAAACAAGTCCGCGATGATATATGTCTATCTCTATAAAGGCTTTAATGGTCAAAAATTCATGCAATGCAACAAGTAGTAGTCAGAGACTATAGTTAAACCGCCGTAAGCTTGGCCCTCCTGATGATTTGCGGGACGCGGGGCGGGTGATGCGCTCGGCTATACATGACACGGTGTACTAACTCGATATCTTCAGATTTATTTGTTTAAGATTTAATCTGCACACGATGTAATAATAATCGAATTTATTTCCATGTATTATAATGTAATAACAATACACTATTGTAAGTTTTTATGATTAATTGTAAAATTTAATAGGTGTAAAATAATTTTAATAAAATCACCTTATCTTCATGTAAATTATATTCAGATACAATTTAAAAATTAAGTAAAATAATAAATAATCTTTATTAGAACTTTAACAGTAGAACCTCTGTAAGCCGAACTTCAAGTTTTTAAATCTTTTTGTGACGCAGAGTCGGCAGATTATCCATGTTGCAAAATAATACCGTGTGTAGCAGTCTTAAGAAAAATAACACGTACAGCCATGCTTTCACGTCAGTCACTGCCGGCGGACAGCGACGCACTAGCTAATTGGTTGAATGCACCCCCGCCCCGCGTCCCCCAAACCATCAGGAGGGCCAAGCTTATGGCATCATCATCATCAACAGCCTTTAATAGTCCACTGCTGAACATAAGCCTCTCCTTAGAAAGGAGGTTTTGGCCTACTATACCACGCTGGCCAGACGGGTTGGTATAGGGTTTGTGTCAAGTTTTCCTTCTCTCTGCAGTGTTGTTGTTCTGCGTAGTTTTTTTAACTTAGTGTCAACTGAGGGAAAAAACTACGCAGAACAACAACACTGCACTGCACTCTTACAACACCCACGGGATGAATAGGGGTGGTGACAATCTGTATTCTTAATCCGTCACCACACGGACAAAGCTTACGGCAGTTTAACTATAATAGGCATTTAGTTCGTTTCTGTTACACATTATAAATATGTTATATCTATTCAAACTGGTTACTACTAAATACAAGCGGCATTATACTTATATTTTTTCCTCTCACTTTCCACGTAGGTACTTACGTCAGTGCATATGAGTTGACAGCTATCCGATTGCCAAATTAATCGAGTGCTGTTCTGTATATTGTGATTCGTTCGGTCGTGATTCTACAACTTAATTCTTCCTAATAGATAGATTTTCGTCTAGAAGAGCAAAAGGTATGCCTACATTAAATCGAAATTACGGTACCCTACTCGAACATTGTATGAGATAACATTATTTTTGAAATTGCACGCATTGAAAACTGTTCTGAGGGTAAAACGAACTGTCATTCTAATGAGGTTTATATGTCGAATGAATTGATATTCACGCAAAAATCCTAACGATCGATAATCGAAATGTAATCTATAAGGATTACGTTTCGATTGCGCGGCCACGTACTAACTGTTTTTGACTGATTTTATCTTTTTGACTAAACTTTGGTAGTATTTATTGCTTTCATTCGTTTTGACAAATTAAAACCTTTTTTCTTGTAAGTTTTACTGTATAAATCTTGAAAGAAATAACAATAAATAAACAACAAGTGTTCGATTGCGCGGCTATAACTTGCAAGGTGAATATTTTGTAAAATATTGATCTGTAGCTTATACCTTTTTCAACAAATTTAGTCTTCAAGATACAAAAAGAATCAGATCTCTAACTTAAGTAATTGCTGAGATCTCCGTGGACTCGCAATCCTTAACGTTTTGTTCGCGCAGCTAACTTAAAAAACTTATAACTGCTTTATTTCTACTTTGACAAATTTTTGGTTTGTTCCCTTCGATTTTGCCAAATTTCGGTAAATTTTTGTCGAAGTTTTTTTTCTGTTTCGATAACGTAGCGGAGCAATAGAAACGCACACCACTGCGGCAAAGCCAGGCGGACCAATAAACCACAACCGAAAGAGTATAGACTATATCATTAAACTCTAAAACTAACTTAAACATTACCTAAACTCAGGCGAGGGTCGAGGGCCGCTTCCCATCGGTCTCACTCGGAATATCTCTGGGTTGGTTGGAAAGGACTTTTCTTTAGTACATGACGAAGTAAAAGAAAAAATATTATAAATAACAGTTTATTGTTATATTGAGCAATAATCACGTATTTTTAATACTAAGATACATTTTGCCGTTGATATTTTGCCGAACGGGATTGATTCGTTTTAATATTTGCGTCATCGTCTCTACCAGTCGTTTGCTGCTGACCCCGGTGCGTTTCGACTTGAACTTGGTAAGTAACTCTGTCGTCGTCATCGGTTTGCGCGCTAAGTATCTACGTACTGCTTCTTCTGTTACGCCGCACTCGCTGGAATGTAGATGTTTTATTAGATCAGAATATAAATTTGCAAAAACTAGTACTTAGTACTACTCAACAAAAGAAAATAGAACTTGTCTTTTCTCATTTCTGAAGTTGTCAGTTGTATACTTACGTGTAAAAGGGATCCAGCTTAGGTTTCTTAGCGGGCGGCATGTTGGACAAGGCTGCATTAGCAGCCGCCACCGCGGCCTGCGCAGCAGTGGGCGTGGGCGTGCCACTACGAGACGTGTTGGTACTACCAGCCGCTGAAAAGTTAGCAAGCGTACTTTAAATGTGACTTTACATTTTAAATTTTCAGAGATTAGTTTATTACTATCAATAGTTCAAAATATTAAAGGACCTACAATGAAACCTTGGGGTACACTTGATATCACAGTATGATTTTAGATCGACTCTAAACCAGTTTTAAGATATTTTTACGGTTCTTTATTTGCAAGTTGCAACTAATAGTAACAAAAATATATTCATGTGCTGCTCATAGCATAACTTATAATATACATATTATGATGGACGCTATTGAAAGCCTTTGATAATCCCAGAAATTATTAATAAAGGTTTTGGCAAACTTACGTATAGTTGAGTCAAAATTGGCAATTTTTTTTTTTACATTGCATATTTTAAGTTAATCTTTGGAAAGCGATCTTTGGTGTAATACGTACACTTACCCGACGTGCTGGGCGCATTCTTGTCCGTTCCAGATTTGCTTTTCTTAGGTTTCTTAGTACTGCTGCTCTCTGGATCTGTGTCTGAATCTGAACTGAATTCGCTGCTGGAATCTACCGACAAAAATAAAAAAAAATTCTACACCTTTGAAGTGAATTATTGGTTTTTAAATGACTTATAGACTTCAAACGTACTTAAGACGCCTGTAATGAGAGCTGACAAGCCCTCGTAGTTCTCGTACTGTGATTGTCGCAAGACTGCATTCACACATACCTTTCTTATTATCATCGGGTTTCTTCTTTTTCTTGGTGAGTTTACTAGCGCGTTCTTCCCCTTCTTTGGTGGGCTCGTCCTCTTGTTCCTCTTCTTGTTCTTTATGTTCCTTTTCTTCTTCTTCTGAATCCTCGTCTGACGTTAATAATTTCCTGCAAGTTAAAGCTATAGTAAATTTGCATGAAGACAGAATCAGATATTCAAGGTATTATACTTAGGAAAAGGTTGATCAGTATGTTAAGATATTTTATAAATACAATATTGAATGTGTAAAAGCTTTTATGAAATAATTTCATGAATCTTTTAGTCAGTAATTCAGTCAAATCACGAGCCAGTATTTACATGCTGTAAACGGAATTGATTGAAAATTCATATCAATCTACCTCTTACTAGTATTTGAAAACTTTTTTATAATAATAAAAATGTATGTCTTGAAAAACGGAAACTAGGAAGTAATGTACGGCTTCATAGTTCTTTAAAAAGTCATTGTAGGTATAACATTAGTAATCCATTTTTAATTATAGGTGTAAGTAAATTTAACTTAGCCTCTGTCATGATTAATGCAATTCATTGGGTTTGTTGACACCTCAGTTGTAACCTTTCATCTAGGGGTCTAACATATGTTTTTTATTTAATGGTCTCCTAGCAACCGAAATTACTAGTATTCCCGTTAACCCCTCCCGCTAAGGTAAATTGCTTGTATTAGGAGTGGGTTCACGTCGGTAGTGAACCCACGACCTCTTGCTCGCAAGTCCAACGCCTTAATATGTTAAATGCTACCGCCGCTATATGTTATCAGTTCTACTAGAAATATAATTTTTAAACTTATTGAAACACCCGCAACGGTAGTGCTTAGAAGTCTACCCTCGATTACCATCCGTGATAGTAAATATTTTCACACGTATTACCTGAGAGCGTCTTCTTCAGCGACACCTTTAAGTTCTTTGTTGGCTTTAGTTTCGTGGTCCGATTCACTGTAATAGAAAAATTACCATTTGAATTCACCAAGTTTGTGATCCTTACACATCACATCAACAGCCTATAATAGTCCAATGCTGGACTTAGGCCTCTCCTTAGAAAGGAGGTTTTGGCTTACTATACCACGCTGGCCAGACTGGTTGATGTAGGGTTTGTTTAGTGCTGTTGTCCTGCTTAGTTGTCTCCCTTAGTCGGCTCCCACACCCACGGGATGAATAGGGGTGGTGACATTCCGTATGCTTAATCCGTCACTACACGGACGACGGACGGACGGACAGTTTATGGTATCACAATCAAATTTGAAAATCATGGAATTCTATCGCCTCGTTTTTAATAGAAGTAACGTCGGAAAGAAAAAGGGAGAAAGATTTCATCTTGAAAAAAAAGCACTAAACGTCGTAGAATGATATATCCAATCTTCATTAGCCTTCAGGCAATGCATGAGTTTGTTGAACCTCCACCTACCTATCTGACGAATCTGATATATAATCTTTCTCTCGCCCCTCCTCGTCTCCATCATCACTCTCCTCAAACGCCTCGTCCTCCACCTTTTTCTTCTTTTTATTTGCAGCCCCTACAATAAAAAATAGCTTATTAGTGTTGTTATCAATGCTTCATTATTGGCTTTCAAAAATTCCAATTCATAGAAACAACAGACAAAATTTGAGATAAAAATTTCACACAAATGCTTATTGAAATGTTTTACCTTTCTTATCTTTATTTTTTTTCTTATTTGCAGCAGTGTCACTATCGTTGTCCTTCTCTTCTTTTTCAGAGTTGGAGGAGTCATCATCCGAGTCTATCCATTCATCCATGTCTGATATCTTAAGATCTGTAATGGTAAAGCATTTGCACATTAGTATGTTATTTTTAATGCAAAAATTTCAAAACATGTCAAGAGTCATTTAATTCACAGCACATCACATCAACAGCCTTTAATAGTCCACTGCTGGACATAGGCCTCTCCTTAGAAAAGAGGTTTTGGCTTATACCACGCTGGCTAGACAGGTTGGTATAGGGTTTGTGACAAGTTTTCCTTCTTTTTGCAGTGCTGGTGTCCTGCGGATTTTGCGCCCTTAGTCGGCTCTTACCACACCCACGGGATGAATTGGGGTTATAACATTCCGTATTCTTAATCCGCCTCTTAATTCCGACATTATTATTTTTCGACATCTCATGTTTTGAAATATTTGCTGAATTCGTCGCTGCCATTGGTCAAGGACACGGACACCAATAAAAAAAAGAAGCTTGGGTTGTTTTATAGTATACGAATTCAGAGCCTGTGGCGACTTCCACATATCATGAAACAAAAACATACTAACTGAGACACACCAAACTACAGAGTAACTGCTAATTCTATATTGCTATCTGAATAATTCTCATGCCGATTAGCATATATACAACTTCCTATCAACCTTTGGGCAGCCTTGCATGACCAACTCGCCTGGTAGGAGGATCCTCCCTAACCTTCCTCAATCCAATATAAAAATAATTAAAATAAATAGAACAGAAAAATATTTCACCGTAATACCTTCGCATTCCTTCATTTATTATACCGGGAATGAACGCAATCGCATACAAGATATAATTTGACCGGAAGTTTCGACCAAGCTGCATCACTTGGCTATATTCACAGGCTGACTATCAGTCTATCGACAAGGTCCTGAACCTACTACCAGATGATGTGCAGAAGTTAAATAAGTGTGTACCTTTCTTGGCCTTGGCCCCTTTAGGTTTCTTGTCGTCGGGGTCTTCCACATCGTCGGCCGCCTCATCACCACGCATGCGCTTTCGGAACATCAACGAGAAGTAGTTCAGCACTTTGTTACGTCTACAACATTACCACTTATTATCGACACTTCCACATTTAAATGGGTAAAAAAGCATTCGATGCTAGATCAAAGTAATCTTGGGATGTCCCAAACAGTAATAACTATTAACAGTTAATGTAGATGCACCTTCCAAACTCCTGCTCTGCTTCCTCAGCAGATAGAGCCTTGTATCGCTGTATGGGCTGGAAATTGTACCTAAACACAAAAAAAATGGTAATCAGTTAATATAATCAATGCTAAAATAATAATTTTTATGTTTACTCAAAAAGTTCATTATTACCATTCCTGTAAGGGGTATGCATCTATGGCACCGTCAGCGGCGTGTGTGAACACATAGTATGCCGCGTTTTCCGACACACCACCTTCGCGGATGCCCTTAAACCTGCACACGGAATGAAGAGAATAATAATTACAACTACTTCTGGAGAGTTGTGCTCACTTATTAATTCTTTCAGTAGCATATTTGTACATATGAAAAGTTTGAAGCACCTCTTTAAAAGCTGCACAATTTGAAAGTATCAAGATGATAAATAAATTAAGCAAATTGGGCAAACACTGTGAACAAACATGGTCATGCCCGCGAAAGGGCTGCCTATCACCCTTTGTACCCTAGTAGTTTGTTTGTTCTCGGCATGGTCGGATACGTGCAGATAAGCGCATCGTTACCTCGCCACACAGCGGGCCGATGACGAGAGCTAATCTATTTAAATTTGCCCCCTTGTCAATTATTAACACAATGGCTACATATGTATAGATTTATAAATAATTGTAGCCAATAAATATTGCGTTATTTCTGACATATAATTAATTTATATTCATTATTTTAGTAATATGAATTGTTAATAATATATTAACGTTTCATTTCTCATACTTAGTTATAAGCTTACAATATTGCCTTGGGAGTTTTCCTATAATAATACTGTAAATGAATCTAAATAAATAAGGATAATAAATTATATCGTACTAGCTTTTGATCGCGGCTCCGAACGCGTATATGTCAGCTATCAAGGTAAAAAGTAGCCTATTTACTTCCTTGAGAATCAAACTATCTTTATACCAAATTTTATAAAATTCGAATCAGCGGTTATTGATTTCCACCCCCTTTTCGCCCTCGTAATGGATGATATCTGTATATGATAAAAACTATTCTATGTCCTTTACTGGGACTCAAAATATCTCCATACCACATTTCATCTAAATTGGCTCAGCGGTTTAAGCGTGAAGAGGTGACAGACAAAGAGACTGACAGACACACTTATAATATTAGTATAGATGTGAAACACAGTGGTTTGAATTAATAATAATAGAACAATTTGTTTTTTACACTTCAATTAAAAAGTTTCTTTTAAAAAAAAATGTTGTCTAACTCACTTCTTGCCAGTTTTCCCTCCAACTTTTAAGATCCAGGGCTGGTCCTCGGGTTTGTACTTACGCGACGTAATACCAAACTTCTTACGACGTGCCTCTTCGCGCATATCCCGACCATATTCTGAGCCCGCACCAAATCTAAATTTTTAAGGAAGACATTTAAGAATAATTGATTCATACATTCAAGATAATTTGATATATTAAGTGTGAATAGAATATGAAATAAAATCACCAACGAATAATACCTAACAACAAAACGCTGGACCACCATTTATTATCTTTTTTTTTCATTTGTGAGAATTCACACATATATCATAATTTGTTATAGAAAACATCAATTTACTAGGTTTTTTAAAATTAATCTTTAAATGATGCAAATGGAAATAGATCATTGATATTTCCATATTTTACTATATTTTGTTCAAGAATCAAACTATCTCATAGCAAATTACATCTAAATCAGTTCAGCGGTTATTGGTTCCCCATACAAACTTTCACCCCCATTTTCACCTGCATAAAGGATGATTTCTGGATAAAACTATCATGTCCTTGTCCTAGCTCAGGATTCAAACTATCTCTATACCATATATCGGTTTAAACATAAAAAGGGTGAAAAACAAACAGACAGGCTTTCACATTTTATAATATTAGTATGGATATGAGTATGTCACAAAATGCTTACTTTGGCATTTCTTCATCAAGTCCTTTGAACTCCTTAATATTGTTCTCCCGCTCCATCTTGACATGGGTCCACTTTGCAAAGTCCACATTGAGAGTAGCATTGAACCGCATCACATGGTACTTTTTCTTTCCATTCTTTGGCACACGTATTTTAAACTCCTGTACTGAGGTTGAGCTTCCCTAATAATAAAATGAGTGTATTTTAAATAGTTTCTTAGATTTATGATTTTATCTTGTGATTTTGGTTAGAATTATTATTGTACAACCAGTAGATAGAAAATATGTTTATAACAAGCAAAGATATTCGCCATAACTTGTAATTCTCTACTAAAAAGTTTATATTTTTTCATAAACAACCTTAACTTTCCACGGTTATTGTAGAGAAATGTTTAATTCTATAAATAAATTATTTTTAATTATTGACATTATTTTCATGAAAACATGGTTTGAAAAAAAAACATACCGATGTGCTAGGAGTCGTCATTTCGTTTTTTTAACGATTGTATTGAATATTGTTCTGCTTAAATTCTACATAAACGTTCTTGATTTCATATTTGCACTTAAGATAATTAAACAACAGTAATTGAAAAGAAAATAAAAACTATTGAGACAGACAGTGAATAGGTACGTAGCAGAAAGTAGAAGATGACAGACAGATAAAGAAAACAGATTTCAAAATGGGACTTAGTGCTGCCAAATTAAAAAAGTTAAAAACTTCTAGTACAGTTCCTTAAAAGTAAAACAGTATGGTAAATTATAATCTTTAAAACCAAAAATATCCTTGAATTTACCCACTAATTTATACATAGATACTATGATGACGAATTTTCTTATTTAAAACTTACTAACTACAATGGTAGACTTAATGCCATGGCGAATTCTCTCCCAGTCGACAGGTGATGTAAAAATATTATATGGTAGGTCCAAGATATGTATCTGTATAAAAAAAAATATGAGTAAAATCAAAATCTAGTGTCTCCGATCTGTTGCTACCACTTCTAACTAGAAGTTTGGATGTAGCAACACCGTCTCGAATTGTTTTTAATGTCATAATATCAAAAAACGTTTAGTAATGTTGGTAGAAATCCTTTAATTACTGTAAAAATAACGGTTATTATATAGATTTACTAATTTTACTATAACTATAAGGTATACTTTATAGGGAATTTACTAACATACAGAACAACATATAGAATAGAAAAATATTGTAAAATCCGTTTATTCTTTGATTTAGGTGACATCTAACTAAACGTATTAACCTAAAAAAAAATACAGACCTTGTTTTGAAATTTTAAATTATCTACTTATTATACTTTTAAAATAGAAGACGTAGCTTTAAGTATACAACATGGGCAAGAAAAAAAATAAAAATAAAGTAAGCGGTGCTGTAAAAACTGCTGCGAAAACGGAGAAGAAGTTGGCCAATAAATTAAAAAAAGAACTTGCTAATTTAGGAGAGGTTAGTTATGTTTTAAAATAAAAATAATTCTTACTAGAGTTGTTCCAGTATATACGTGTTCATCAATAAATCTGTTATCGGTACAAACAAATCAGTAGTTTTTCTACATGTGCTTCTTTTAATGCAGTACTACTAGCGGTCAACATTATCAAGTACATCACCGACCAATGCAATAGTCTACAATTCAGCAATTAATCTGTTGGATTGATTAGACTTATCACAGTTTCACAGATTTTGGTAGTGTTTTCCTATAATTGATGGTATGCCATGAGGCAGAACATGTTTGCGAAAAACCAAAGTAGGCACTTCACCTTGTTACAACAGAACTAACTTGAACTGTCCTTAACACATTGAGGCACAAGGGCTTAACTTAAGGGCACTTAACACTAGGGTTTATTATTATTATTATTTATTAAAATCTTAACCTTGTATACATGTTTTAAAACAATATGTTGTGTCTTTCAGGAGGATATAGCTAAAGTAATAGCTGAAATAGAACGTGAAGATGCTAAGCGTGCTCAAGCTAGTGAGAAGCTCCTCCCTGGTCCACCATCGGCGAGAGCGTACGCCTCTCTCACACCACACCCCACTAACAATGAACTAATAATATTTGGTGGAGAGTATCACGATGGACAAAAAGTAAGTGTCTATGGTTAATTAAATGATAAGTGATATTTATTTCTGTAAATAAATCTTTTCAGATATTTTTTGAACTTTACCGCTAGAAGGAGCGGGCATTTCCTAAGACGCACTCTGGTAAGAAAAGCCGAAACAAACCACACCAGACAGGTGTCTTTTTCTTTTTAGTCCATAAATAAAACTGTACAGTATAGAGTCTGGGTAGGCCTTTTGAAAAAAGGACAATAGTTTTGAGTCGGCCTGTGCATACAGACGGCATACAGGCCCCAGCCATCAAGTAGCTTAACCAATATTGGTCAAGATCAACAACCCCAAGCACGACACTACTGCGACTCAAAACCACCAGAAAGTTACTTAAAATATGAATTAACATTACAAGCCTACACTGTACTCACATTTACATACTTACACAAGAAAATATACCATACTATTCAAATTCAACGAAAAATAAACAAACAAATATACCAAAAAATGAAAAAAAATTAAATGTCCATCACTCTCAAACATAACAACAATGATAGGAACGTAAATGTGGGAGTGAGCGATGATTGCTGTTAATGATTCAAATTTCTCATTTTATTACTTAGATTAATTATATTAATTATTTAGGACTCGAAATGTGACGTCACATAACTAGGACTCTCTCACCCCTTGTCATACGTAATTTATTAATGTTCTTGAGTTTATGTCTGCTATCAAGGTTTGGAGGTATATTAGGTACAAATCTGAAAATTTAAATTTAAATACACAATGTCACCCCTAAGTGGGGAACCATCATGATGTAAGCACATTAAAGTCAGTGATACTTTTTTAGAAGTTAATGATAACAAAAAACTATATTCTTGTACAATGAAATGTTTTCCACAGACAGAAGTATACAATGAATTGTTGTTCTACAATCCTGCCAACAACCAGTGGAAGCTATTAAAGGCACCTGGAGCTCCTCCCCCGCGCAGTGCACACCAAGCTGTTGCTACTCCTGCTAACAAGTAAAACTTTAAAATTTAAACTTATAAATTTTTTTTATGCCAAAAGGGGGCAAACGAGTTGACGGGTCACCTGATGGTAAGCATGGACATGCCCATGGACAACTGCAACTCAAGTCACAAGTGCGTTGCCGCCCTTGGAGTCCCTCCCGCTGACTCGAGCGGGAGGGACTCCAAGGGCGGCGGGATTTAGGCTCCGATAGCCTCACTCACTCAGTGAAAGGCAACGTAAGAATTGCTTAACACCGGTTTTCTCTGAGGCCGTTCTATCACTCCGGTCGAGCTATTGACTCCTCTTGTGCCGCTACACTGTACAGTTCTTACCGGTGAAAGCACTTTACAGTGGAACAGCATGTGTGGGGTTAAGGACATAAATATTTTCTGTCATAACAGACTTAGTTATTACAACTTTATTTAAATTTCAAATCAGTCAGAGAATTTGACATGCCGGGGCGTATAATGATTAGTGATCCTTTGTGGTAAGCCAGAGGTTGTGGGTTGATTCCCACCTGGGACAAACAATTGTGGGATATAAACAATCATTTATATCATGTCTGGAGTGATTTTTTATACAAATTCTCAGCATTGGTTACCATAATTACAGGTTCTGCCTAGTTTTAGATCAGATGGCTGTGTGTTAGATGTTTAAGGTTATCTTTATTATCATATAAATTTTCATCAAACAATTTGTACAAAAAAGTTTGTTGAGACAGAATTTTCTAAAACGTTAATATGTTGCAGGGGCGAGCTGTGGGTGTTTGGTGGAGAGTTCACAAGTCCAAAGGAAACTCAATTTCACCATTATAAGGACTTGTGGTGTTTCTCACTAGCCGAAAAGAAATGGGAAAAGGTGAATTGGTTTTAGAATATCTTATGAGTCAAGTGGTCTAGTGTTCCAACTACCGTAAAATACCAGCACAAATAATATTTAATAAATACAGTTATATAAACTGACAGTGATAAAGTGGTATAGTAGCATATATAAATACCAATTGACAACTGTATATATCTATATATATATAAGCGATTTCCACGTATATAGACACTCATCACAATATCTCTGGAACCATTAGAGCTAAAGACTTGAAATTTGGTAGGAATATTCTTTTCACCAAGTAGAGGTCAGCTAAGAACGGATTTTAAGAAATTAAAAAAAAATATTAAAATAATGTAAATAGCAAAACAACGTTTGCAAGGTCAGCTAGTACTATATATACTGATATATACATTAGTATAGGGTCGGTATTTGTAGTCACAACAGCTACCAACAAAGTCTCTTTCTATAAGTTTCATTAAAGGTAATAATAAATAAAATCAATTTAAAGAAAATTTGGAACTCAAACGCATTTATTAATCATTAACATGGCACAAAACGTTTAATGAGATTTGACATTAATTATTATCTAATGAAATAATTAATGTCAAATCTCATTAAAAGTAACAATTGTCCGTGTGGTGACGGATAAAGAATACGGAGTGTCACCACCCCTATTCATCCCGTTTGTGTCGTAAGAGCCGACAAAGTGAGCAAACTACGCAGGACAAAAACACTGCAAAGAGAAGGAAAACTTGACACAAACCCTATACCAACCCATCTGGCCAGCGTGGTATAGTAGAACAAAACCTCCTATCTAAGGAGAGGCCTATGTAGAGCAATAGACTTCTAAAGGCTATTGATGATTATCTATTACAGGTTGTAGCTCCAAATGGTCCTTCTTCCCGCTCCGGTCACCGCATGGTGCTGCTCGGTCGAAATATTGTTGTATTCGGTGGCTACTCAGATGACGGCCGGGAGTGCCGGTATTTCGACGATATTCACGCCTTCTGCTTAGATAATAGGCAGTGGACAAAGTTGACACCAAGTGGTAGGGCACCTAGTGCCCGGTCTGCCTGTATCATGCTACCGTTTGGATCTGACTCGGTGAGTAATTATGATTTTTGCAGTGACTTTAAAATGTTCAATGATTGCCACAAAATGTATAAACATATATAAATATAACTTTCAAAGCTACTTTGTCATTGAAATTTGTTTATTGGCTTTTAAAATTAGTTATTACTTGAATCTATATGAAGTATAGCTATTATTAATGTAATATTGTAGTTGCATTAATCAAATGTTTTGTAAACTACAGAGTTTCGTCGGTTTCAATAATAATAATAATGTTTTGTTCAGCAAAACTACCAAAGTTATTTCTATTATTGCCAATAACAAGGGCCGAAAATGCTGCCTTGTAGAACTCCCATTTTCACACTAGGTGGTTTTTAATTAACAGGCATCTTTAAAATTAGATATATTGCGTGGATACGTCGTGTAATGATGAATAAAGGTCATAGAGCTCATTAGAGCCCGTTACCCGACTAGCACCGCCTTGACTCGAGGGGTTGGTATTCCTTGTATGGAGTACTATGAGTATACCCTCACTACAAGAATTCCGGAACGCCTCATCCGCGAGTTGACCGCGCCATGTTCGCGAGTGGTTTACACCGCTCCCCTTCGAAAGTGTCTGTTGTATGATTTTCTAGTTAACAACGCGGCGTCCACTCGTGTATCACCCGTGGAAAATGAGTGGACACTGAAAGGAGGTGATGTCGGTCGGGTGGGTGTAATGAACCTTAATCATTCAGATTAAAAGGTATCAGAATTGCAGCTCTTTCGTTTTGTGTAAATGGTCTCGTTATCTATATTCAGCTGGTCGTGTACGGCGGATTCTCGCGCGTGCGTGAAGGTCGTACAGAGCGCACGCACACCCACACGGACTTGTTCCGCCTCACGCAGAAAGGCAGCAGCCTCACGTGGCGCTCGCTGGCGGGGGGCCCCCTGGCGCCGCCCGCGCGCGCCGGCCTGGCCGCGGCGCTCAACCCACACAACAGCAGGGCCTACGTCTTCGGTGGTGTCAGTGTAAGTAACTCGATACTCAAAAAACCATAGAGATATAAGCAAAGAGAGATCCCGGGATACAACTGCCTGTAACTGGAAGTGATACAGGCAACGAGAGAGATGGATGCCCGATAGTTCCCTGTCTCTGTTTAGCTAAGCTGCGATTGGCAATCGTGAAGTGGGCATGGTTTTGATCGTAGAACAAGCGGCAGATTAGAAATTTCCCCAGCCAATCACAGAGCTCGACTAGAAATAGATAGAGGGAACCATCTAACTCTCTCTAGCATGAAGCTCTTGTTCACTCTATGCTTATATCTCTATTGGACTCTCTTCATAGTCTAAGGGTTCACTCAACTACCTTACACAAATAGTTACACGAGTTAAATATTAATTTTGTTAGTAAACTACGACATATTGATCATTGAGGTGCCCACTTGACGGCTTGGGTACTGATATTAACGATACCATTCTTGACCAAACAACTTAAAGACATAATTAATATGGTCTTAATATCTTGTGCGTAGGATGTCGAAGAAACAGAAGAAGATCTTCATGGCGAGATGAGCGATGACCTACAGATGCTGGATTTGGAGTCCGGCAAGTGGCACAATGTCACGTTACGATCAGAACAGCAGACAACGCCACAAAGTACGGAACAAAAGACCGAAGTTCCAGACGCTGCAAAAGAAATTGTTACAGGTAAAAAATCTATGATGAATTTAATAGTATGTATATGAAGGGTTCGATCCCCACCCAGGACCAATATTGTGTGATGAGCAAGGTCATTTGTTCTGTGTCTGGGTGTAATTTGTCTATAATATGTATGTATTTGTGCTGAGTCTTCGTGTTCTTTGTGTCCGTGTCATGTATGTTTGTAAAGTACCCCGCGACACAGGATATTTTCCTAAAGCGAGAGTTGTCTTTAAAAAAAAAAATGCTCCAGGTATCATTTAATACTTACTCAAAACTTCGTTCATATTAATCCGCCTCGTTGGTGCAATAGGTAGTGCAGGTGAATGCTTGTTTCGAGGTTTCAGGTTCGATTCCCGGGTCGGACCAAAATTTAGTATGATCTGCAAATATTTGTTTTGGAGTTTGGGTGTTTTTTATGTATCTATTTACAATTTTAAAAAAATATAAGTATTCTATCAATTGATCTAGCTTTCATAGTGCATGTTCTGCTTAGTTTGAAACTAGATGGCGTTGTGTGTCAGATTTATTCCTTCCTTTTATAATTTATTTATTCCTTTATATCCGAAATATTATATGAAAATATTAAAAAGCTACCTAACGAGTCGGACACAACTTGTTAATATCAACAACTACATTGGCGATGAACTTTCTATCCATTACGGTGTGCCTCAAGGTAGTATCTTAGGCCCTACTTTATTCCTTGTCTTTATTAACGACTTTTGTAACTTAATCATTCCACACGCAAACATTGTATCTTTTGCAGACGACACGGCCATAACTTTTCATGCAAACACATGGTCTGAACTTGAAACTGCGGCTCAAGGAGGTTTCTGTACTGTTTTAACCTGGCTTGCCTCACACACTCTAACTCTTAACACTACCAAAACAAATTTTATGACTTTCTCGCTTACCCCACTATCTCAACCTAAAAACCCTATAAATCTAATAGCTCACTATTGTCAGTCTCAACTTCACCTGAATTGCAAATGCCTAGCAATAACTCCAGTTAACCAAATTAAATACCTCGGCATTATCTTGGATAAACACCTTAAATTTAGACAACATATTGACACTCTCTCGGGACGCGTTCGTAAACTAATATATGTCTTCAAAAACTTACGACACGTAGCCAATCAAGCGGTTATCCGTAACGTGTATTATGCCCTCTGCCACTCCATAATAATTTATTGTATTCCTTGCTGGGGAGGTGCAGCTAAAACAATTCTAAGACCACTGGAAATAGCTCATCGTGCTATTTTAAAAGTTGCTACATTCAGGCCTATTTTATTTCCAACAACCGAGCTATATAAGAAGTGCAATTTACTCAGTGTGAGACAACTATTTTTATTACACCTAACAGGATTACAACACCGTCTCACACCGCTTTTACCGATTAACAAACGTCGTAAAGACCGAATTTGTTCAATCCCTCCTGCGGGCTCAACTTTCTTTAAAAGATTTTCTTCCTACCTTGGTCCATCTGTTTATAACAAGCTTAATGCAGTGTGCCCTATCTATCATTTGCCCAAACATCTACTGTCAAAGACTGTTAAATCCTACCTCCAAAACCTGAATTATGACGAAACAGAGCAATTCCTAAACGGTTAAGCACAATATATATTATTATTAACACGAAAACTGAAACCAAGTAAGGCCACAAACACCTAACCACACGCATATACACACACGCACTCATACACACATACACTCACGCACACACACACGTACACGCACACACACACACCCACACACACACACACACACATGCGCACGCACGCTACGCACACGACATTCACCCCCATATGCGCACTTGAGGGACTGTAACTCCTAAACACAGGCAACTTAGTTGCCTATCTAGGAGAACAGCAATCACTCCAATTAATTATAGCCTAAGTCATATACCTAACTATTATGATAACCTATGTAATGAAACTGTAAAACTTTAATATGAAATAAAAAAAAAAAAAAAAATTATTATTATTATACTGGTGTAAGTCGTATTTTCGGTGTAAATACTTTAACCTTTTTGACTGCCATAACTTTAGTATATAAATCCCAAATCAAATTTATCGTAACAATTTTTATCCATCGTAGTTAATCGTTAGTTTCCATGTTTGAATTTAAAGAAAATTATTTTAGTAGGATTCCTGATAAAGAAACAACATGCTTTCTAATCGACATTATTAATTTTATTTCGTAGTAGTGACCGATGAAGTGTTCACTATGAAGCTCGGGGGGGATCCCGTGCCGAGCGTGCCCGGCGCGGTGCTGAGCGCTCGTGCGGCGGCTCGGAGCGGGCCGAGCGCGCGCATGTCCGCCATGATGGCTGTGCAACGATCTACGCTCTACGTGTACGGCGGAGTGTTGGAAAAGGACGAGAAACAGTTCTATCTCAGCGATATGTATAGTTTAGGTGGGTAATTCTGTATTGTAGTTATTGAGTATCATCAACAGCTTTTAATACTCCACTGCTGGACATAGGCCTCTCCTTAGAAATAAGGTTTTGATCTACTATACCAGTCTGCCAGACGGGTTGGTATAAAGTTTGTTTCAAGTTTTCCTTCTCTTTGCAGTGCAGTTGTCCTGCATAGTTTGTTGGAATGAATAGTAGTGATGACACGTGGTTTTGCCAGCGTTTGCAATGTAAGCTCACAAAACCATGTTTTCTACGACTTCACATTACAAATGTTAGGAATACTATTAGAATTACTATAATATGCATGAATATAGCGTGATTCAAGAAGCGGGTTTGTATGTATAATACTGTTAGAATTAAATATTTCAATTGTTCCACAATTGTATGAAATGTGGAGGATAGCGCCATCTAGTATCGAGTAAAGTACAACTATTAAGATTATGTTTAATAATTCTGATCCAGTAACGCGTGACTGATGCTGGAATATTCTTGTTAGTCTTGAACGGACTATCGAATACTAGAGCTCATTTTAGTAAACCCGATAGCGCCATAAAAGGGGAGCATATTGGCCGTACGACACAGCAAATTAACATCGAAGTGAATTTCTAGTGCGACTAACGAGTAGTGATTTCTGTGTGTAATAGTGAGTGTTAAAAGTAATTAACGGATAACTTTTATTTATTATATACCCCCTCGTAACAATACAAATCCGCCTCTTGAATCACTGTCTCTATTGGTGAAAACCGCATTAAAATCCGTTAAGCAGTTCGAAAGATCTAAGCGTACAAGAAAAAAACGACTTCTTTTTATAATATGTAAAGATATGTTACTTTTTCAGATCTGCACAAATTAAATGAATGGAAGACTATTATTGAACAGCCGCCGCTCCCTGACTGGCTCGGCTCAGACTCGGAACATGAAGAGTTGGAATCTGATAGCGGGTCTGATGACAGTGAGGAATCAGATGAAGAGTAACTCTGTGGCTACCGTTATAAGGTTCTTTGTGGATTATTCTGTGATGGAATTAAATATTTAAATATTGTAAGATTAAGTATATAAGTGTAATATCTGTATTTGTTACATAATATTAATTGTTTGTAACTCAAGAAGTATGTAATACTATTGTCAAATCATTCTGGATTTGATGATTAAAAAAACGTGTATAATAATAAAATATCTGAAACGCTTTTAATGTCATTTAATTTTTGTCCGAAACTTTTTTTTTGGCAACATTACCTTGTAAATCCACCATCCACCATCTGTGTGGTGACGGATTAAGATTACGGAATGACACCACCCCTATTCATGTATAGTATCGTAAGAGCCGACTAATGGAACAAACCACGCAGGACAACAGCACTGCAAAAAGAAGGGATACTTGACAAACCCTATACCAATCCGTCTGGCCAGCGTAGAGTAAAACCTTTCTAAGGAGAGGCCTATGTCCAGCAGTGGTCTATTAAAGTCTGTTGATGACGATGATGATACCTTGTAAATCTATCTTACATCTTAAACCTTATTTTTACAAACTCGTGAGCACTAATAAAAATTACCAGAATAAATACGAATAAGTATTTAAATGTACACACAAATTGAAAATTAAAGAAAAAAGCGGTAAATATTTTATCAAGATATCTAAGTGTGGACTAGCCTATTTTGAAAACGGTCTTACTGTCAGTATCACTTTCACTTAAGTATACCGAGTTTTAACTTACTTTGATTTTTCTTTACCAAACAGGCACAGTTAGAACATACATATAAGATCCTAGCGATTGATTACTGTGGACACTCAAATTGCTCCCAAATTAAAAAAAAATAATGTACGAAAAAGTTTCAAAGGTAAGTAAAACAATTGGTAGTTTTTTTCAGTAGAAAATGCCTAATATTAAAACAAAAAAATATATATTTAAATTTCGAAAGTTATGTACATAAAAAAAAAGGAAACTAAATATTGTTTTGTGAAAATTGCTTTTGGCAATTGTTTTATAACAAATACATCTGTACTTACCTGTATAATTTTAAATGTAAACAAATATATACTCGTATTTTAGAAACCAAAATGACCAAAGAATTTAGGCACGTGAAAAAAATATGACTTCATACATGGATTCGTCAAATGGAGATCAACAACAAAATCATGTTGCTATGTACCTACTTGAAGTGCTGCTAAACCAGCATTTGTAAATAAAACTATTGTTAAGATAAACAATTGTTTTTACCAAGTGAAGTGCAGAAGAAAATACAGAATTAAGAAAATGATCGCAAGATACCAAGTTTAATCAAGGTAAGTGGCAATATAACTAATTCCATTTAAAGAATATTCCTGTCTGTATACTTCCACTTGAAGAAGAAGATACAGATTTTATTGAAAGATACAGAGCCATTTGTTAATCCACTGTTCTTGTAAAAATTAGATATACTAAATGAAGTGGTTCTTACAAGTTTTTGCTCGAATTATAAAAATGCAGCTATTCACCAATAATGGTGAATGCTTAGGTATTTCTATTAGTACATACTTAGGAAGGCAATTGGGAGTACTGTCTCAACCTTTTCTTGTACTATTGCGTTGTTCGTACCAAAAAGCTTTACCTCGTTGGCAAAAGGTATATTTATTTATTTATTTCGGATCACCAACCAGGAATACACCTTACATGCTATAATGATGTTAGGTTTACAAAGTTCAAGTTAGTGTGCTTCCTTAATAACAGGCGACTACATCATCTATATATCTCTGTATATCTAAGATGCTAATTTGTGTCGGTAAAGCGTTACGGGGAGATAGATAATGACTGCAAATATGCAAGTAAACGTGGACACGTAACTGTTTAGATACTTAGGTGTATAATAGCAGTGTTTTACCTGAAATAAAACACACATTAAATACTTACCTTATTTGAAGCTTACTAGATTGGAGAGTGGCGTTCTTGACTTCCGCTTTATTTTCCCTCTCTTTTGCTCTTTAGTGCTATTTATATATGTCTATCTCTTTCGCACACATGCTTTCTCCCACCAGGTGGCGCTGTCAGATGACAGCTTAGGCTCGGTAGAGTTTTATATTTCATTGAGTCGATAATCTACACCAGGTAGAATTAGAATGTAAGCTTCAAATAAGGTAAGTATTTAATGTGTGTTTTATTTCAGGTAAAACACTGCTATTAAACACTTGACCGTTATTTGAAGCTTACTAGATTGAGACGTGTCTGTTATCACCTGGTGGAAAGAGGACGCCAATGTGATATTCATATTATTTGTATAAATGCAGTAATAATCATATGGGTTATTGACCTCACTACATTTATTTAACAAATTGGGGAAAATGTACTTGTTAATTCAGAACTAGGCCTTGTAATGGTTGGCACCACCTGTTTACAGTAATAACGGGCAAAGGTGTTTTGAGATTTCCAGTTACCCCTAGCAAGTATTTCATCTAAGGGGCAATTGTTAAGCCAACTCTTAGATGCCACCGCTGATCGCAGGCTACCCGCTGGAGCGTCTATGCCAGCTTGTAATAAGAGCGATTTGACCCAGCTAGCGATAACTGTACGAGAGGCGACCTTCGTTTTACCTCCGAGGTTAATAAACAGATTGACGAGACCGCCTTGCTGTCGTTTTTCCTTTAAAATAGTAATACAGTGCTTAATCCAAAATACTGGATCTACGTTTTTATTTGTTGTATTAGTGATTAACTTCCAACCCGACTGCCTATAATTAATTCTATCCGTTTTAGATCCAAACAAAGGCCATAAAATAAGGCAGTCATTCGACTCAGAAAGGTGTGTCGAATCGACTGCAAGTAAGGTTAGGTCATGGACTCGCCTGCCTGAACAGAGGAGTAATAATGTCGCTGTATGTCTACAAACTGCAAATGCATTACTTTTATCTATGTCATAACTTTCTAAGTATGTCACTAGTTTGTCCACGTCCCAAATTGTTGGTTTCTTAGTCGCTGGCTTCTTCAGAGCGATGGACTTAAGTATATGAGTGACCAAGGTGTGCGAGTTTAGTGCACCGGCATCCTCAGCGTTGCATAAAGTGCAAACTACGGACTTATGTAGCAAAATTGAATTATAGGATAGCCCTTCTACGATATATAGATCTGCTAAAAACCGAGCCAGGTTCTGGCCAGCCGGCTGGAAGGGATTTACCGCATGCTTCGTGGTCCAAGTTAGCCATCTGTTCCAGGCTACTTTATAAGTCTTCCTCGTGGACGGGCGCCAAGAAGACTTTAAGAGCTCTACCTGATCATTATTCCATTGTTTAAGGTTTTGAGACCACCCCCCCAACACTTCCATATCTCTAAGGTCATTTCTTGGACTCTTGGCGGTGGCAGACATGTAACTGTGTCTATCAGGTATAGATGTAGGTTCTGGATCACGAACGGTGGGGCTAGAGCACGGGCTTTTACGTCCGCTCTCCAGAAAACTTGTTCCCACCATGGTACTACCAGAAGGTATATTCCCGAGGCCGAGTTGAGATGTGCTAATACCTTGGGAACTAGGTAAGGTGGTGGAAAGACCCAGGCCAAGGGATAGTTCCATTTCTGAGAGAAGGCATCGTGATACATCGCATGGTTGTCGTTCAGGTCCAGTGATACATAATTCGCTACTACTTTTGCCTGTTGCGACGCAAACAGGTCTATCACAGGAACTCCGAATCTTTGAAATATTTTCTCTGTACACTGTGCTAAGAGGTGCCACTCCGGTGGGTTGCGGTGACGAGATAGGTGATCTGCATGACAGTTGAATATTCCTGGTAAGTGTTGCATCTTCAGGCTTATTTGGTACTGGTCTAGATGATGAAACACTTCTTTTGTTAGTTGAAGTAATGGAGCGGACCTGGTCCCTCCTTCGTTTCGCAGGAAGGCAATAACAGTCTTGTTGTCGCTTTGAACTAGCACTGTTGCCCTGTACAAGAGCGGACCTCGACTTTGTATTGCCTTTAGTATAGCTAGCATCTCCTTTTGATTGCCATGAAGGTCTTTCTCCTCTTTGCTCCATGTTCCCGACAGTGCAAGGCCATCGAGTTGGGCTCCCCACGCCAGGTCTGATGCATCTGTAGTCAAGAAGTGTGTTGGCATCGGGAGGTGGATCAGAGAGGTGCGGTGACAATTTTGCCCCCACCAATTGAGTTCTCGTTTCACTTGTATAGGTAGAGTTACACTGACAGAGTTTTCTTTTTCTTTCTGATTCAGGAATACGAGTGTATCCCGAAACTGAAGTCGACCCTTCGGTACGGCGACACTGGCAAAGTTTAATAAACCTACAAAAACTTTGTAGCTCTTTTAAAGTCACCATATGCTTGTGTAAAAGGTTCGACACGCTTTCTTTTATTTTTGAGATCTTTTCGCGTGGTAATGATCTCTCGTTCAGCCATGGGTTCCATTTGATACCTAGAAAAACCAAGCTTTTGCACGGGAGTAGGACAGATTTCTGATAATTTATTTGCCAACCCAGGTAGGTTAGACGATTTAATACTATTTGCATATGTCCTTGTAACGCGTGATAGCTTTGATGCGCTACCAGAAAATCGTCGAGGTAGACCAGTACCCGTATACCATCGTGTCTTAGAGTCTCGGCTACCCAATTCGTTAACATCGCAAAAATTCTGGGTGCTGTACTGAGGCCGAAGGGAAGGCACGTCATTTGAAACAATTTCCTTTTGTATATGAGCCTGAGGAATCGCCTGTGAGACTGAGCTACGGGCAGGTTGAAATAGGCCTGGGAGAGGTCTATTTTGCAAAGCCAGTCGTTCTGTTGAAGAAAGTCTGGGACTCTGAATACGTTGATCAGTTTGAACGGTTTTGTGTAAACAAATTCGTTCAGACTCTTTAGGTTGAAAATGGGCCGAGCAGAGCCGTCGGTCTTTGGAATGAGAAACATTGTTGACAGAAAACTTGGTGACAGTTTTACTTCCTCTAGCACATGCTGCGCTACCATTTGAGAAATGATAGCTGACATCGCCTTGGATTGCTTCGTTGCGAACGAGCTTTGTAGATTGGGTAGCATGAGAGGTGGTTTTTTGATAAAAGGTATGCGATACCCTTTTATTATGCGAAGCAGTATGTTCGGTGCTCCCAGTTCCTGCCATCGATCGACATAGACTCTCAATTGGCCTGCTCGGAAGTTCTGACAGTCAGAACTTACCTCTCTTACCTCCCGTGTAATATTCACTGGTTGACATTCTCTTCCTGTTACTCCCGCTCGTATCACGTTTGTCTTTATTATGGTTAGCTCCTCGTGATCGAAAATTTAATAACTAAAGAAAGAGGGTATTTTACATATCATACACGTTACTATAACTTCTAAACGGCTAAAGTCTAACACCGTTTATATGAATAATACTTCGCCCATTATAGCAGCGCACATTATATTGTTGTTTTTTTTTTTTTTTTTAAACAAGTAAATGTACTCACAGTTTTGTTGCGGGTATAGGTGTATCACACGTTCACAATACTTATTTCTAAATGTAACTTTGATACGCTAGTGAATAGCGATCCTGTTATAGATATTAAGTATATTTTTTTTAACGAAAATTCTGCAACATTGAGCAGCCAACGACTGCTCTGAGCGGAATTTTAGACGCCAATGAAATATAAAACTCTACCGAGCCTAAGCTGTCATCTGACAGCGCCACCTGGTGGGAGAAAGCATGTGTGCGAAAGAGATAGACATATATAAATAGCACTAAAGAGCAAAAGAGAGGGAAAATAAAGCGGAAGTCAAGAACGCCACTCTCCAATCTAGTAAGCTTCAAATAACGGTCAAGTGTTTAATGTACTCTTTGCGAAATTAGCAATATAAACCAATAAAATTACTGAATTAAATTAGTTGGGCGGGAACAGCTGTTATTTAGACATCCGGACCTCTTTTAGCGCCTGCCCGCAAAAGCGCGGGAACGCGTTAGCAATGTACAATATCAGTTTTTTTTGGTTTATTTAATCAACAGTTTTAGTTTCTATTATTTTACTGTTGGATAAAAATTACGCTAGCGCAAGACTCACGCGGAAGGTCTAAATCTTTGATGAAAAGAATTTTGATTGATTTTAGTGGTATTTATCTTTGTCTATTTTTATTGTTTGCTTGCTTGCCTTTATTGCTTGAAAAAGTAATGATTATCCTGTTTTCTTCTGCTACTCTACGGCCATTACGTTATATGGTAGTTTAATTTTACACCGGCTGTTTTCCACAAGTCCGCGTCAGTGCGCGTATTTTGCGTTGGTGGGAATTTAAGCAATTCGAGCCACCACAATATAGTATATCTAATGTAACTAATGTATTGACACCTTCAAATATAACTAAACATATAACGCTTAACCCACTAAACCGATTTTTCAAATTCTTTCACCAATGGAAAGCTACATAATCAGCGAGTAACATAAGACTTTTAACCGCCATAACCGACATACACATGGGCGAAGCCACTGGCTAATCTAGTATTATATAAGTAATGGTCTGCGTCTCTCAAAAGGAATAAATTTACCCCGTTTATTACGTTTTTCATTGATCTTGGCTCCTATTGATTATAGCGTGATAAATGGTGAAAACACATACATAATAAATGAATTTTTCAATTCGAACCAGTAGTTCCAGAGATTATCGCGTCCAACCAACAAAACAACCTCTTTAGCTTAATAATATTAGTATAGATATTGTCTATGAGACTAGAATAAAATTATTTTATAAATTTTAATGAGAATTTTGGAAGTAAAGTTAAGTTTATTCAGAACGGCATATAAAAACTGAATAAAGGATAACAAAAATATAAGGAAAGGGGGCAAATTAAACTACTTTTTTACATATATTGTTTATTTTTATTGTTCTTCCATCGTTTTTACACACGAGTGGATCGGATAGCGATCTCGCGGCTCGATTAATAAACAGTACCTACTCTACAATTTGATCATTACACTTACACAATAGACACGCATTACACACCAGTACCCTGTTACACAATGATTAATAACTGTATCAAAAAATTCTACACAACTCCTACGTATAGTAGACTATAGTGTCACGTAAAGTCTGTTACGGGTTATGATAAACTCTGACAATGTATTTTACATCTCTCATGTTCGGTAAGTAGGTTCTTATTACCTCCAAATGGGGCTTGTAAGTGACTAATTAGCGCTCTAGTATTTAGTAGTAAGTAATTTTAAAAAAACACTTCTTTATTTCAAAAAGTTCACGTACATCTAACCATCATACTGGCAATAGACATCATGCATTCAGCCCAATGACCAAAGAGGTCGCTTTGCTATTCAGCCTTGTCTTCGTGTGAGTATAATAGTCATCAATTTTAAATATCGAACGGCGAAGCTCAATTTCGATCTTGAAAAAAAAAACTTAAAAATGTTTTATTCTTGTAATGCCGGTTTTTTTCTACTTACCTCACAATCGAGATGTAAAGCAGAATAGTTAGCTCGGGTGTAAGCATCAATTGCACCCTCGAACTTTCGAGCAATTGATGCCTTACAGCCCTTGGCTACTAATCTACTATTAATACATCGCTTAGCTACAATGTTTCAATTTTGGTTTATTATTTTCTTGAACGTCTTAAACCTATTTTAAAAGTATTTAAAAAATCTGTTTAGGGCTTGTTTTTTTATGGATCTTAATCGACGTTACAAGTACAAGGTCTTATAATAAACTTTTGCGAGTGAATCTCCTGAAAAACAAACACTTATCCAATACCAAACATTATTCTAACTATGATGACTGACAGTTATACACCTAAATATATGAAGCAAATATAACCATTAACATTCATTTATTTCTCATGAAAAAATATCTTAAATGTTTTATAATAAATTGATATATAAACAATGGTTACAAAGGATTCATGGATTTTTCATGGATTTTTACCATTTGCATATTATATCAATTAATTATTATTTAATATATGTCAATAAGCTACAGTCCCATAATATGTTTAGTAAATAGCCGCGTTGCTCCCATGCGCAGAACACACTTCAGGCTCAACTAAAGAAACTAGGGGAAATTTCGCACACCTTCGAAATGTCTTATATGCTTATATTATTTAAATATAACTGATTAAGTTTTAAATTTGGAACACAATTGTGCGATAAACGTTTTGTAGATGGCACATAATAATCATTGGTCCCCGTTCTTTTTTTATGTTTATGTATTTTGTGAAGTCAAAGTCAACCGTGACAATGAGTCAAGATGTTTCGCATCACGACTAAATATAGACATTCTCCTTTGTATTTTGTTTTAATATCTGTTCTTGTTGTTAAATTCAAATTAAGCATCAACTCGTGTTATTTGTCGTTTCTGCTGAATATGTGACGAATATTTTAATTATTATCACCTTTCTGTAAGACATTGTAGATTGCAGTATAAGTGTCGTCACAGGGTAGTAACCTGCGGTTGAATAAATAACGAAATAAAAGGACTTCGAAAGACTACTTTTGTCATTATTCTTTTGCTGTTAAGTTTTAACGTCGTGACGCGAACTGTTATACAGTATATACCTCAAATTTAGAGAAAACACTTGTTTCCATAGCGTCTCTCAAATACAAGGTAGGGAGTAATTGTCAGATATATGCAGAAAACAAAGGAAGGCAATAGTATTATGTACAAAAAGATAAAATTAAAAACCGAACTAATTTTTCAAAATATTTTATTATTTGAAATTAGTTAAAATGTGTAAAATTGTACAATTTATTTATTACATAAGACCTTCCTCTGCCTGTTTCACAAGTGAAATGATTGTGCGCACAAAGTCGCAGCTTTTATGTAATGTATCTAAGTTTGTTCATACAAAAACTACTTACTTACACTATAACAGATACAATATAATTTTATTGTTTGGAATACAAATGGCTATGAGCGCTACAAATGTTCAATAAGTGGGTTATAATGTTTTACAAACTGCGACTTGCTATTTATTCTACATGTTACGTATAAAATGAAATAACACTTATAATATTATACATATACACTGGTGTAATCTTAGCAATTGTAAAATTTAGTTTGCAATATATAAGTCAAATAACAAATTGCCTTATTTATAACTTTGCTCGACAATACATTGCAAAATAAACTCTATACTTAGCAAAGTAAAGCTGAAGCCAACATAGAAGGTGAATATTTAAAAATAAACATTATAAAAAGTAAAAAAAGAAAGTAATTATCATTACATCAGTCGGTTAAATGATGAGTGTTATCTTAGTCCGAATGAAATTATAAGTACATAATATATTTTTATGTAAAAATATTAATAGAAAGCAAATCAGTCTATAAACTTACTTTTACAAATTATGACTAAATTTTATGTACATTTTTAGATATTTAATTTTTTGATCGTCTGTAGTTTAGCGCCTAAGACTATGAAATCATTGTTTAATAGTCATGCTTTTGAAAGTATCAAAGTAATTTAATCATAGTTTTTGTTATTTATTTACATTGTAGTATTCTTTGCTACATACAAAAGTTGATATTAACAAGTGCTCCTTAGTAGTTATTCCTATAGCTGACACAATAAACTCTACCTATTGGTCGAGTTACGTATACCTATGTATTAATTTTTAAGGCGCAAATCCACAGCATACAACATTATACAGGCGTAGCTATAAAATCAAACGTACATTCACTATCTAATCCATTAAAATTTACACATTATTTACAAAAAAAAGATCATAATTTATTATATAATTTGGCTGAATTTTATAATTTTTAATTTCGCTAAATATTTTTTTGTATCGTATTTAAATCACCAGAATAAAAAAATACTCCCCATTTATTGTCGTTCACTTCCAAAGGGCGCAATCGATTTTATTATTATGTAGGAAATAATAAATTAATGAACTACACAATGCACTGTGTATAATTTGTTAGAGTCCGTCTCCCGTCCACCCGGGCCGAGCGCGACCAGTCCACACGGTCCATATCACAGTAGCGGCTAGCGCTGTCCCCCTCGGCCTCGCTCCCTGACTAGGCTATGTACAAACCGAACGATTTACCGACGGTCATCACTTAGAAGAGGTCGGTGACGATAGAACCGAACCACGCGCACACCACCGGCAGGGCGTAGGTGAACAGGGCGCTGTGCAGGTCGGGCCGAGTGGCCGAGCCGCCGACAGGCCGAGGCTCCTCAGGCGTCTCTTGGGCGCCATCGGCCCCGTCGGCCTCTCCCGCCGCGTCAGTCTCTCCCGGCTCGCGGGGCACGACGACCCCGACGCTGAAGTCGTCGGGAAGTTTTTTCGGCTTGACGTGCTCGACGTTGCGGCCGTCGATGTTGATTTCAGGACTATCGACGTTGTTCGGTGTCTGTGTCTCTGTGTTTATCGCCTGTGTGGTGTATGAGGGTACTTCAGGTGGCTCATGTTCTGTCGGCACATCGTCCTCGAACTCCGAGCTCTCGCCGGACCCTGGAACAATAATTATTAATAAATACTTGTATTTAATTTAAAACCAATCATAATATAGAATCTAATTGAGAGTTCGATGATATTTATGTAAGGCGTATATTTCTTTCATTGGTGCTCGGCTGCTTTCGATCATAGCGTGATGTTATATATAGCCTTCCTCCATAAATTGGCTATGTATATTTATATATGTTATTTATTTTGGATCGCCAACAAACGATACAAATTTCTACAATAATTATAAAACATACAAAAACATGCCTTGTGCCTTATTCAGTAACAGGCAATCACAACTAACATAGGTAAAACTTGTATCATTTGCATAATATTAGAAAAATTTAACAGAATATTAAAACTATTAGGTAAAAAAGAAGCCATTTTTTATCAAAACTACATATCACGGACTATTTAAATCCAAACCTAGGTGAACTTTTGCTTGATAGTCCGTGATTTTTTCTTAAACTTGAGGACAATATGCCAGTATACTGCGAATGCTTTGGCATTAAATAGAAGTATCCTAGTTTTTGGTGGCGATTTTGTATTTAGCCAATATACATGCAATGACCCCTGGTTTCTTAATACCGCGTTTTAGTTAAATGTACAATGCCATCTATCGGGCTTAAACAAAATATTGTTGTTCATGTTAAACAATAAGTTTACTGTTACGCTGTATCTTACACCCTGTATGTATACTTTTAATATAATATATAGATTTATAACAGGTTACCTGTCTCGTAACCCTTGATTTTGTCTTCATCGTCATATGGTAAACCATCGCCGTTGCTGTAATCACCAGACCCTGAGCCGGACTCCACCTCCTCAATTACGTCACTAGAGAATGAATTGGCTACTTGTAAGTCTGAAAAGAATATGACAGATAATTTTATTGTAACATCTCTCCAGGGTTTGTGAATGATACGAGTTGTGTAAATATTCTGAGTTAAATAATGAGAAACAAAAACTAGCGCATAGCTATATTGACTTTTTCTAAAAAAAAACTAATTTTTATACTTTACGGTTATGATTTTTTTTTAAAGACAACTCCCGCATTAGGAATATATCCTGTGTCGCGGGGGACTTTACAAACATACATGAAACAGACACAAAGAACACTCAGACTCAGAACAACAATTTGTAGATCACACAAATTGTCGTCCCACGTGGGGTTTGAACCCACAACACTCGGCGCAGTAGGAAGCGGCGTGGCGACCGCTTAAACCACTACACCATTCGTGCAGTCATTTCTGAAACAGCCTTGGTATCTGGTGATAAATTGTATATTTGGAGATTGGACAAATCGTTTTTTGCAATCGATGTATCCACTAGTGTAAGAGCGTACCTCTAGCGTCGGTGTCGAGCCACTGCACCTCCACCCCGTTGTAGGCGTCCTTGAGGCGCGCGGTGAGCGTGCGCAGCGCCTCGGCCTGCGCGCCCGCCGCCGCCACGGCACTGGCGCTGGCCGCGCCGCGCACCTCGGGGTTGGACGCCAGCCCCGCCGTGCCCTCGCTCGCCGCGTTCAGCACGTAACTGACAACCGAACACATTTTTTTATAATTTACGTCAAAATAACGGGATTCACTTGAGCTATTTTTTATTTTGAAATCCATCTCGAGGTTTGGTGAAAGGGGAAACGGAGATTCACGTAAGAGTTACGCTATGGTTGCTGAGAGCTGCAAAATAATAAGTACACGTCGACATTTTTATATTTGAAGCTCCAATTAAATAAATTAGATTACATTTTATTGAAGCCCTATTATTGGAGACATTTTGAGTTCAAGTACCTAATTAATGGATGCTCACTAATATAACTGCTAGCTTTTCGGTTTTTATTCTTACTCTTTTTTTATTTGAATGCTGGGATTATGAAAATATAAAATATAAATATTCTAAAAATATACATAGGTATTATAAAAAAGTTAACCAATTTATTTCACCACTATCAGTATTTTACATTAATATTATTTGATTTAATTATACCAAAAAACATTATCGAATACGTTAACTGTTAATAAGTAATATATTAATTAGTAATAATAATACTTCCTAACATTAATAATATTCGATAAATATTTTTAGGTATAATTAACAATGTGTTAAAAATAAATTGGTACCATTTATTTATTATGTTATCATAATTATTAGTGTTACACTTTTTAACGAATTAAAAAAATGAATGCCTAATAATATTAGCGAATGTAATTATTTTAAAAACAAATCGAACAGAATTCAGAAAATTAATTGACACAACAATAAACTTTAAAAAATTGCAAAAATGTTTCAATCCATTTTTATATACACAATTTACATTGTGCGATCAAATAAGTATTTTCGTTAAATTACCTTATACTCGAATGCTCTATTTTAAAAAAAACTCACGTCTTTGTCATCCTATTTTTTTTTATAAAACTAGGCATTTTATGTATTTATGGCTGCATTTATTATTTACTGTAGTATCTTATCCTTTGACCTTAACCAAAGTAGACTAATTGATTTAACTGGTGGTCATTTGATATTGTAATTAACGATATCAACAATAAAGGCAGTTAATTATTAAAAATGAACCCAACAATAGTGACAATAAAATAAAACCTAAAAAAAAGTAGTACTTTCAAACTAGGTAAATCATTTACCTTGCAACTGCGGTCCCGTTGAAGCACGGTGAGCTAGTGACACTGGTGGTAGTGCATAACAAAGCCGGCAGGTGATTCCAGTAACGACGAGTGTTGCGCATGCGCGTACGCGTTTCGCGAACCAATTTCTCTAGCGCCGGGCCTCCCCACTCTGAGCCTGGAAAATATTACTTACATGTTAGGATTGAATTTGATATTATTTTTGTTTTTTTTGGATTCAATATTTTATAAAAAAAGACAATAAAAACTTTAGATAACAATATTATATGCAACTTAGTTTTCGCAATTACAAGCTTTATGTGATTAAGCAGGCTTTCTTACCTCGTGTTTCCTCGCTCTTCGGGAAGGTCTTCTTCTTTTTAGGTCCTTTCTTCTCATCGAATTCGAAAGACTTGAAATCAATGTCCATAGAACTAGCCGCTGCAGGGGCAGGATCTGCATCTCGTCTCCGCCTTTCGTGTTCCTCATATTCATCCAAATTTATTTTGCCCCTCATATATTGCAAGAATCTTTCTCTAAGCTTAGCTTGCTGCGCCATGTCTTCGGTAGCTTTCCTAAAGTCTTCAGGAGACTTCAGACCTGATAATGAGGAATCGCCATTCATGAGGCTTTCGAATGATCCTTCGATTTCAAAGTCATCGACGTCATCGACTTTTTGTGGCCAATCGAAATCTGGTATTGAGCGCACGGATCTACGCTGTTTGCCTGGTGCGAAGAATGGACCTGCCCCGCCGCCACCTCCCAGTACCGGCTTACCGCAGACAGTAAATATTTTTTGTGATATTTCCCTGTTATGCTCTTGGAAGCTCATGATTGCTTCTGAGATTTTGATGTCAATTGGTTCCACCACCATAGCTATGTTGAACGAACCGAGAAGGCGATCGGCGACGTTGTCTATGGCAACTGTAACAATACCAATGTTTAGCGTATAACATAGTTATAAAAATATTAGTTTATTACAACTATTCTGTAGTGAGGATATTGAAATATTGTAAAGCTCTTTTGCGAAGGGGGTCATGTCTGGCCATTAATTTATTTCAATTTATAAAGCTAAATTCTTTCCATTTAATTTTCCTTCCATTTTTAAATTAAGTCTCAGAGCCCTGATAAAACTTTTTATAATTACAAAACTAATACGATTATCACTTCAAAATCGCTACTAACTCACCGACATAAGCATCCCATTGATCGCCGAGGTCTGCATGTGCAGGTAGGCAGCCTCGAATGACATTATGACAATATCGACTGCAGGCTGGTGGCTGGTATCCCGCGCAGCTTCCACAGTACCGCAAGCGTGTCCACGCAATTACACATTCATTCGTCACTTGAACCTGATTAAAAAAACATATATTAAAGCTTTAGCTCGTTTAGTTCTCGAACCTGTCTAGGGCGCTACAAAGGTATACCCATTTATTTTTGATGTGAAATCTTTTTTTAGGCGCGTTGGATAGTTTTGAACAACAAACAAAATAACGTATTTTTTGAAATGGGTAAAAATCATTGAACTTGCGACACTGTTACCGACATTTCTGTATATAGGTTTCTTCATATATTGGCCCCGTTTACACGAGGGTTGAATTTGGGTTGAAATACATTGATAATATAATAACTATTTATAATATAAACATTTATAGTCTATATAATTACAACATAGATATACGAGTATATTCATGTCGGAACTTTTCGAATCGAAAAAAATACACACGTTTATTTTTTCAAGTTTTAATTTCTTTCGGAACTCTCGGAGTGCATCTTTTATATGTGTGGAGAGCCTTATGTGGATACTTCAAATAGGCTATCAGCGAGGACGTATTGCGGAATATTCGGCAATGAATATTGTCATACAAAATGGATGTACAGTCTATCTTGCGTCGTGGTCATATTAAAACATATATTTCCGTGGGAGAGCCATGATTCCGTAGGGGAGATCGATGCTTCAGCACCAAGAGACTCTCAGAAAACCAGTGTTAAGCAATTCTTTCCTTGTTTTTCACCGAGTGAGATAAGTTACCGGAGCCCAAACCTCTCCTTCCCTCGACTCTGGAGTGGGGAGGGGGGGAGGCCAAGGGCGGCAACCCACTTGAGTTGCAACTGTCCATGGATGGCAGTAGAGTGGTAGGTGGGATAATAAATACGTTATCGTGTGACAATATTTCGGTAATTTTGTTTAGGCAGGAAGTGAACATCGAGGTTCCCACACAGCAGGGGGTCATCTATAAGCCGTAGATGGCCCGAGCTACGTCAGGGTACCAGTGATTTCTAGGGTATACTGGTACCTGGAGATGGCGTGCGGTTTTTGGTCGGTTCGAGTCCGACATAATCACCCCACTGGAGGGTGGTATCCGCGAGGAATTCCGTATGAGCAAAAAAAAGAGGTAACCGAACTCTTACAAGAGTATGACAAACAAAATTAAGTGATAAAACAGTACCGACAATCGTACAGCAATTGTTTAAGTAGTGCATACAAAAATAAATCTATTCTAAAACAACATCATTAATAAAACCAAGGTTTTGTGTGTCACTAAGTGGCGCCAAGATCAACGAACGACAAATGATTCGCGGCGAGGCGAGCTAATGACTCACTTTCCTCCGTCTGTTGAAGGTTAACGCTGAACGGAATACATACGGTTTGATTAAACTAAATTAGAATGCGAAGTACACAATTGTCATTCGCTCAATTAAAATATTGATACGTTTTGGCAATGTCTGGGTACTAAAACCAAAAAAAGGTGCGGTGATTAATCATCGATGATATAATAGCACAGGACGATTATGAGACCACAATGGTACAGACGCTTTTGAAAATGTATTGTGTGAATAAAATCTGCCACTTATTTATTAAGAATTCATCAATCGATTATTAACTGATTTAATTTGATAGCGCTGTTTGCACGAAGTCCTCTCTTGCAAATAGATCGTGACCAAAATACTTATCAACACGAAGCAGATACAAAAACTTCTTTGAATGAATGACTTCATCGATATTTGTGGGGTTACTTGCGATAAATGGATAAATTCCTTTAACCAAGTAACAAGAACGTATTCATGCTTTCTTATGATGTAGGGAGGCAAACGAGCAGACGGGTCACATGATGGTTTTCATAATTTCCATGTCTAGTAGTCACCTACTAATAGACATGGAAATTATTGCTCCTTTTAAATCATATTCATTTCATGAAATGATTGATTTTAGTCACAGCTATTTCACATGTGATTGTGAAACATAAGTGACATTACATTTTTATGTTCCCGACCAATATATGCGTGCCGTTGGAAGACGACAACATAGACTCCTGTGCTGTCCGCCTACGTGGCGCTCTCCCCAGGCTGACCATAGCCCCACTGCTATAGCAATTAGGCTTATCAATGAGTTTCTTCAGTATAGTCCAGATGCAGATATATTTTTCGACTCCCAAAGCATAATTTTAAAACATATTTATACATATCTAAATTTTAAAGAGTAATTTTATAGTTCCTAAGTTGATGTAAGGTTGTTTTTGTTTACAAATTTTATGTTGTTTCTTTTTGATTGTCTGAGTTTTATAATTGTAATAGTATGTAGTTTATTTTTGTTAAAATTAGCATAGATATAAGCGATTTGGTGTTCACTGTGATGCTTATATTTTATTAATAAAGAATTGAATTGAATTGAATTACTTTAAATCAAAATTATTTTAATAATGATTACAACCCTTTTTTTTAGATGAAACCTTTCGCCTGTCTTGCGCTAACGCAATAAAAATAATTAGCAGTAGCAGTGGTTTTGTACATCTGATGATGCGATTTGAATCATGTGATTTTTTCACATGTGATTGTGGTTTTATTTTATCCCTAGCGACTAGCGACTACCGACGCTCTTGGACACCAATAAAAAGGCAAAAGTGCGGTTGCTGCCCTTTAAATCCCCTCCCCCAAAGTCAGAGGGAGGGAGGGGGGAGGGAGACATGGCTCCCGTAACCTCCCTCACTAGGTGCTTTTTACCGAGTGAGTGCCTAACAACGAATGAATTGCTTAAAAACCGGTTTTCTATGAGAGCCGAGAGAGAGTCAAGCAGAACATTTGTGTTAAAGCATGGCTGGCTCTCTCGCGATCAGCATGGCTCTTCCACGGTTAAACGTTGCTTTAAAATAAGCATCATAGAGATTGTGTAAATCAATAGGAAATATACTATATCATACTTTGCATTCTGAAGAATATCATAAAGTGTACGATAATCAAACAAACTCAATTATGCACTTATTGCTCTGATTGCCCAGACAACAAAACTATAAGGTTTTTGGCAGACATTTACCTGCATCATACTGCGAACGACGTCGGCTCCCGCTCTGAGTGCTTTATGAAAGGTCCGAGTAGCGACCACCGCACGACGTAACTGTACTGAGAACTTATTCGGCACATCCTCGAATGGCTGGATGTCCCGCATGTGCTCGTTAACGCATTTTAAATATCTGGAAATTAAAATACTAAGTAAAAGCATTTATTACATAGGTCGTATTCATTAAACGGGAAAGCGCTACGACCGCCTTGGTACCGTATTGTGCGAGCGCGGTATTACGTGGCGCTCTGGGAACTATTAATAAATGAATCATTACATTGAATTCCAGTAATAAGTATACGGTATGAGTAATGGTGTAGGCGTGGCCTTGTGTCTCCGAACCCTTACAGGAAAGTAAAAGAAATCGTAAAACTCTTCTCAACTCTCAGCCCTACACACAATGAGTTTGAAGTAATTGTTGAGTCCTGTCAAAAGAATTGTATATGATCTTCGCAGTAAGTGCCATCGACCTGCATCATATGATCATCTCTATCGGTATTCTACCTATAAAAAGCTCGCACTAAGTATCAATAAAATTATCTTCCAGTATTAAATTCATAGATTTTTAAGTTCCATAAAATAATTCTTTTACGCAATAGCTAGCTGACTAATGAAAAAATTATGAATAAATAAAAATATAAAAAAACCGTCACTGTGAATTGCTGATGACGGGACCATTAGGTTGTTCTATGATTATAATCGAATTGTTAAATGACATCATAAGCGTTTTTAATATTCATATAAGGCACATGTGTTGTCTTGTTTCCGTTTGCAAAATATGTTAAATTGTGTGCCATTTAACGTGGTCGTGGATTATGCTTAATTGTGATCTCTGAATAATATATTTATATAGATACGGGACAGACACGGGACGGACATGTGTCTACAATTTGAGACAAGAACGCTAGCACACCATTTTTGTACCTAAAGTCAATTTTATTTTCTTTGAATTAGGCTCCTAAGCTTAGTGTAAATCGTAGTGTTAGTTTTTAAACAATTTAAGACACATAACAATCTACATAGTTCTTTTCAATAAACTAATGTTGTTAAAACCATGATGATGATGGAAGAGTATTATTCGAACTTCTAAGTTTGTCTTTCTAAAGAAACAGGACAAAAATCTGATGGTTTGCCGAGATGGATGAACTATCTACAACACATACTCGTATAATACAAGTTTGATTACGGAACTATCGGTACTCGAGCCAAACTCGGACTTGTCCGTTTTTTTTATAGTGATGACTAGCTGGTACCCCGACTTATTTCGCGACTGCAGTTCCTGAGGCTCGGGTTCGATCTCCGTACCGAGCACAATTTCATAGGGTTTTTTTGAGACGATAAGTACTCCACAGCTACCTGGTAATAAAATATCAAAATCGGTGCAGGTCCAGGTTTTGAAGATTACCCGGAAAAAACAGACAGACAAAATATATTTTATTTAATTGGTTTTTATTATCTAATTGGTAATTTAAATGGGTGGTTAATTTAATTGGTGTCGTGCAAATAACCGTGTGAGCATGAAAAACATATTATTTTAACATTACAAATAGACACTTTAATTTTATCTATTTGTATAAATTACATATTAATAGGCTAACCTACATAGAGCTAATACTAAATACCTATAGATATATATATTTAGCTTACCAAATTAGTTTAACAATGCCGAATACGAGTGCAGTCGCAACACACAAAATAGTACCGGGGATATTTCTGTCGACTGTAAATGTCTGTGGAAATGATACCCTCTGAAAATTTCTGTCCTACAAATACACTCTAACATAGCACCTTTTTTTTTAACTCGTGATGTTACCTTGTTATTTAGTATTAAGGGTATCAAAGACCAGATCGAGAGACCATATGATGACTCAAAACACAGGTTCACACCCAATTTAGAGTCAGAGGACTCGACATTTACACCATTCTTTGGTGTATTATAACTAGACAATAGGACTGTAAAATCGCTTGAATAAACATTATATTTATTTTATTTTACTTTTATACACATTTTTTTTAAACATATATATTACACTTAATAAAACAATATTGGTTTTAGACATATTTAAAAATAGTAGATCACCGACTTCAGGTACAAGGACCAAGAAACTGGTGGTTAAGGCCCATAAAAACAAGAACCTCATCACTATTCGGGCCGTGTCAAGGAGAACTGCCTTTTGCATCAGACCCTTGATGCAGCCGTCTAAAGTGAGCCTCTTAAGGTGTTGGTCGAGGCTCTTGGCTATTATGAGCAGATACGACTATCGGAACAATGACAATCTTGTCAGATAAATCCAAAAATTTAGTATTACATTAATATTATTATCGTAACAAAAAGCCATACAAGGATGAAAAAATGTGTGACGTCATTAAAACAAGAGCTCTCTACACTTCGAGCTTACTCAGTTCGTTCACGCCCTACATGCACTTGACTGGACCACTCTATAACGCAATAACGCTTATTAATAACTGCATTTTATAGCATACAAGTCGTAAAGCTCAGTACTCTAGAGGTAGTCACTTCACCCGTTATCACTATACGTTTGTACATTTTATACTCTGTTACCGACCCTATTACTGACCCTAATCGCATGTTTGCGCGACCATAACACTAAAGATGTCTGTTATTATTGTTTTATTGACGCATCATTGCAAACAAAAGTATTATTTTCCAGTTAGCGACACTGTGTTCTATTGGAGCTTTTATTGGCGTGTTGTGTAAACACACTGTGTGTGTATTATAATTATGTTAGAGGCGTGTTTGTTGTGTCTTGTTTTTTTAACATGATTTTATTAGCTTGGTATGTATGTATCTATGTAACGGAATCTTTGAACGTGATTTTCACCTATTTTAAAACGTCGGATTGAATTGAAACTTAAAACACTTATCAAGGACTGATGACAATACAATAATTTAAGGAATTAGTCCGATTATCCTGATCAGGATCTTCAGGATTAACGGCTTATTCCATATCTATAAATACAGTAGTGTCTTGTGCCACGTACTAGGGCGTGTACTGAAGCATATGTGACTTACTTGTTACTTTTTTAGTATTTAATGAGAAAATAGTCATCATTAATGACTGAAAAAGCAAAATAAATCATGGTTTCAAAAACAAAAAAAATCATGCTTTTGTATTAGCCGAGCTAAGAGTATATTTTACGTTTGTTGTCTCAAAAATCCGTTCGAACTATCATTTAAAAAGTCTAATAGTTCGACTGTTCGACTCTTTTTGTTAACCGACTTCAAAAAAGGAGGATGTTCTTATCTTAGACCTCCGGCTGCTTAATGAACCCATTTGGACAATTATCTTTAATTTGAAAGTTTACACTTCCCGTTCGGTTCCATTCAAATTTTGAGAAAAATCTATGTTAATTTTAGTAGGATTAAAGAGAGAAGTACTAGAACAGCGATAGGTGTTAGTCTAGTCAAGCTTATTACTTGAATACTGAACAAAGCTCGTATATTCGAGTATGTATTTTCAAACATACGTCTCTAAACCGCTGTACTACAATACAAGCCACTTAATCCATTAGCGAGCAGACGCGTGTTCTCAAATATATGTACGTGTAACACACTATTTATCAAAGTATCCATTTGTCTTATAAAATTCTCGAATCATTGAAACAGTGCACCGCGCGAATATAAATTATTTGTCCTAAATGTAGTGTTGTAATAAATCTTTAACACACGTCCTCTGGCTTAGGTTTGTAAAAGTAATCGATGGCCCGACAATGCATATAATTAAATTAAAAATAAAATTATTTCAAACCAGGACAACATTGTACAACTATTTCAACACCTATCTGACGTTATTTGTAATTTATACAAATAAATAAAATTGAAGGGTCTGTTTGTAATGTCAAAATAATAGTTTTTTTTTCATGCTTACACGGTTATTTGTACGATACCTATGCCAGTTTAAAAATTTTTTGTCTGTCTGTCTATCTGTCTGTTTGTTCCGGGTAATCTTCAAAACGACTGGACCGATTTTGATAATATTTTACTACCACGTAGCTGTCTATATCAGGAGTAATTTAGGCTATTGTTTCTCTCAAAAAAACCCTGTAAAATTTTGCCTGGTCCGTAAATCGAACTCACTAAAGAAACTCCACGCGAACGAAGTCGCGAGCACCAGCTAGGTCAACATTCGGTTCTGGTTTTGGTGAGAATTAATTTAGTTCGGATATTTCATACGTTCCGTAAAGGTTATGAATCGTCATGACATCCCTGTTAAAAATTAAAATATGTGAATCTGCCTCCATAATGTATGTTGATTTCTTTTCTTACATAACGTATCCAAAACTGGACGCGCCGCTAGTCTTAAAAGTACCTTTAACCTTTATTTGCGTATTGCTTACTATTGTATCTATTGTAGACTAAACAATACAATGAATTGTTTCGATATGAACGTGGCAAATAAACATTACTTTTATAAGAAATTACTTACAGAGAAAGCGTGATAAGCTTGCCGTTGGCCTTAAACAATATCTGACTCATTATTCACTTATTCAAAATAAGTGATTACTTGTTTCTCGACCTTTTATTTATCGTCACTATAATTTAATTATATACGAAGTCAACAAGGTTATTGTGTGTAAAAACCTTACTGACCCCTTTTTAAGGAAATAATAAATAAATAATAATAATAATATTCTACTACATTCACACAACGCCATCTAGTCCCAAACTAAGCAGAGCTTGTACTATGGGTACTAGACAACTGATATAAATACATATATACTTTTTTTTTGTAAATACATACATATTATACATAGAAACACCCAGACCAAATCAAATATTAAATGTTCATGCACACAAATGCTTGACTTGAGCGGGAATCGAACCCGCGACCTTTAGAATAGCAGTCAGTTACACAAACCACTACGCCATTCGGTCGATGTATATATTATCGTTAGATGAATTAACTATAAGGGTCTGTAAGTACATGCCAAATATAAAATATTCATCTTGCAAATTAAACAAAAAAAAACACGAACCTCCTTAAAAGATGAGTTATTTTAGGATAGAGTAGAATACACAAAAATCCAAACTAATATTATGAATGCGAAAATGTGTCTGTCGGTCTGTAACCCCTTCACGCTTAAACCGCTGAACTGATTTAGATGAAATGTGGTATAGAGATAGTTCGAGTCCCAGGAAAGGACATATAATAGTTTTTATCCCAGAAAGGGGGTTTGTATGGGGCATCAGTAACCACTGAACCGATTTTTATAAAATTTAGTATGGAGATAGTTTGATTCCTGAGGAAGGACATAGGCTACTATTTACCGCGATAATCGACAAACACGCGGTAGAATATATTAGAATCATTTACATCATCATCGGCATAAGTTGTCACAACTTATGCCGAAAGAGTCTGCTTAGCGTCCTAATAAGGCCTTTATTATTTGTGCAAATTAATAGAATGTTAAAACTGCTTTTTTATTATGCTCATAATTATCAACTTTCTATCTATTTTTCTTGTACAAAAGACAAATGAACCGTCTTAGAACAGGGATGGACAGCATCATCCGTCTCTCTTCCAAGCGTGATGATATTTTAACTAACAATAAATACTTACTTTTCATCAAATTCGTACTGTGAGTTGAGTACTGTGAACATCTTGTTGTATAGGATGCTGAAGAACCCGTCTATCATGACGTCGAAGTTCGTGTCACCTCGTGTGTAATACCTGGAACAATCATTATATTATTTAGTTATCAATTCTATCTATACAAATAAATAAAATTGAAGTGTCTGTTTGTAATGTCAAAATAACAGGTTTTTTTTTAATGCTCACACGGTTATTTGCACGATAGCTATGCCTAAAAACCAGTTTAAATTTGTATTGTCTGTTTGTTCCGGGTAATCTTCTAAACGGCTCCACCGATTTTGATAATCTTTGACAACTAGGTAGCTGTCTATATAAGGAGTAACTTAGACAATTAACTTAAACAGCGATTTTCAGTCAGTACCAGCTAGTACTTTTAATTGCTCTGGCTCGACTGGAGATATGCCACGCTATCATAGAAAATCGGTGTTGTACAATTCTTTCAATACTATTCGCCTCAAAGGGTCTTTAACTCTTGAGTAGCAGATATTGCTTGCAAAAAGCTATTGCTTATTTTAATATTCAGGTTTGTACATAGACGATTAAAATATTAATTGGTAGTAAGGTTAAAGATAAACAATCGAAGCAAATTTGTGGAAATAAAATCTCATATTCTGCTATCTAACATTCCATTTAAGTAAGGATCGCGTTCTGGTATAACAATCATATAAAGGATTTGCATAAATTTCTCTTCAAAACTCACAATTTCTTTATTTCGTATAACAATTTAAATTGTTTGAAATCTTCTTTTATGTAGACCACACACAATAGCAACAATCTTTGTTTTGTCAAATAGTAAGCAAAATAAATTTAATAAAAATTCAACTTATATAAAATCTGTAAATATGCCTGTGCCGATTTACAACCGCCCGTTTCCAAGGGGTTGCGCCTTATGAGAAGAAAGGGCCAAGATACTCATGGTTTTGATTTTAAAAGCATTATCTGTCTGTAATTTTATCTGCATATTTTTAGGAAAACGGTTTTATTGCACTAACGAAATGAGGTTTATTTAGTCTTTTAGTTAAACATCATCATTAATAGATTTGACTATGAGTATTGGCGGATTGGCATTCTCTCTCGAAACGTATTTATATATTGGAAAATCTGCTACAATGTATAAATACCCTTTTGCATTTGCTGCATTGTGTGAGGCAGTGGTCCGAATGTATGAAAGTACTGAGAGAAATCGAATACCTACTAAGTTTATTATGATGTGTTAATAAAATGTTACTAACTCTTAAACTTTCGCATTTAAGTAATGAATGGGAATTTAAGACATTAATAGGTTGTATATACTTTTGGCCCACTTGAAAAACTTAGTTTAAAATACATTTTCCTATAGAAGTGATGTCATTGTCCGTGTGGTGACGGATTAAGAATACGCATTGTCACCACCCCCAATCATCCCGTGGGGGTCGTAAGAGCCGACTAAGGGAGGGAGCAAACAACGTAGAACAACATCACTGCAAAGAGAAGGAAAACTTGAGATAAACCCTATACAGTATAGTAGGCCAAAACCTCCTTTCTAAGGAGAGGCCTATGTCCAGCAGTGGACTGTTTAAGGCTGTTGATGATGATGGCGTCATGCTGTACAAGTCTTACCTTTCAAGCTGCTCGAATAACTGTTCAAAGACATAGGAATGCTGTTCGTAGATCATTCCGTAAGTTCGCTTGAACATCGTATGGAACTCCTCGCGCGACTGCTTCAACAACCGTCTGAAGAATTCTGTGAAAAAAAAACAGATTTCATTTGTAACATATCGCGTTCTCGGGTGCTTGAAAAACTTTTTTTGTAAATATTTTTTATTTATATAACGATTTTTTTTGTTCTGCCATAAAAAGTCAGTATCACTGGCATTAATTAACTGTTTTTAATTTGTACTTTGCAAAGTTAATAAATCAAATGTTTCGATAAGTCGGAATTAAAAAAAACATGCCTTCATTTAATCAATGTGATTTCTTAATGTTTCTTACTATAGGTTTTTTCATTATAACGTTACAATATTTTCATCCTTAAAGCATCTTAAAACAAAAGATTACAATATTGTAAGCATGATCTGGTTTTTTGTTATAGCATAATAGTACACAGTACTTCCTAAAAATAAGCCAACTAGATATGTATTTATAGTTCGCTTGATATTCCGAGGCTTTCCATACAATCTTTAAAGTTCACAGGTACGAGTATATTAAAATAGAAACCTTCGTTTAGTAAAGTCCAAAGCAACAAAAGGTCAACCGCATGTCTGGGCGGAATACTCTCTCGGGTGAATAACATTCTGGCAGAAATACTTTTATAGCATATGATCAGATAGTCGCTATTTAAAAACGCTAATAAAATAGTGGCTAAACTATAATATGGATACAAGTATAAAAATATTTATGGCAGGTGTTTATCGTACGTGTGGTAACAGTCCTGCTGCAGGTATGCTTTTTATGACTATTTCTATCATTGTCTAAAATTATTCTAACTCCGGGCTATGGATGAGAAAACACTGAATAAGTAAAAAATGGAAGCAGTGGCATCAAAAATTTAAAAGTCTAACTCTCTTTTTAGGTCGTCAGAACGAGGTATGTACCTCATATCTGAAATTAGGTTGAACCCTTTATTAAGGGACAATATAGAGATAACGATCGAAGGCCCACGCCAGACCTTCGTCATTTTATAAAAGCTGAGTTTGTGAATCGTATACACTTGAAAGCTTTTCAATGGGTAATAAAGTATAGTTTTACTTAAGTATAGTAACCTTAGTATTTACCGTAATATTATTGATATCAAAGAGTTATGACAAACAAGAAAGCACTACTAATACTGGTTAAAACAATTTTCAAAGCCACCGTGGCCAAAGCTTACCATGCTGTGGCAACTTGTAAGTAAGACAACACTCAGCAAATATTTGTAAAAAATGATTGTAAACTATGTATTAGTGTATGTTTTTTAAGTTGTCCTAAATAAATAAAGCCACCTTGCATACTTAGTTATTAGAAGCATCTCGTTTGCCATGATGTATATCAACTCAGTCGTTGCTCCTACTGCTGACTTTGAACTCTGGTTGACAGTATGTAACAATCTTTCAAATTCGGATTTGAGTTTTCCTTTTACGAAATCGATTAAAAACACGATAAAACAATGATGCAATGTTTGTAGAATATTCTTGAAACACACTAATAACTTAATATGAATCAGGTTCAATTGTAAAATAAACTATTTTAGTCGGTGACACGGGCGGGCGCCGCTGTTTACAGACACCGTTCCAGGAAAGCGTTGCATTCGTACTGACTTCAGAGAATTTCTTAGGTTTTTTTAAAATTCTAATGTTTATATAAATTCATTACTAATTACTTTAAATGAAATAAAGAAATCAGAATTTAAGGGCTACCAAAATTAGACTTAAATTAAGGTGACACTATACACTTTCGTGCAAAGATAGTGGCGTTAAATAGAGTAGCAGTTTATATGTATATTTTCAAAGCATGCGGTATTATTGAGGGAAAGGGAAATTTAGTCCTCAGAAGTGAAATCCGAGAGGCAAAGAGTTTGTATTTGTTCAGGCACTATAGACATTTCGTCCCGATTTATTTGTAGTTATACCAAATCAAAAATCTATGAGGTATTCTTAGGCTGGGGTAAGACATGTATCACAGTAATCTATAAGAATATCAGATGCAGAGGAAATGCAACCGTGCACTTGAGAGGAGGAGGAGGAGGGAAAGATTGGTTAATTACTAATACATTTTATTCGGTCAAAGACTTTTTGAATAGTGAAAAGTAGTAGGTATAATGAATAAAAGTGAAATTATAATCAATACACAAAACCGGATGAATAATGACAATAATAATATCTAATACATAAGTTTTTTTAATAAAATGTTAAATTTGCATGCTATTTTCATGGCCAAATGGCCCTGTTCGCATTATACTATACCTTTAATACCACAATATGTACCACCCCATTTGTAGAAAATATATAATTTGAATTTGAGACACCAGCTACATTAAAACGTACGTTTCGTGTGTGAACTAAGTTTCGTGGAAACGTAAGGTGCAGAGTATCTTTTTTTTTCTACTATTTTCTACTATTTCGTACCGTTCTCAATTCAATTTCAAATTGTAAACCATTAAAAACGTTTAGTACCACGCTTAGAAGTGTTCGTTTAAAATCAATAAGCGCACAGTCAATAGTGGCACGGGCCACGGGCGTTTCTCTATACATGAGAGTACACTCCATTCGTAAATTGATTGACAAAGTTTTTTTTTAACGACCACACAGTGTCTGGTTGTGGGCGATTTTATTAGTTATACCTTCTAAAGACCTAGGCCTATTCGTTGACTCCGCATTTAGGCCGCCGATATACATAAGTGCATAAAGTTGTTTACATAAATAAATAAATATAACCCTATGAGTTACTTGTGAATTGAGTATCCAATCCTCCTAAAGCTATATTGTGGTACTATATGCTAATAGAATGGCAGCAATAGTTATAATTAGTTAGTAATAATTAGTTCTGCTAAGCCGTCTCATTTAGTTCTCACACGCAAAGTGATAAGCATTCGGCAAAAACAAACGTAAACTAAAACACCAATTAATACAATATGGTCTTTACCGACGACGGATTGAACTTTATTCATTAACTGTCTCAGTGGTACAGTGGTAGCGTATGCGACTGCTGTGCTAAGGTCTCGGACACGAATCCCGGGTCGGACTAAATGTTTGTATGATCTGCAAATATTTGTTTCGGGTTGTGGGTATTTCCTATGTATACTATGTATGTATTTACATAAAACAGTATGTAAATATTCTATCAGTCAATCTAGCTTTCATGATCCAAGCTCTGCTTAGTTTGAAACTAGATGGCGTAGTGTTTTAGATGTCAGAAAAAATATAATTATTGTCATTAACAAACAGATCGACAATATTTCATACTAGAACGTAGCAGCACTTTTTTATACCAACAGACAGAAACGACCAATCATAGTAGAGTTCTTCCTTTAATACATACATATATAATAAACTGGATATGATGAGATTTACTAGTAGGTAGATACTAATTATTATACATTTTGTATTTATCAACTATCTTGGCAATTGATATGCAAAACGTTGAGAGTTGAAAACGCATTTGCATAAAGATGGTAGTGAGAGACAAGACGTAAAATAATTACTCTATGTTATCAGTCTGCTGTCTGATAAACCTACTAACGTACTGTTAAATAACTAACTTATATTATAAACGACAAGCTGACCCGCGAAACTTCGTCTACATCTGTCAAAAGGAATTAATTGTCCACTGTTGGACATGGGCATCCTTAGAAAGGAGATTTTGCAACATTTTATTGCAATTTTTCATTATTTTATGCCTATATATTTCATTTTGCCACATTTTATTGCAATTTTCAATTATTTTATACCTATATGTTTAATTTTGCAACATTTTATTGCAATTTTTAATTATTTTGTACCTATATATTTAATTTTGCAACATTTTATTGCAATTTTCAATTATTTTATACCTATATGTTTAATTTTGCAACATTTTATTGCAATTTTTAATTATTTTATACCTATATATTTAATTTTGCAACATTTTATTGCAATTTTCAATGATTTTATACCTATATGTTTAATTTTGCAACATTTTATTGCAATTTTCAATTATTTTATACCTATATATTTAATTTTTCAACATTTTATTGCAATTTTTAATTATTTTATACCTATATATTTAATTTTGCATCATTTTATTGACGCTTGATCTCTATTGTAGCGTGAGGTTATATAGCTATAGCCTTCCTTGATAAATAGGATATCCAACATTAAAATTGACTCGATTCCTTCGCGTTACGTAGAGATGTGGCTTCACTCTCTCACTCTCACTCGCATTCTCTATCGCATATAGCATGGAGAGTGCTCCGAGGAATTGTTCGGACTAATACCGTCCGCAACTTGCCACCATCGTTCCACAAGGCAAAAGTTTTATCCCCATCACCTGGATAGTTGGCGCTCCACTACTGTGCGCTTTTTGAGACACTGTTTGCCTTGCACAACCAATCTGTGGAACGGACTATCGTCTGTGTTAGTTCCGGATCGATACGACCTACAACCTTCAACCTTCAGTGGTCATTTTCCATCAGGTGGCCCCTGCTCGTCTGTCCCCTCTAACATAAAAAAAAACAGTTATAACCAGTAGTTCCTGGGATTAGCGCGTACGGCCAAAGAACTCTTCAGCTTTAATATTAGTATAGATAACGCTAAAACGGCCAGCAAGAACCGAAAGCCTTATTAAAAATTAACAGAAGTCATCATAAATACCAATTATTTACGAGTATTCATACATCGTATGTTGACACAGGTTGCTATTAGTGGCAATTGGTCACATAACAAACAGCTATTTACTGGACTGTTTTGCTGATTACACACATGAGCACATGACAACGAAGTTCATCGACATTCCGCTTTTTGTATGAGTGCGGTATTTTTGTCGCGTGCAAAACCTATGCGAGACAAAAAAAAATCTGCTTCGCACATTCCGATTAGTAAATAAATCGCTGAAACGAATAAATATGCATACCTACATACGTATATGAAATATTATTTCTACGTCTGTATTTACATTTAAAGTTACTTGCGTGTCCATTTCAATGTTACTTAGATCATAATTCCTCATATTATTTACCTACTTATAAAACGTTAAAAATCCATTTGGTTCCGTTTGGAAGATTCAAGAAAA